GTGGCCCTAAGTCAGGTCAACTTAAATTTTCCCAAATAGTTGGTTCAACTCTTCTTCTACCTGAAAATCAGCGTCGCAAATGGCAAGGCTGCCACGTGATCCATCAACGCTTGAAGTGGAATATGCAAACTGGCGACAGGGTCCAACTGGAGCGTTTCAATTTGGCTAGCGTCGCCGTAAAAAACTAAGAGGCTTGATCTTGCCCAATGGGCTCGGAAGTCACACTTCTTTCATCCCCTCCTTCCGGCCGCCCCTAATTCCATAACGGTACTCAGATTGAAGTCCAATCCCCGCCCGTAATTGATCCTCGACCGTGACAATTTTTATCCAAATACAAAAAAGGGAAAAGAGATCTCTGATTATGAAAAGAAGCCCTTTATTGGAAAAGAAATCCATCAATTTGAAAGTGGATTTCAAGTTGACATTTTGAAATGCTCGGTGACGCAATTTGAACTTCACTGACATATTTTGAATAACCCTTGAAATATGGCCATATGGTGGGGGCAGAAGGAGCACGAATAATACTGCAAGATTCTTACTGTTGCTGTCGTACAGATGGGTATCAAAAAAGAGCCCTTTGATAATGGATACACATAAGAAAATGAAGCACAAAAACAAGTTTTATGCGGAAAAATACAAGTACTATGAGCCGAAATTTAATTCATGCGTTCACGTCGACCATTTTCTTGGTAAAAAGAATAGAATCAATATTGAAAAAGAGGACCTGATTTTTAACCCTTCGATTTCCACGAAAATTTCCCGTCTTCGACGCTCCGATGACCCAAATCTCGGGCCCTCGAGGAGGACGAGCGGCGACGTAAACAGTTTGTTTAAAACAAAGTTGTAAACAAAATCAGCCTTCGTGCAAGTGCCAGAAAAGCATGGGAAAATCGAATAAATCCGACGGTTGGATAAGTTGGCGGCGCTTTTTATAACACTGAGAAACAGACGGATATATCGAGCACAAAAGGGGGCGACTTGCCACTTTCTCATCCACTTACTGCCAATAGCTAGAATTGCTTATCAAAGTCGAAATCTCAATCGACTCTAACACCAAAGCCACGAAAGCTAACTTTCCAAGAAAATCAAAAGAGCGCCCGTTTCCGCCTTGGAAAAAGCTGAATGGAAGGGGGACAATGATCTCGTGGTAGTAACGGATTTCGAGGAGTTTATTGTACTCTCTGTTGGATTTTCGGCTTTCCTGAATGACACTTGACGATTATGAGTACAATTGCGTTTAATTGGATTAGTTGGCTGATTTGGACTGATAAAGAAACCTCCATCAAGCCTGTCTTTTTTGAAAGAGAAGCACTAAATAAGCTTTTTTGGCAGGAATCGGCTTTGAAGTCTATTTTCTGCAGCAGATGAGCTCCTTTGTTGCAAGCAATAAGTCTTTGACGTTTTGAAAGGCTCATCCCGTGTGTATCTAACTAAGTATTCAAACTCCGCATATGCCGAGTGACCGTATTTCAGCATAAATTTGAATACAATGCCGGTATTAGTCTTGAAAACAGCTGCTTTTTAGATGAGGCGGGTCTTATTTTGTGAATAATTTAGCAAGTTTAATGATACTTTTTCGTCATTATAAAAAGGAAAAGCTGAATATTAAGGCCTTTTCAAGCTTGCTCTTGATTATATTTTGTGAGAATAAATTTATGAAAAAAAATGCTTCAAATTTGATTCCGAGTTTTTGTGTCCTTCTGAGGTCATGTGCAGCGTGATGGAATCGCGTGCCACGAATGGCTGACGGTTCAAGTGCTGCCAAAAATGTCCGGCTCCAAGGGACAGGAATGTCCGCCGAAGCCTAAACCCTAAATAAACCTGAGCAAGTGCTCTGCGCAAAAAATGTAAACACACATAGCGCAATATTTACGGGAGACTATTACGCTTCTCTGGCCCTTTTCTGTAATAACCAAAGCACTACACTTCAGACTCGGGTCGTAAGACCGGCCTCTAAAAAGAAGTGAAAAACCGTCTTTGAAATTTTTTTATGTAAACAAGATTTTTTAGATCACAGAAATTCCTTCACTTTTGAGTTGGCCATGAGAAATTTTTCTCAAAATATCTCCTCCCCCTCAATTTACAATTTTCGCAAACTTTCGTACTTTGAAATTTCCATCGGTTGTTGTTTTATCATCTCAGGTGATTCTGTTTTGTTTGTTGAAATTTTCGATAATCAAAAAGTTTTCGCCGTTTTCATTTTTTTTTTCATCTTTTCTCACCTACTAAAATTTTGGCCGATAAGGCACTCGTTTGAAGAGAGCGGCTCGAGTTTTTATCGATCCCCTATAATTGACATTTCAAGGGGCCCTTGAAAAAAATATTTCTAAAAGCTTTTTGATTTTGTCCGTTATGTGTATTCAAAGAATTCAATACAGCAGCTCGTGTATCTATCCAGTAGGTGCGAAGTTGAAGCTGGAGTGGTATTAACCCACTTGCGCGTCGGGGGCTTATTTGGCCTTCTGCTTATTCGATGTTTACCTTTCCCAGTGATTTGAGTCTTTTACAGTCATTCTTGCAATTTGCAAATTTGCGGGGGAATCACCCTTTTGAGTCCGCTGAATAAAAAGGAGAAAATTAAAATTGCAGAAAAGGGAATTTTAAATGACCCAATCTTTTCCCTTGCCAAGTTCAAAATGACGAAATTATCCTCTTTGGATTGCTTAACCTGTCAAATGACGTACTTTGTTAACGAAAAAACGTGTGCCAGCGACAGCTCTCGTAACCGCCACAACAGGTCGTTTGCGGGTTAACCCGCAATCGGTACCTGATCAGAACAAAAAAAAGTGCCGCTCTCTTCTGATAGAGCGAAATTTTTTGCGGATTGAATTTCGCGCGGAATTTCGCGAGAATCTATGTTTTACATGGGAAGTTTTCTCTGATTCTAGGGTAGAGAATTCTTTAAACTCAAAGTCAAGCCACGTGAGATCAGATGTCCTCGATAAAATATAAATAACGGCTGAAATCGAGGAGCCGCTTGCGGCTTCGAGTCAAAGAAAACTTAAGCCGCGAAAGGCGCGGCTTTTCTGTCCTCCCAGCTCAAAGCCGCAAGCGGCTTTTTGATTTCAGCCGCTATTTTTGAGCTTTTCGACCTTGGCTCGGCAACCTATGTAAAAAACCTGAGTCAGTGTCTGAAAGATTTTCAATAAAAAGTCATTTACTACTGATTTTTCTTCACAGGTAGCTAAGCCCAGCTCTCGACTACCTTAGGAATTCTCTTTTCTATTGAAAAAGGACACGGTGTTTTCCTTTTGAAAAAATAACTCAGCGGAAGTCCTCCAAATCCCGTCTCAAATTAGCCGATTTCAATCAAAGCCGGTTTACTTTTTTTGAACGAGAAAAATGCAAATGCTCGTGGCTAGGCTCAGAGTTTGAAATTTTCGTGACTCGCGAGCGGCTCACTTGAGAGCGAGCGAGCACGAGCATGATGCTCTTTGTGCTCCCGAGCACATTTATTTCAGAGTTCGCGCTCTTTGCGCTCGCGAGCGCATTTCATTTCGCGCTCTCGCTCTCTTGGCTCTCGAGCACTGGTCGAATTGTGCTCTCGCTCGATCGGCTCTCGAGCTGAAAAAACTGACTCGCGAGCAGCTTTCAAGGGCCTAAAATGATTCGGCGGCCCCGTGACTAATTCCATATGAGTCTCTGTCACAGGAGTTGCACCTCGCGGTGGGCATCTTTAATCTGTTTACTCTCGGCTTTTCGCATTCTGCTGCCGAGATTACGGCCCTAATGAAGCTTACATAAAACCGAAAACACCAAAAATAGATCCTCAAAGAAATTTATTTATGAAAGTGAATAATTATGCAAAAAATTACTCTATTAATTTTGCTCGCGAGCCGCTCGTGAGTCAATTCCATGGCGAGCACGAGAGCAGCCGCTCCCGCTCGTCTAGCTCCCGAGCATTCTGACATATGCGCTCGTGCTCTCTGCGCTCGCGAGCGGGTTCAAATTTGTGCTCGTGCTCTTTTGGCTCTCGAGCCAACTCATTTTCATGCTCCCGCTCCCCTGCTCTCAGAGCAATGATAAATTTTGCTCTCGCTCTTTTCGCTCGCGAGCATTTGCGAGCATTTCAAACTCTGGCTAGGCTCGAGTGTTGTTTCAAACGCGCTAAAGCTAACTCTGCGGCTTACGATTTTTGACGAATTTAGATTTTTTCGAAAATCCGCGAAAAACCACTTCAGGGGAGATCTGAAGCACAGGCCGTGATAAGATAAAGCAAGAGAGTATTTGAGCAGCTCACGTGAGTAGGAGCTGAGTGAGCCTATTTAGACACCAGAAAAGATAGGACGAGTACCGACCGCTCATCATAAGGGGCTCCGACGTGAAGCATGCTCTTCAATCGCGCGTTTTAATTTTGCCAAGGAAGTTTTTCGTGCGCCAAAGTAAATACAGCCTTGCTCTGATAACGACCTCGATTTTAAATTGCTCGTGAATCGACCTTAGCCATTTCTAATTTTGCGTTTTCATCGATTGATAAAACAAAACAAATCAAAATAGAATAAAAACTATAAAAATTAAAAACTGTACTTGGCATTAGTTTGCCAAAACCCTTCTTTTCTGTAACATAATTACGCGTTTTTCCTCAAAGCCCAAGACCTTTCTCCCCTAACCCCCTAAATCCATTTCCTAAAGAATTCCCGATCCTTCCCTCGTTAGCCCAGGTTTATTACGCCCTCAGATCCTGCCAGGATCCCCGGATCGAGGTACACACTTGTCGGTGAAGCAAAATTTGCGCTGGGCGGCGCTGGCTGTCCGCGCGCATTTTAACCCGCTAGCGCCGTCAATTCTCGGCAACGCGCGCTGATGAGGCGCTAGAGGGTTAAAGCGCGCATCGCCGATCGGCGAAAAAAATCTGCAGCGAAAATCCCCACCAAGCAACACGAAAAAGAAAGAAATACCCCAATTCGAAAACAGGGGATTACATTTTTTATATCGAGAATTTTTGTAATAAAGAGGAGATAAAAAGAGATTTGTAAAGAAAAAAAGAAAACGAAGAAAAAATGAAAAATTATTTACAGTTATTACTGTTACTGTTATTCGGTCAGCAGTCGACCGCGAATGAAGGTAAATTATAGTAAAAAATATTAAAATTTTAAAGAGCTTTCATTACGGAAATGTTTAAAATGTGCCTGTATCTTTTTTACAGTATGATTTTTCAATAACAATCTGTATAAAAATTTGTAGCTCAAAGAATGCCCTACATTTTGAGCCATTTATCTTCCGATAATTCATTACAGGGACGTAATTACAGTCATTTGATTATTAAAAATTCCAAGAGTTTTATCCCTCTTCCCTATTTTTCTACCAGAAATGTGGTTACCGCGGGCTAGGGCTTTTTCCTTCTGCATTATTAATTCTATTTGATGTGTCTTGAGCCACTCATCAAAAAACTGGATCTCTGATAAACGAATACTCCCTGGAGAATTTCCTTGTTTTTTCAAAAAAAAAAAATCGGGCTTGGCGCGGCTCCAAAAACGGGCTAAATTCAGCGGTCAAAATTATTTAAATTATCTTATTGTCTGCCATGCATAATGCATTATTGCATGAAGCCAGGATAAATACATATGTTCATTTATTATTCAAACAAATAAAGAATTATACAACTCTAAATTTATTCTCAAGCGATATTTCAGTTTAATTAAAGTTTAAATTGATGAGTAGAAGTGATTGCTACAGTAGCAAATTTTCGAGTTGCAAAGTAGGGCGATGGAAATTTCACAAGATCGAAATCGTTCGCGCCAGATCGAGCTTCTGAGTGACCTATCTTCTTGCGCAAACTTCCGTGAAAACAGTTCTATCGCTCTATCACCAGCTGACTGTTCAAATTTTTGCCGTGTCAAAAAATCAGAGCGAAATAGAAATAGAATAAAACAAACAAATAATACTTTCGAGACAATATATATTTTTGATTCATTTTATTTTTTATCATGAAAACTCATTTTGGCGCTAGGACGATTTTGAGCCTTCCGTCGGAAATTGACCAATTCTGAGAAACGAGCCAAGTATTTTTATTTCAGCGTGTAAAAATGATTGCCTGATCTTATTTGGAAAGGGACTTCATTTTTACGATTAGGATGTTTCCCGTTATGTCTGGCTCGATTCAATTGTTATGGATCGAGTGTAATTTCCTCGTCGTAAATTCCTCTGACTCCAGCGCCGTCAAAAGATCGCCTTGATTTACAAATTTCAGAAATTTTGATCGATCAACTTTTTCCTTTTTTCAAGAGCTACTTGACCCTGTCGAGGTTGATTTTTGCTCTTCACGAATCGACCAAAACAAACTTTAGTTTGAAATTGAAAATTTTGGTCGAAACTTTCAACTGAAGGCTTTTTCTATTTTTGGCAAATATTTGGATGCGTCGCAAAGAGAGACGACGGGCGAGAGGTCGGATGAGTGACAGTATCGGCACAGTATCGCTACTGCCAGGCTGATCCGTCCCCCGGCTCAGCTCCCGCCACGCGCCCGAGGGGGAGAAGTTGAGTGGTTCCAACTTTAGAATTTCAAGGTCGAAGCCGGGCGTAGAGAATCTACGTCAATGATTGTCTCATCGACGATTTTGTTGATGAAAACACCGATATTGAAAAACAGACCTGTGCTACCTTCCCTTTTTTTAATCCCGTGGCACTGGGGAAGGCTCAAAAAATCCGTGCTTTAGAAAATTTAGCATATTCAATCCGGGTAATAAGTGTTCGCTAATGAGCCCCCAGCTGCCATCTGCGCTCCCCCGCGGAGCAAAACACATAAAATATGCCTACCGAACTCGCCTAATCGAAGAACAACTCTACCGAAGCCTAATTCCGGGACTGAAAAAAATATTCGAATATTCCATGAACCTTCGAATTTTCTGCTCCGTGCAATAAACCAAATTAGGCCGTAGAGAGGCTGAGTTTTCGAATCTTAGCAAATTGAATCATTGTGGCTTGGCCCGTCGCTAGAAAAATATTCTCACCACACACGGCACGCGACAGTTTACGGGTAAAATATCAACTTTTCAGACTTTTCATGGCCTTTTTATTTTGGAGAAAACAAAGAGCTCTGATTCCATAAGAACTCGATTTTCAGAATACTCCAAAATTGGAATTCCAATTTAAATTAAATTTTATTACCAAAAAGCCAAAGCAAAGCCGCCCCCGAAAACCGCTTCCTTTTCCAGTTCAAAAGTCGCGCCCGCAATCTTCCTTCCAATAAACGCACTTCTACGGAAGTGAAATCAAAGTACTTCCTCGCTTCCATTGTCTCCCACGTCGAAATCCATTTCACGCTATTCCAAAAAGTTGGCTCTCCCATGCCCCGCCACGCGGTACTTTTTGCTTAGATAAGAAAAGCCAATTTCTGTGTCGAAATCGTGACACAAATCGAGATTTCGTGTCAAGTGCTCCATTTTTTCATGAAAACTCATTTTCCAAATTTCTAGCAAAATGACCTTGTGGTGCCAAAAAATATAAATTAACCCCCGGTGCCACTTTTTAAAATAACCGTGTTGCACCGTACTCGCATCGATACCGAGGGCCTAGTGATAAGAAACGAGGCGATAAGGAAACCGCGAGTACCCATCTGGCGGGATCCGGTGCCCCGCTTTTGGTATTTTTGCTAATGCGTTTTCTGGCGCGTATTTTTGGAGCAGAAATGAAATCAACTCCGCCGTGGCCGGCAAAGAATTTACTCGTGCATTTTAAAACCGATCTGTTGTCAGGCTGGTCCCTAGGATAAGCTTGTTCAATTTTGCAAGCTCCAGGTCATCCTCCTTATCATCTGATTAGCCTCGCCGGATAAGGATCTAAGAGCCACTGATGCAAAAACTAGAAATTTCGCGAAATTGGCAGCCTGATGGATTTTTCGCCAAAATAACTATGATAGATGAGCATGGGTTCCACTTGGGCGAGCAGAACCTATTTTCTGGGTTCAGCACCTTTCTGAGCGACGGAGGAGTCGACGAAAAAAACGGGGCGGCGAGATGAAAAGATGGTTATTTTTCCGGACCCGTTTGTGTTGTGAGAAAAACGGGAAAGGGGACCTTAGTTTTGTTTATTCCCATAATTGAAAGGCAAAGGCTACAGCTGTGTTTTTGGGGAATAGGCTTTGATCCCGTCGAAGTCCTCAGGTTATCCCGATAATTCAGATTGCAGACTTTTATAGGCGAAAAGAGACACTTATAGAAATAAATATTGTTGTTTCCTAAATTTTACTGTAATTTTGAAATGCAGAAACATGATTAATCCTCCAATCTGCGAGAGTGGACTCAGCATGGATCAGCTGCACGCTCAAACAGCGAAAATCCAGATTCCGTTTTACCGGATTATCGAAATAAATCCCCGGGCCGCCGCTTTTGATATGTTAAAAAAGCGTACCCCGCTGGGCTAAGAAAGTTGTAAAACGGGGCGCACAACCTTGATCGGGCGGCGCATTTTGACACGTAATGAAAGCTCTTTGATTTTACTCGCCGTGAATATTTTTTCCGTCGGCAATGGCCCTGTAATTTAACTGTATTGAACTTGTTGGCAGCTTATTAACATTTCCTTTTCCAGGTTTATTGCTCGATACGAGGCAGGCGACGACTGATCTTGGATGGGAAATTGGACCAAACTCAGGGGTAAGTCAGAAGAACAAAGAATAAACGTCTAATTTCCAGTCTCTCGGGTGAAATTTTCAAATTTTGAAATGGTCAAACTCTTTCTCGGGTGTGGCTGTTTCTAGTCCCCACAGCTCGCGATCGTTAAAACTTACGCGCGTAATCTAAAATAGCGGCCGAACTTCCGGACTTACGGCCCATCCATCCGGTGTCCGCCCTTGGCCACGGAAGGTCTAAGCTTTCCGCGAAGATTTCAGTGAGGCAATTTGAATAAAACGCATTTTGAATACTGATCTTGATTATTGTTATGGAAAACGGGCGACACGTTTTTCTTCTTTTCGAAATTCCATTTTTCGCTAGGTTGATTCGCAAAACTCTTATTCTCATTGTAAACATCAAATCACACAATCAACAGAGAGGTCGCTGGCCCCGCACAGTATGCGAAACAAGCTATACTTTTCGCGGCTATTTGTTATCACCAAAAATGTGGGAGTTCTGAATTCAGCAAAAATGTGGGGTAGGCTGATTAAAATTCATTAAATTTAGAAATCAAAGAAACGAAATAGGGAAAGGTTTAATTGGTGTTAATATTCTTAATTTTCATTGTACCCAGAAATGTCGTAAATTTTCAGAATTTCTTCGTAGCGTTTTTAATAGCATTTCAAGGTTTATAAATACTGATTCTGAAAAGGCCTTTAGATCGTTTTGCACAGCCTTAAACTTTCTAAAATCCCAAAATTGACGCTCCAGACCTTGAGTTGAAGAACAAAGCGCCAATTATTCCTTTGCCTTTGCGTTTTTTTTCTTCTTCGTTTTTACAAAACTGCTACCTTCGCCGGCCCGTTATGACGCTTCTAGCCACCCATAATTACACCAGAGCAGGTTAAACATTGCGGCCGTGATTTCGCGAAAAGCAAGGAGCCGATTTTAAGGCGCTAAATGCGGCCTTGCGCAAGTTTAAATTCTAGCGGAGGGGGTTTTTAATCTGAGGTTGTGAATTGATTATCGAGTATACGTGGCTTCTCATACAGTAATGGCTTGTAATGGCCGCGCGGTGGATCAAGGCGAAGACCTTAAATGAACGAATCGATGATCGATACATCTTTTTTGATATTCTGACTTCTGAAGGGGATCGGTATTAAGGTGCCAGCCCCCGTAGAGAAAAAGGATATTGGAAGTTGACCGCATATCGCGCGGAATTTAACCCTCCCTCGTCGTGTTGTGTTTTTGATAGCGACTCTAAGCGTGACCTAGAGCTAGTTATCAAGAAATATCAAAACGAAAGAACGACGAAGAGGTCCTTTAAGTCTTCGAGAGCCAGTGGAATTCGCTCAATTACAACAAAAATGCCAAAAGTGTCAGCGAGCGGTTGAGAGTGAGCTTATCTCCCACAGCACAAATATCTGGCTGTAACTCGACAGTCTTCTAAAACCCATTAGAAATAAAATGATCGAGCAAGTTCTTGAGTCAGTAAGAAGCATAAGTTTCATAAGCATTTTTTGGAAAGTGTCCAGCCAGTGGTTTTCGAGATTGATAACCAGAAAATGAGATTTGGGCTGGCAACCGCCATGTTGATTTTATCACGAAGCCACAAATTTAGGGTCTCCGGAACCGGATTTGTCAAACTCACCTGGGCAGCGTCCATAGGTACTGTCACACTGGCCAGTATGAACACTGCAAAGACGGGAAATGCGCGGTGGAATTTAGATCCGCTTGAGAAAGTATGCGCTTTTGAGTCAGAAGGCATTCAATTCGAGCCGAATTAAGCTCAGAATGGAACTCCATTCTACCAGAAATAATTTCCCTCTCGGTGTTCAATTTTTCGCTCGATGGCAAATCGCGAATCGTTTGTGACTCGATCTGATGATGACTGTATGCATCAAAAATATTGATTCTTGCAATTGCCAATTGTCCCTTTCTTTCTGATAAGGGCAGGATTTGTATTCGGGAGATAAATCGGTTTGGCCAACTGTCGTGCTCCGGATTTGGCTTTTACGGGCCGCGTAAAAGGTTCCACGCTTTTAGATGGTCCTTGGCCGCGTGAAACAGGGTTGGTAGTATCCCCTAGACTTGCCTTTGATATTCACTTTAGACAGAATCGTGCCAAAAGGGATCGAAGAGCTTTTCCATACAGAAAAGAATGGGATTTGCTCGGCACCTGAGAGGCACTGTTAGCTTCAAATCCATCACCCGCCGAGTGATAAAGGCTCGGCGGGTGATCGTGTTAGCCACATGGGTGACCGATCCCATCATTGCGCTATTCTTTTCCCACCCCATTACGAAAAGAAGGAAACATTAGAAGGTTACGCCCTTACGTATTTTTCTCGCTCCCATGAACGTCGCGAAATTCCAGCGAAATTAAAATTTACAATTTTAAAAGGAAAGAAAAACATTCTGAAAAGAACGCGCTCCCAGCATTAATTATTCCCCGTAAGCGGATTATAAAGAAAATGAACAGTAAGATGAGCAGCTCGCATGGTTAAAAATTGATGAGCAGAGCAGTACAGCAGTAGTAGGCGCACTGTAAATGCATAAGCGATATATCGACAACGAGACGTACTTCTAAATAATGCTCGAGCCTCGAGGTAGAGTATTTTTAATTAAAAATGGCCAGCACGTTCTATGAGCACAAGCTGATTCAGACACTACAAAGTATGCTCACAGTAAGGAATATTCTCTTACTGGACAGTTTTTCGCTAAAATCAGTTGAACAAAAACCATTTGCCTCAATTTCCATCGCGGTCACTTCAAGCCTTGGAACCAAGTCCCTCCCTCCCGGAAAAGAAGGTTCCGCTCAATTTTAACCCCTTTTTTAAATAAGTTGCTCAAGTGGCAATTTTCGAATTCTGGAAAGTATAACGAGCTTGGAGGAAATAATTTAAATACTTTGAAAATTGAGTGCAAATATTTCCCTGTGCATTTTTATCGGGCAAGCTTTCTTGGCAATGTCGCTGACACGTAGTCTAAGTGGGGGCTTTTTGAATACCGAAGAGACTGAAAATTATGATTCTAGCGCGACTTTCCCATGGAGACAATCATTTTTGAACCTTTTCTTTACTGTTTCATTTTAGTGGGACGAAATCTCCGGCCACGACGACGCCGGCAACGAGTACCGAATGTTCCAAATCTGCGAAATCACCCGCACTGATCAACAAAACTGGCTGAGGACAAATTACATCAAGACATTCGGCGCGAATCGAGTTTTCGTCGAAATCGAATTCACCATTCGGTAAGCCTTGCCCTTTTACATTCACCCTTTGATGTTGTAATTGAGCTGATTTGAGGTACCCCCTGCGCTCTTGAAAGCGCAACAGATTAGTTTTTTCGGGTTAACTTAAGCTTATTTGAAAATAAAGCCTTTTTTCTTCTTCGAGTATTTTTTTTGTGTATTTTAAACTTATTTAATACTCTCTTTTTATTTTCTTTCCTTGCTCAACGAACAAAATGAGACATATTGTTCTCCAAGATAAAGCTTGTCGAAAATGGATGTTTTTCCTCGCTGTCAGCTTTTAATATTCGCTATCTAAGCGATATTTGGGGGTGTTGATGGCGGTGGCGGCGGCGCCTTGAAAGGGGCAACAGGGAGTAGATTATAAGTCGACAAGGCTCGGCCGGCCCTTCTAATCGTGTTCGAATCACAGTCTTCAACATGTTTACGAAATATTACCAATTTCGCGGCGGGGAGAAAATTTAGCTCCGTCTTCTCATATCTATCCATCGTGATAAGAGAAGAAGAAACGTGGCCCGAGACCCGTTCAATAATGTACCGAAAATAGTAGCTTAACCCCTATACTCGAAGCTGCCTAAAGAACCCCTTACCCGAAGTGTACAATTTTTGTCGATTTGATCTTCCTCTCGAGATAATTTTCTGAAAATTTCAGATCATACCAAATCAATGATTTTCTTTCGAACTGCACTTTTAGATTTATCGAAAAATGAATACTTAGTGGTTTAACTGATATAAGTAATTTTGTCACTATAAAATTTTTATGTGACGACTATGTAAAAAAATTCATCTTTACCGCGAAAAAAGCCGCAAATTAACAAAATTTCTTCTTTCGCGAAAATTTCGCATTTCGCCTTTTGGACCGGCCTCGCTCCTCTGAGTACTCATCATATTTCCTAAATTGTCATATTTCAAGTGGCTGATGTGTTTTGCCTCGCTCACTGGCCACTTTTAAAGCACTCGACATTAGTAGTGTTGTATCCCCTGGCCGGATACTTCACGTAACCCTCTGTTGCCGTCGTTTGGACTTATCAGTCTTTTTCAAAGTGTAATTACGATCTCTCCGAGTAGCTGTGCTGCTTGGCACGCGCTGCGGACATCTTCTAACATACAAACCCTAAGTGCACTTTAGATCAAAAGAACGCCCGCTCACTGCAGATGGAGACCCCTAAACCCCTCGGTATTTTTGACAGGCGCTTTTCGTGTACTTATGCAAGTGTTGGCATGTTCATTTCCTTGCCAAAAGAAGCATCCAATTTTAGACCGTCGCCGGGTTCGAAAAGATATTGCCTTTGCCATCATAATCGCGCGGTTTTCTTATCACATTATCACTGAATCCAGCCAAACCGCAATGATAAATGCGGTCGTTGGAATCACATCCTCCTTTCCTTCTATCGCGGTTATACCGAAATAAAATAAAGTTTTGCGACTTCCTCTCCCTAATCCTTCCTCGGCTTATTTACTAGTCAGAAAATTGGCCAAGTGGTGGTCCCCTTACGACATTTTTTGAACAAGCAACACGACGATAACCCTAAACACAGCCTTGCCGCGACTCAGATAATTTCGCGGTTAGGTCCACCGTTCGGGTGAATAAGCAAATAATAATTTCGTAAAAAGAAAAGTGTTTCGAATATCATTTCAATTTCGAATACCATCTAACCGCTGAGATGGTCGTTCCGACTAGCTGTTTCTCCTTCTCGACTTCTAGTTACAGAATTAAGGGCATCGGCAGCCGCAAAAGCAATGTTCCTCTCACCTTGACGCGAAATAATTAACGTTTTGCGTCTGGCCAAATATGTACTCAAATTAAAGTTTTAGAAACCTGCTCAACCAAGGAGCAACTGTAAGGTTTACTTCGCACTTAGGATTCGACCTTCCTGTAGAATTAAATATGACCATTGAGCATTTTTTAATATCAAGTGTTTCCGAAATCTAAGTCGAAAAGAAGCGTTTTTTATGAAATTAAAATTAGATAATGATAGTCATCTTTGCTCTATGGGAACTGTTGGGTAGCACTTTGCTACCAGTGGAATGTGGTTTTGTCAACTAACTGTGTGGCGAAAGCAGCCTCCCAGCCAAATAGTCTTACCCAACAATCCCCGGTCCTGACCAAAACAGACATCACGTGGCTGGGCCAGATCAGCTCTGATTACAATTTGTTCAATCAAATGACCACGCCTCAGTAAAGTTATTTTTCTTCAGATCTTGTGAAGATTTGGCTAATGTCAAAGTCTGCCGGGAAACATTCAACTTGCTGGCCTACGAAGCTGATGGTGAACAAGATACTCCACAGTGGAATACTCTTCACTACAAAAAGGTAAAGCAATCTTATTGACGAAAAACTCCGTTGTCGATTTCTGACTTCCAGGCACTCAAAAGTGGCTTTAAATTTTTGAACCTGGCCAAACAAAGAGACCAGAGAAGAGTGTGCCCAAACAACAATTTGTTTGCGGAAGATGCTGCTTGACATGAATCCAAATTTGATTTATAATTCGCCACCAAATGTTTATATTTGGCATTTGGTGATTGTTTACGACGCTGATGTATCTATTGAATTCGCTGTCTAAACTAACCTTATTAATTTATCATTTTTTAGGTTGATACAGTAGCGGCTGACAGACGATTTTCGCCAGAAGCTGATTCCAGACATCGAACAAACTTTGAAACTCGTGAAATCGGAAACTTGACGAAAAATGGTCTCTTCATCGCTATTCAGGTAAGAAAATCTAAACTGGAAAATAGAGATATTCTTGAGTTACAAAACGGATTGTTTATTTCCATTCAATCTCTAATCGCCTTGAAGTGCATTTTGCTATCTAAAAACATAAATACAAAAAAACGTTCTGGACTTACATAATCCGTTTATCAGCAGGTTCCTTTTAGAGGACTTTGGATTAGCTAAAAAGCCGAGATCGTTTATCAGTAACTTAGCGCGAGCAACACTCTTATCAGTAGGTGTTTCTAGCTGAGCTGGCCATCAGATCATTCGGCTGATCTTTTCTGAAACGAGCGTCTAACCGTTCTTTTCAGGATACTGGCGCGTGCATGGCCCTGATGCACTTGAAAGTCTACTACAAATTTTGCCCTGAGACTGTTGAAAACCTCGCTGTCTTTCCTCGAACTGTTTCTGGACCAGATCTGACTTCGCTTGAAGAGGCAACTGGAACTTGTGTTGATAATGCAGCCATGGTAAGTTCAAAGCTAATTGGAGAAAACAACATCGAAATTCGCAACTTGAGTTTGAGTACCAAATATTAATTAACAAGAGTCTTGGCGAAAAGATCAAAGCCCCTTACGCATGTACCCCTTCAATGATTGGCCTCCAATTCGCTTATCGTAAATATGCACGGAAATGTCCCGAAAGAAACAGCTTTATTTGAGAGAATCGCCGCCACGGCAATCCATCGGCTTCTTCCGGTGCAGCGTGGGGGCCCTCGAGTCCTTGAAGGATCGATAGAGTTAGAGATTTCATTCTAGGCTCAACTTCAAAGCGAGTTTAGGTGAAAAACGGATAAATCTGAGGATGAGCGGCGGATTGAGCCTTTTTCTAACACTTTAAAGTGTCGAATATCCATGCGTCTGTCTCACGCCTTTGACAAGCTAGATGCATTTTTTGGCAAAAAAAAACTTTTGAACACGTAACACCTTCAACTACAGTAGGAAGTCTCCATAAATTTCAATTGTACAGCCTGTCTAAAACATAGCTATTTACTTGCTAAAGAGCGTTCCAACTCGAAATCTGTCGGAAAACGTCGCTCATGCTTCCCGCGGGTCCGAACTACAGATACAGTCACGTTTGCTTTCCTCTTCTGGAGCTCTTTTGACCCAGGACGGAACTGGATGATAAGAGCGCGTGCTTGAAATTTGTCAGAACGCGTGACTGATGGAGCTTATTTTAACATGCTCTTCGTGTATTTATACGGGTACGTCTCTGAGGGCTCAAAGCTTCAGAAGCGAAAAACATGCGGTTGGATTATTTTCACTTGAAATCGACTTTTCCCCGTCTAAATCTGGCTCCCAAGTCAGATATGAAGCCGATTTGCACAGTTTATTATCTAGAGTAAATACGCCATCCGCGAGAAATCGCTCCACCAAGCTCAAAAGAAATTTCTGTGGATACTCAAAACATTGTAAAAATCTACAACTAATCACACATATAAAACCCAGTCACCTGTTAAATACGCTGCTCCGCGAATTTGATGTTTTTGTTCTCCACCGGCTCTGAGCCAAGAACACCCTTTCAAAAATACTTTTTAGGATCCATCGCAAAGCCCGAAATTGTACTGCAATGCCAAAGGCGAGTGGACTTTGCCAACTGGAAAATGTCAATGTGTCGCCGGCTTCACTCCGTCCAAGGACTTTTCTTCGTGCGAACGTAAGTAAAAATCTCTTAAAGTACCTACCCGTAATCCTCGACTACAACTTTTTCTAGTCATAATTTCGCGAAAAGCCGCAATTAAGCTTTTCCCTTTTTACTTTCTCCCAAACCCTAATCCGACCAAATTGTAACGGTCTTATTCATCCTGCTCCACCACCTTTCTTTACTGGAATTGAATTCAATTGTGCTCAAGCCGGCGGTGAATTTCGTGGCAGCGCGTTGAATTTTAACCCGTATTCGTGCGGCCGCGCACTTCTCTTTGGGTTCACCACAGGCAGATTTGCGCCCCAGCGGAACAATATAAAAATGCATTCCACGAAATATGCATGTCACATCGAATTCTAGCGTTTTCTTTATTTAACCACCCGTCGGATGATGCGAGAATTCCACTTTTATACCTTGAAATTCATGAATTTTCGATCGAACGAAAAATAGCCTCAATATTACGAAATCTTGCGCGTAAAGAAAACTGCGAAAGAGAGCAGTGACAGTTTACACATGTTCCCTGTCGCCACCTGTGACAGAGGGTGCCACAGTTTCTTTACCGCAAGGGTCTTGAAAAGCAAGTGAGGATTAGTTTGAACTCTGATTTGAATTTTGCCGAGCATCTCAAGATGCTTATTTTTGTCACTTTATTTGTCACCTTTTTCTTGATTTTTACGTTGCTTCTACGAACAACTAATCCACCGCCAATTTCATTGAGAACAAGGACGAAATCATTATGACCTCAGTTCGTTCATAATTTTCCCCATGTCCTTTGATATTTAACAAGCGTAAAAATCCAGATCTCGGGCAAATAGTAAACGCATTTTAACACGATCGTAAATCATTCTCCGATAATAGACAGTGAATTATTTGCTGCGGAATTGAATCTTATTTCTAAAGAGGAAGAGAATCTGATTGATTCAAATATCTCGGAAATATTATCGCCGTAAAGCTAGAAACGCTAGAATAAATTCCGCAAACGAGCTGGCGCCACGCTCGTATGAGATGCAAAGATGACATAATCAAAATGCCATTTTTGAAATAGAAACCGCCGGCGAAAGTGTCAATCCCTTAAGCGTCTCGTTCTTGCTCTAGAAACAGTCAATATCAATATTATGGCGTGTCCTAAGTGGTCTACGGGTTTCATTGCAAGAGCCAAGTACCCGTGACCGGGCGATGGTCACACGTGGTTGGCCATAAACTGATTACAACTTATCCAAAATGCAACTGGACGGGTTGGATTTAGTTACGCGCATTATCAAACCGAAAGGTCGTGTTGCTAGCGAAAATTTTACTCGAGCTGAAAATATGCAAACTTGCGAAATTAAGAAAATATTCCTTTGAACACATTCTAACCCGCGGTGCACCATCTCTTGAATTCCCCACCCACAAGCCGATCCATCCATCCTCTCATCCCTTTTCTGATCCTTTTCCTTTAGCTTGCCGCAAGGGCACTTACAAGAGTCAAACTGGAAACGGCCCGTGCACCTCCTGCCCACGAAATGCTGTATCCAACTATGGTGGAGCTGATGTCTGCACTTGCCGACCTGGTTATTTTCGATCAGCTGATGATTCTGTCGACGCTGCTTGCTCGACTACGCCTTCTGCTCCTCGAGACTTGGCCGCTTTCGACATTTCTGACAATGATCTTCGTCTCTCTTGGATGGGACCTTCCGACTTTGGCGACCGACGAGAAATTGAGTACAAAATTGAATGCACCCAAAACAACCAACCTTGCCCACGAAGCGTCGGGGCCTCACCAAGCTGGACTGTTCAATCCCGCTCCGTCCAGATTCACGGACTCGATGCCAGCTCCAACTACGAGTTCCGAGTTTATGCTCTCAACGACATCTCCTCCATCGCTGGTGGCGAAGCTGCTTACGCACAAGTCATTGTCAGCACTGCTGATCGTTCCCCAGCCGGAATCGCCATGGTTGAAATTGTCGATTTCACCTCTTCCACCGCTCGAATTGCCTGGCAAGAACCAAGAATCTCTGATGGCGTTGTAAATGGTTATGAAACTGTTTTGGAAAACAAAAATGGCGGCGGCATCATCCGGAACATGACGACTGACCAGGAGATCTTCTTTTCCGGACTCATGGCCTCGAACGTCTACGTTTTCAAGGTGAGCTAGTGATTTATATTTTTCTAAAAGGCAACGGGGTAGAACAACTATCCGGATTATGCGTAGCCCGACAGCAAGTTTCCCACACGTCCTTTTTTGTCACTAATGCTTGTTAGTTCTCTTTTGTCCTGTAGGACAATCATAATGGCATTTGAGAATTCTCAGAGGCCGGAGATTTGTGTTTCCTGATTAGGCTCAGAACAGAAAATCCGGATCGTCATTGAACCCCGCTAAAGCTGAGCGATATAGATTATGAAAGGTTATCCCTCCGTTTGACCACTGGCCGATGCTTAGTTGCGTTACTTGAGTTTTACCATCTGCCCTTACATGGAGCGTTTCTTTTTGAGCAAGAGGGACAAGAGCCTATTACACTTGCCAAGATAAATAGCAATCACGTGACTAATTGGCGTTCGGAGCTACGCGGCCGGTTATACGCCCGAGCGGTTAGCAAAACAACAACCCAGCGATTATTGCCTTATGAGGAGAACCCCCTTAGCAAACTTCTTACTAACCTGATTATTAAGGTACGCGCACGGACCAGCAACGGACTCAGCCCGTACTCAAATCCCGAGGAGTTCAAGACATACGCGTCCAATTCTCGCGTTATGCTCTCAAAACCTGAGTTTGAAGAGTCAAGCGAATTTGTCGAAGAAAGCAACACTGGAGCCATCGCAGGTGCCGCCGCTGGTGGTGCTGTTATTCTCATCATGTTGGTGGTCTTCCTCGTCATCTGCACTAGAAAGAACACTTATCATAAGGGCGATAAGTACGTCCACGAGCTTGGCGTTACTGATGTGACTTTCCACCCTGTCCATCCAGTTGGCAAAAACTCGGCTATTTACGGGATGGAACACACTCCCTGGCTCGCGAATCAAGAAGCTCCACAGCCAAACCAGGAGCTCGAAGTCAGCCAGGTCGAAGTCGGATCCACTCTTCGAAGAGCTACAGGTAATAGACCAAACTAATTAGCTTTACAAAGCACAAACAATCCTAAATGACCGGTTTGCTCAATCTGTTTCAAAATTGATGCAGGACGTGGAAGCAGAATTAGTGTCATGATGGCGGTGCCACACTGGCGCCGGGGTAAGCAGCTAAACGTAAATTTATTTATGCATCCCGCTGCAAGCCCCAGATCATGGTCAGGTTGCGCATACCGGACGTTTTTCATCATTTTCCGCAATTTGTGGTCGCCGTGCTTCTTTTGGAAGCAGGCACTGGCTCATTATCAAAGCAAAGACATGTCATTTTTATAGATCGTATAATAATAACAGTGATGGAAAATATTCTAAACTACGTTTCTAAACAACCGTTTTTAGGTTCGCAAATGGTCGAAGTCTTACACGGCACCTTCCGACCCTTCAACGGTCAAGCCCCAGAACCAGCCATTGTCAAACGACTCCGAGTTGGATTCACTGGCCAGCAGAAAGCCGAGTTCCTCAATGACGCTGACATCATCGCGCAATTCCGACACGAAAACGTGATTGAAATCAAGGGCGTAATTTCACACACGATGCCGCTCATGTCCGTTTATGAGTACATGGAGCATCCCTTTGCCGACGAATTCCTGAGGGTAAGGATTATTTGATTTTGACTTGGAACATGGATGAATAACCCATCGTTTTGATGTAACTGTTTGACTACGGACTGGAGAATTCCAGCGGTGGAAGAAATGCTCCGTGTTATCATTATCAGAGCACTCTTATCAGTGTTCACTTTCGATAGAATTGTCAATATGATATACAAAACAGCTAAGATAGTGGCTGCTTTCGGAATTTCGCTAGAGATCTAAGGGATTTAACAAGTAGCTACCTCGTTTCTTCTTCTTTTTAGAACGATAAACGAATTCCGCAAGTTTTTGGACCTATTTTTTCGTCAGAATTTAATTAAAACTCGATTTTTGATTCGTCCAATGTTTCCAAAATTTAGCAACAAAGCAGCTTGGAGCAAAAACGTCATGATTATTTTCAGATGCATCGGGGTCAACTCTCGCAGGTCCAGCTCCAAGGGATGATCCGCAACGTCGCGGCCGGTATGAAGTACTTGATTGAACAGGGCTATCTCCACCGGGACCTCCAATGCGCTCACCTTGCTGTCACCGCCAATTTGAACGTCAAAATCGCCGACTTCTCTCAAGCCAGACGACTCGCTGAAACCTTTGTTCCAACAGTAAGAATTTAATTAAGTATCCGATCTACCATTTGAGATCTGGAATTTCGCATAAACCTGTACCTTGGTGAAATGCAAATTTTAAAAATGACGTGGCCGTTGACTAATGTTGTTGATTAGGTTGGAAAATGCTCGTACAAATGGAGCGCGCCGGAAGTCATCAGCCAGAGGATGTACTCAGAGGCCTCAGATGTTTGGAGCTTTGGGGTGACCGCTTGGGAAATCATTAACTTTGGCGACGCCCCATACTGGGAGATGAATGATGAAGAGGTAAGAATCGCCACTGATTGCTTTTTCCCTAGCTTTTCCTTTCATGATTTGATCATTCAACTAACTGTCTATTTTCAGGTCATTCGCAAGATCGAAACTGGTTACCGACTTCCTTGCAACACCAACTGCCCTCCCGCTCTCCAACAAATCCTTCTCGATTGCTGGAAATCCGCCTCTAACGAGCGTCCTCCCTTCAATCGAATCCTCAAGCAACTCGATCTTTCTCTTCGATCACCAAGCAACCGAACTAGCCAATATTCTGGCTCTTGCATGACTCTTGATTCCAACGCGTCTTCTGCCAGCTCTCTCGGTCAATGGCTCGAGGGAATTGGCCTTGCTCAGTACCGAGAACGTCTTCAGCAAAATGGTTTTGGAACTTTGGATGAAATTATTCAAATGTCTAGAACGTGAGTAACACTCTTTTTCATCACTTCCATGAAAAGATTTTTCAACAAAAGATCAGTTTTAACTAATTTTCTTCAGTGATATGCGAGACATCGGAATCAACTCTCTGAACGAGCAAAACCACCTCCAAGAATCCGCCCGAGCTTTTGCCCACTCGCGGACTCGCCAAACCATTCCATACGGCAACAGATGTGATATGTCTCTCGAACGAGGAACAACTGTCGCTGTCTAAGTGCGAACTTCCTGTATTTATGTTACACGACCTTTGCTTATTTAAAGAATTCCTTATAAATCGTTTTTATGCGAGTTAGATGGAATTCAACCGCTGCCAAAAACTCTTATTTTTACGATGAAAGTCGTAGAAAAAACCTTGTATATTTGTTACTTGAACAGACAAATCTTCAACAGACATAAACTGCTATTTATGCTGGTCAAACTAAATAAAGAACAGCTCAAACCAAACGACTTGTATTTTAGTTTTTCATTAAAAAGCATCTTTGTTCCAAAGTTACTAAGTAATCAGCTAGATAAGTTCGCTAATGATGCTTTTACGCCCGTCCTCGAGGGAACACTAATTGAACAAAATTAACCAAAATTGTCCAAAACAGCAAAAAAGGTCGTCTCGTAAAATAGGGAAACTAAAGTATTTGATGTTTACTCAAAAATACGTTTTCAAGCTTGTAAAAGGGCAAGATTCAATTAAACGTCAGCCGCCAGATTTAGCACTAGTTTATTGAACAATTGCATGATGCTGAACCTCAAAGGCATTTATCCCGAGGAATATTCACGTTTGAAAAACGCTGATTTCTGTTTATTGAAATTGGTTGGAACTCGTCGGTTTGCCGGTAGAAGGCTGCGTTCACCGGTGGCAGTGGTCAATTTATGAGCCTCTTGGTCCTTCCATGTTTACTGCTTTGTTTACCCTTTGGGGATTAAAATGACAAGTCCCAGCTAAACATTGTGCGGTAACGCCAATCCGACGAGTTGAAGGTCCAAAAAATCTAAATCAACCGAAAAATATTCATTTGGAAATCAAAATAAAAAAAAAACAATAATATTTTATGATCCGCTTTTTAAAATATCCTTTGATCTTCTGCGAAACGTTCCAATAAAATTGAAAATTTTGAATAGATAATTTTGTTTTGTTGGCAATTTATGGAAAAACAATGAGTGTATTTTTATTATAAGGATTCTGGGTTGAAAATTTTCGAGATGATGGATTTTTTGTTGGCAGATTTTTGCAGTCGTAATGATATTTTCTTGAAGCAGTCGAAATGAATATCGAAATTTGCTCTCGTTACTTTCTCCTTGCATTCCAAACAACCTATTGAATGCAAGCAATTTTTCTCGTGATTTCTAAACTCTTTGTAAGGTATTGATTCGTTGCACTCTTCTGCAGGACAAATAATTCGTATTTGGCTTAAAAATAAGGCAAGAAATCTTGATGGTCTATCACTGAGCTGTTCGGAACAGAGAGGGCAAAAAGGTACGATTGATCGTGTGTAGTAAACCATTTGCAGACAAGATTGACAACAATATTTTCCACAACAATTCGTTTCGACGGGACCCTGATCAGAGTCAAAATCGAGTAAATATCAAGTCATACCTCAAGTATAAAGTGACATACCGAGCAGTGAATATCACCTTTCAGATTCTCTAAAAAATTATTGCCGAAGGAATAGTCGATTTTAGCGTCAATACCCATTTTGAAATGGCAAAATTCATTCCTATGAATTCTCTATGAAGCTAAAGGGTAAACACTACTGAAAGCCTCACCACAGATATCGTTACTATTGGCCCAAACAATAACAAAATAACGTTGAGATTGTCAGTCCAAAGATTTTTTTGTAACAAGGAAAAGATAGAATGGAAAAAGACTCGAAGGAAATGAAAATTTCATTTTGAGGTCGTCAGTTTGCGAGTGCGGTGGAGGGGGAACCGTCCAAACCACCGCCGAGATCGCTTTACGCCAACACGTTTTCAGCACGCAGAAATAATATTAACTGAGCCAGAGTTTGCACAACGGATAGTCACTTTAACTCCACCAGAGTTGATCTTTTTGCGCAAGAACTCACGTGTCCTTCCATTATTATCATATTAGATTTTCAACAAGCTTTAAACTTGTCCTCTGACTCGCACCAATAAGTTGGAAAAGAAGAGCCAATGGGTTAAATTAAATTTTAAGAGATGAATCGTCTTCTTCGAAAAACAAATTGCGCTAAGAGTGTTGATTCAGTGACCTTCTATTGTTTTTGATTAAAAGCGGTCCTTGACTTCTTTCATAATGTACATTAACTAACCGATCGGAACCACTCGTGCCGGGCACAATTTGTGACATCGTTCAAGTGACACTGAGATGGCTCGAGAGGAGGTTAACAATAACTTCAAATTGAATCGGAGAATATGTACAAACAGTAAGTTCGTACTACTGTTATCGGGTTGAAGATAATCGCGACCGGCGTAAACGTCCGGATTTTATTTAACCCGCTGCGGGAAGAAAAACATCCGATTTGCAGGGCGAAGATACGATTTACGTCGACTTTTTGGAAAGATTGTTTACCCGCGCTGCCCAACAACCAGACGTTTTTATGCAACTTCTTCTGTTCAATTGAAATATCGAAAAGGGAAGGCTTCTTTTTCTTTGGTCGGCGAAAATGCTCACGCGTAATAAATTTGCTTTTGCGTGGAATTGAAAATTCTAGCGTTGAGTTTGTGCAGATGGCGATGCTGTCTTTGCGCGACTAATGGGGTTTTACCGAATCCAGTGATTTTGTGCTTTTGATGTTTTTGCACAGTTTCAACCTGGACAATTTCAAGAATCAATTTCATTTCAACCCGTTTCCTCAAATCGATCAAACTGTTTTACCAAAACTCACTTCTAGCAAAAAAAGTTCTCACTTCCAATAAATTGGTTACATCGCTCAATTGGGTTAAAATTTTCTGTGAGACGGAAAAAATGGAACGCTCTTGAATATCATCCGCCCGTTTCTGTGATTTTCTTTAGGCGACAATTCGCCAATTTGTCATACACGAGTTATCTTGACTGGAAAATGGGTTCACCAAAGTCCTTATAAAACGAAGGGCCAAAAAGTACTCCGCCAAAACGGTGAGTTAGAAATCATGTCGAATACTTCCATTCTGATAAGTTATCAAAAGCGCCGATTCCTTCCTCTGCCGGCAAGAATAGAAGCCGATCTCCCAACTATCCTTTAGATGTGTCCATTTACATGAAGCTCATTTTTCGCGAAAATGGATTCAAGTGCCTCTGTCACTTGTACGCGCCTCGCTTCCAAAGCTGACGTGTCTCAATTCCAAAGTTCCGACAGCATGTGCAAATGTCTTTCATCACGCCGCGCAGGGTCCCATCAAGTTTGAAAGAACCCGACAGTTTTCTTAACTGGACGACTTCAAGCGTCATTTAGGACTGTTCCGGCTTTATATACTTTTTGAAAAAATATTTTATGGTACTTTAGTACCTCAAGTAAGGATCTCCAAAAATAATTCAAATCATTATTAGTACTTGCCAAATTTGATCATCTATATTAAAATTCTTATTCGGCTATATTTTTCAAAAATTATGATCCCCGTATTACTTCTTCTCAATTGGCTCCTTTATTCGAGAAAAAAACTGATAAAAATGAAAAGGTTAATAGATTCAAGCGCAGCTGTTTAATAAAATTCTGCAATCTCCCCCATTTTCCCATCATAAAATAAAATTGCTCCAAATGTAAAGGTCAGCTCGTAAGTTCCACCGACGCTTGTACCCTTCTCCACTCCCAGCAGCTGTTTTTTCAAATCTCCCTCTTCCCCAACTGGCCAATTTCCAATTTCGCCAATTCGAAAATTTCAAACCCACTGGCTCCGTTACATTCTGTTTGTTTTGGTTGCTCCCTGTAGCGGTGAAATTCCGGGGATTTTTTGAGAATAGCTCCTCGAGCATTTCCTTGATAGAAATCTGCATAATTAATTCCAAGCGCTCCAAAAAGCGCAACTAAGACTACTGACGAGAAGAGTAAACGAATGCAAGCGGAAATTGAGGGTTTCCGGTCCTGGGATGAATAGCTCTGATTTGTTGAACGGTTAGACCGTGAACTCTTTGAAGGGAAATTTCAAGGGATGAAAAATAGACTCCAGTTTTGGATCAAAAAACGATCAATCTCTGCTTCCATTCTTGTTTCTGCCAAAACAGGGCAGAGCATCAAATATTGTCAATATGAAAGTACCCCGATTTTAGGACAAGCTCCAGCGAAATTATTCAACACAAATAAAATACCCAGTTATCAAGGCGCCTTTGGTTTATTTTTAATCAAACTTGATCAACGACCGATTGCGCGTTTTTTTTCTGTCGATCTTTGTTATTTAAAAAAAAGTCATGGAGAACTCGAAAACCGCAAAATATTTTTGATAAAGAACGATAGTGACCAAGAGTCAAGTGGCGTCGGCTCACTCCGCTTTGTGTTGGTGCTAAAAACTCACAGTGGCCAGGTACGGGCAAGGTGTCAAGCTGTGCAAATAGGATGCAAGGAGTTCACCGACATGTGATACCCACTGCGAAGTCCCGCAGAGACTGCTCCTAGCACCAACACTGAGCAAGGCTCGGTGTGAGATGGATTGAGCAAAAGTTAACACAAACAAGGGGACTGATCTGCAAACTCGGATCAAGCTCAGCCGGTTAAAAATGAAGATATAGAAGAATAAAAATTGAATTTTTATGAAATCTCCCCTTATAAGGTTATTTTTTACGGAGATTTCGATTATCAAGCCCAAAATCATCTTCATCAAAAAAATCTAGATTCCCTTGGTCATAATAAAGTTATGAGAATCGAAAAATATAAGAATCGGAATCGCTATCTATAATCTGCTCTTTTTGCCTTAGCACATTTTGAGACTATTTCTGGACTATATCTTGAGCAGACAATACCAATTGGTACCCGAACTTTCTTGTCAAGGGCAGGCTAGGTGAGCTATATTCCATAGCCTATGGACCAAAGCCTATGGTCAGATAAATATATTTTCGGTCTCAGAATTAAAATCTACAAAAAATTACTCTACAAAGTTTTATGAAATTCCAATTTTTTATTATTTTACAAATTCACTTTTGAGCTTATCCTCGGCTAAGCTTGCTGATTTTGGAGGACCAGTCTCTGCAGGACATCGCAGCAGGCTGCGCGTGTCGGTGTGCCCGTTGCATCCTATTTGCACAGCTTGACACCTGCCTGTACTTGGCCACTGCGAGTTTTTAGCACCAACACAAAGCGGAGAACCCCGTGGCGTCCAGTTTGAAGAAAAATTTCGGTTTCGGACACTTTTGAGAACACTCAAGCCGCCGAATAGGGAATTTCTAGTTTTGGTCAATTCAACCGTTCCAAAAAAAACGCAGTGAAAGCCATAAACACTTGAAATATTCACGCGCTCGAGTTTGAAATAAAGATTTCGAATATTTACACACGCGAAGTATGGTAATGAATTTTTCCATCCAGCGTTTCTGATTGGTTGAACGCATCTTTTTCAAGTTCAGCCAATAAGAGGCTTGGATGGTAAAATTTATTGTACGAGTAAGCTGCTGTAGGTGCGAAATGGCTTGCTGAGTATGGTTTATTCTGATTTTGGTCAGATATTCTTTTCGAAGAGCTGGAAATTCTCGAGAGCGATTCAAAGATCCGTTGTGAATATTTCAACTAAGCCCAATGATTAGGTTTTCACTGTTACCGCTAAGAACAAACCGCTTTAACGAATTGGCGGTCGGTTGAGTTATTACTCACCGCCCGGTCACTTTTCCGCGCAGCTCAAAAGGTCAAATGATGATAACCATCCCTAAGCCAAATGTAGTTTGCGAAGAGATAAAAGCCTTCCAAGATTGGCTCAGCTCCGTATTTCTTGGATATTCATAGTTGTACTGCAGTAGTAGAACCGGAAAAGGACTCAGATTCGTGAAAAAGCCGATGCTAATGAAAGGGCGAGCAATTATGAGGAGGCGAATTTTGAGGGCTCGTCAATAGAGCTCTGGAATAACTACTTTTTTGGACAAATGGATTAGGCAGAATCGTGATGAGTTAAGTGCACAACGGTTCAACTGAAACCAGAACTAGCCATTATTCGAGTGACAGACAGTTTTCATCATAAAAACACGTGTTTTCCCCAAAATCTTAGAAAGCATGAAAACTTGCTGAAAAGCTTATTTCTCCAAATAATTGGTCATTTATCTTGAAAAGGTAATTCCACCACTGTCATCGAGAAAAAGTAAAATTACTTGACACAGGTCGTTTTCACGTTCCGACCACTTTCATAATAAACAATACGCCGGCTGAAATAATTTTCCACGAGCTTGTGAAAGCGGGATATTATCGACAAATTTAGAGAATTTTACAAGCGTAAAGAACACGGGTTCCCGTCGTGCTCGTGTTCCGAATTTTTAAATGTTAATATACGGAACACTTTGAGTTTACTCTAAGAGCTGTCGCTAGAATTTTTAAGAGCGGTTTCTATCTTAGAAGCTCAACTTTTCTTTAGACGAGCATTTTACCTATAATTTTTTACAGCTCAAATTAGGTTATCCAATCTCCAATTTTATAGTGACATTCTGAGTGTTAAAAATATTCCCGCCCGATTACCGCACCCGGAAAAGAGTTTGTTGGAACAAACGGCTGTGGCACGTGAGTGCGGATATTTACCGGTTACAGCAAAATGCGGTGAGAGAGTCTGACGCGCGAGGGTTAAACAAGACAGCTGCTGGAGTCTGCTTCGAGGATTGAAAGACAATTGCCAACAACTCGGCGATTATTTTGACGCTATAAACAACGAGGTTTAGAAAATCTTCAAGAAAAGACTGTACGGATATCAGAACTCAATTAAAGTTCCTCCTATTAAGTATTTGATAAATAGCCTTACAGGAAATAAATCATTCTCTATAATAACTGCTGTTGTTTGCTGAACTCAGCCGGAAAAAAGAGGCCTTACCTTAATATCAGTAGCAAAATTTTTCGCAAATGAGAGTTTTGATTCTTCTTCTTTTTGAGATTACAGTGGCGGATAAATGCAATGAAAAAAGTATTGATGCTTCACACTAAACCTAATTCACGAAAAATTTCAGCCGAAGAAATTTTAGAGCTGTGTATCGCTGATTGACAATTCAGATTTTAAAACATCAATGTAACATACCATGGAGTTTTACTCTTGATGGAGAAAGCCCCTATATGCGTATTAAGGACCCCCGTCAGCTCTTTCCTTCGAAAAATAGAAATTTTAAAAAAACACCATATTTTTGGTTTTAAATGCGTCCTTAGGTTAAACTTGCTACAAAAACGTGATAAGAGGAAGTTTTGACCAAGAAAAATCAATATTTTTGCCAAAATTGGGGCAAATTTGTCAATTTTTGGCGAAAAGTCCAATTTTCAAACGCGATTTTGAGGGTGTTAGAGTCGAGATAGACCCCCAAAAAATGAAGCCTCAAAATCGTTTTTTGACCTGAAGAATCCATTTCTGGGGTCAAAATTTTAAAATTCCAAAATTTGATTTTTCGAAAAAAGCTGACGGGGGGGTCCTTAATATAATTTTACATAATGTATTTCTTTTGCAAAATCTTTAAAAGCTCAGCATTTGAATGTGCTAGAAAGTGCAGAGAGGATTTCGAAGATTTCATTCAATCTTGCTTTGAATATCGATCAAGGCTGCCGAGAATTACTTCATCATGGAGTATACCCGACTCAAACTACACAGATCCTTACACCCGAAACTCATACTTCGGCCGTGATGGTCGAGATGGAATGAATGGAAGAGATGGTAGAGACGGCGTCGAAGGTGTAAAAGGACAAAAAGGAGAAATCGGTCCTATTGGAGAAAAAGGAAATCAGGGAGACTCTATTCCAGGGCCCGCTGGAGTTGTTGGCGAGAAAGGTGTTCCTGGTATTCAAGGCGAAAAGGGTGAAACTGGACAAATTGGCGATAAAGGAGATAGAGCTATGTTTATAAATTGATCTTTTGTGTTACTAGAGTAAATAGACAGATTAATAGTAAGTGATGAAATAAACAAAATGAAGGAGACGATTGCAAGCCACCTCCACGGATTAGTTTCACTGTTGCATTATCTGAAACATTTTCCACAGAAAATAGTATTGTTATTTTTTATCAGCTGATCACAAACAAAAACAATATTGGTGGAGAAGCATACAATATGAGAACAGGGATATTCACTGCTCCAGTTACAGGAACATATTTTTTTTCTGCAAGTGCTCGGTAAGGAATCTATATAATTAATTCCATAATTATATTTTTCAATAAATTAAGTGGTAAAGACAAAAGAACGGTCCTCCATCTTCGCCAAAATACTAAAATGATGGTCAGCGGGAAAAACAATGCGGTAAGTGAATGATCGCTCAGATTAATCTGATGCTTTTCAGAATAAATTTAGTACGTTGTCTTGTTCTGCTGTTTTGTTTCTTCAAAAACGTGACACTGTCGACTTGCTGTTGAGGCACGGAGAGATACTTGGCTACACAGATTCAGATGGTCATACAACTCAATTTTCGGGATTTTTGATTTCACAGGAGGACTGATATCTTCAAAAAAATAAATTTTCAAGCCAGAAATAATTTGTTTTCTTTCAAGAACTTGAACAATTTTTCGGATAAAAGCCAAAACATTGATGAGATCATTTTTTACTCTGGTCAAATCTCGGGCTTCTCAGACTCTCCCTTGACATGGTTAGATGTCATCGTTGACATTTCCGGCTGAAGTAGGCGCAAGAGGATAAGAGATGTAAGACTAAATGTTGTTGACGTGGGTGCGCTCTAAACAGTGAGAAACATAATGAGATCACTTTGTGTTTCAGAGGGGATTGCTTTGTATCTTTTCCCTCTGGAAAGAGAGCACAGATGAAAGTTAATAAAGAGAAATTCTACTTTGTATCAATATTGTATTTATGGGTATTTCTTATGGCAAGCACTTACTGAAATCGATTCGAAAACAAATCTGTAAATGACTTCCGCAGCGAAATGGTTGTTGATTTATTTTTACCTAGTTTTGATAGAACATGAAATCGACCAATTAATTATTGAGAGGCTCCTTCGAAGCATCTATTCAATAATAAACGTGTGTGGCTTTAAGTGTGCGCCGTCAATGAGTCCGCGGTATAAATGATTTTGGGCGACCACGTTGGCCAGATTGAAAGTGGCAATTAGAGTGTCCACATCGTGTTATCACTGCTCGTGAAGTAGAAGGGAAGATTTCAACCCGCCAGAGAACTGATAGTGTCGCGCTGCGGCCGACCAGTCCGGCTGGAACCAATTCAGATTTACAAGTGCTTCCACAGCTAGCTGGTCTTCCACTAAATCGATGATCGACTGTCAACTGTTGAAAAAACAACGTTCCAGGAAAATGATGATTCCTTTACAAAGCGCGTACGGGAGCACTTGAGCTCGTGAATTGGCCCGTTTTGCTTCACTAAATTATTGTGGCGATTTTTCGGAAATTGCCATCAACAGGCCCAAATCCGAAGTTCCCGATTTCAAGTGCTTTGCCTTTTGCACTCCTCTGGTGGCATTCCTTAGTGAGAGATATCACGTGTACGGGACGCCTTATCGCACTTCAACTTTTGTCAATTTGGTGATAAGGAGTGCACCTTATCGAAAAATGATACAGATAAAACGAAAACGTAGAACTTATCATAATATTTTCATTTAACATAAAACAGCACGAAAACGCTTACGAAATAAAGTCTAAAAATTAACCGTTTTTTGACGGTCTTATTAGGGCAAACCCCTGTAGCTACCGTTCTGCAAACAAAAAGAAATATCAAAGAAAAAAGCACCGCGACGAAAAATTATGAGCACACGTAGTAAAGGCCGTTTATCTTTCTCGTGGAGCAAACTGATAAGGCAAAAAACAAACACAAGAGAAAAACTATTGCCAGACTTGGAGCATTTCCAGTGGAAATTTTCCACCTTTCCATATCTTCTTTACTTTTACCACTGCTTGCATGTTTTTTGACGGTGATACGGCCTAATTCTTCGGCTTGGAGGCCGAAGGATGGATGCGTGAAAGAACACTGATTCTTTTTCTTCTTCTTATCGAAATCTCCCATTGTACTGCAGGTGTTTAAAAGTACATTTGTTGATCAGAAAATGTATTTAGATACGCTTCCTTTCTCTAGAAAGCGGAGAAGAAAGTCGGAATTGTAATTATGATTAGCGTGAGCGCTGAAATCGGAGAGACGAAGCCGGATGCTCCTAATTGAAACGGCCTTCGGAACTTTTCCGTTATCAGCCCGGAACGGTTCGGTTTTCGCTCTGACAGGAGCAGCTCATGAATTCCCAGCCAAGAAGGCATCATTGATCAAGTTCATGGAAGCGCGTAAAACAACATAAGCAGTACCAAGAGGCTCTTTATCTAATTGGATGATGACACTCTTCTGAGCACTCTTGATTTCCGCTTAATTCGGCTCGAGAGAGGACTTGCATGAGAACCAGTTCCCTTGCAAGTTTCTTATGCAACCGCTCATTTGTTCGCTCAAATGACGGTCATTTCTCTTCATCCCCTCTTGAATGATTCTAGACGGGCGCGTAAATATTTGGACAAAACAGGCTCCCCATTGGAATTGATTTCGAAAATAAAAAATGTATTTTGAGTGGGTACATTTTTCAAAGGGCAAACTGTTCTCTAACCAGTTGCTGTTTTTCAAACAAAACGGGTAGTTTTGCCAAATCAACTAAGGCGGACTGCGCTCTTTAGTTTTCATAACCAATAGACAATGATTGAAAGGTTTCCTTTGAATTTATCAATATATTAGCCTCTTGCAAGTCTCAAAAAATACTCAAAAATATCAAAAAGAGCAAAGTTTTTTTAAAAAGTAAAAACATAAAAGTTAGAAAGTTGCTGTTTTGAAACCACATGTTTATTCTTACATGTGTACCTTTTTTGGAAAATTATGCAAAAATACACTGCCAGGCTCCAGGATTGGCGACTTCCGACATTCTTGAGGAAAGTCGATGACTAGTCGTCCATGCTTCATGTAACTTTCCGGTATTTCCGGAAATGCCAAAGCCTAAACCTTCTAATTTCAAAATTAACCAGATTTGAACCTCCAAATTTCCCTTTTTTGTTCATTCAAGGAATTGAGGGAATCGCATGTCTTTTCTTAGCAGACACATTTTTCGTTATTAAATTGGGAATCATAAAAATAGAAAGAAACAGATGTTCAAACGGGGGCGGGAAACAAGTGTTTCAGGAGCCGGTAAGACCTGTTAGATCTTGTGAAATGCTGTGTTTGGGCTTGTTCAAGTGTCAAAACTCGTGACAGTAAGTGTGTCGCGCGGATAATTTTCTTGAGAATTATTTCATTTCGAAGACTTTTTCATGTGCTCAAAGTTATTTCGAGCCCGATTTCAGTGGTGTTTGAGGATAAATGGATAAGTAAAAACGGGATCCGCAAGAATTCATCAATCCAAAATATAAAGTTCCGTTGAGGTCAGGAATGATGGACCGATTAGGCGATAAATTTGGACTGATAACATGAACTTCTCGTATCTGGACCAGCACCCGCTAAAAGTAGAGTTTATTCCCTCGTTGTGTTCGCACGTGAGCTGTCTTTATAATTGCAATTCAGCGCGACCTCTGATTGTCCCTTGACTGGAATAATCCCTTCTGAGCCGTTTAAAGAACCCGATTCAGGCGCCTGTCTTCCGCTTTCCCACAACAAACGATCTCTGCTCCAGCTACAAACTCTTCGCGAAGCCTCCTCGATCGAAATAATTAATTCACTAGAATCAACCCTGCCGCTAATCCCCGTCCAATCAAACACAAGCAGACGGTTAAAATATTTACGCCAAACGATAATGGTACCATTACGCGCGAATCTGGTAGCTCCACCGACGGGGCCAAGAATTTTCTTTGTGATGATTCCACCCTTTTCAAATATTTTAACTCGTTCGCGCAAAAAGGCACCTAAACAAAAAAAAGCTCACGGAACATGCGTCTAAAATTTGAAAATGCAGTCTCGAGGCCAATTGTTTGTAAACCTTACTTGGACGGTTGAAACTTGAAAGACTGTACTTAGAATAACGAATCCATGTTTGGTGATTCATAAAATCCACTGTGTAATTAAGACGCTATAATTGCAAAAAGATAAGCGCCCTGCTAAGAAAGGAGACCGCAGATTTTTGCGAAAAAGCCGCATAATTACAGATGCGATATGGAGAGAAGGAACACGTGATAATAACTCATTTACATACTGTTACATGATCCATCGCCTGGTGAGCTTATCAGTATCCAGATATTGACCTCTATCACGGGAATTCTGAAATAAGCAATTAAAATTCCGAGGGGACTGAACCGAGCTAGTCCTGTTTTTCATATTCGTTGACAAAAGTGATACCGGAAAGTAGTGGGCCAAAGATAGCATCAGTTACCGATCAGATTCTTTCACCATTTGGTCAAACAGGTTTCATGCTATCTTTTCTCATTTTATTCAAAGTTTGAAATTCAAACTTTGAATCTCAAACTAATGAATTGACAGTAGAATTCCTTTTGGTAACCAGTGGTTACTAACCACCTATCTGAGCAAACCGGCCAAGGAAAATACATTTTTGACTTGAGATTTGCATAGACAGATAACGTTATAATAGTAAGGATATGAAGATAAATATCACGACATCCGCTCATTCACTCTGGTACAGTCAACTCTGGCGCATACAGAAGCAAAGAAAATCTAAAAGTCACCAACAGAAAAATCTCAAAGAATTGACTTATCGAATGTTCAATCCAGAGAATCTATTGGCCCTTTCTACATCTGGAGGTAGACGAAATCCAATAACTGTTGTGGTCATTTCTTCTGATTTGAGGCCCGTGTACTTCAGAGAAGGTAGAACATTTAAAATCATCGAATTGCGCACCATCATTTTATAAATTTAGAGGTTGCTCTTAACTCAGATGATTTTGAAAAAATGAAAGTCGATTTGTGCAACATATTCGACCATAAGTTGGTTGTTGGGGAAGACATCAATTCGCACTTCTCACGACTCGGAATTCCTTCTAACATTTGCGAGGTCTTGGATAGCAGATCTCTGCCGATTCCGATGGGTTATCAACCAACCCCCCTTCGATACCGAAATCCAATGGAAAACGCCATACGAGCCATGCAACTTTTTACAAATTATGCACAAATGCGAGTAAGTATTCTACCCCTCTTTTGGAAAAAAAAAATCTTTTGGTACGAGCTTCAATCAAATCCAATTTTAGCAAGGTGGTTTGATGCACGCAAAATAGTCTCAACTCTTTTATATGATCAGAAGATGAAACGAAACGAGTGTGACTGTAATAAACCAAAAATTTCAAGCGAAATCTCAAGATGCACTTACTTTCAAGTTGTAGATTCTACAATGTAGAATGTAGAATAGAAGTTTTATCAGCTAATCAAATCATTGGGACTAGGGCCGAGATCTTCTAACTTTGAGAGCTCTGTTTGTAAAGCTTCTCGTCAAGTGTTGCTACTCATGCAAGTTGTGAGGTTTAGCGCTTGAAATCGCAAAATAACCGGTTCGCGAAATTCTATACGACGCGGTCATTTTCTTATTTCAAAAATTGTCAAGTGCCCTTTTTGCCGATTTGCACAATCACTACTCCGCAGCTTGAATAACATAAAAAAAATCATAATTGCGATCGTCAGAAACCGAGAGGCACTTGCTCGTCGAGAATTCCAGCCTCTCTCAAGGCCGCCACCGGAATGGAAATGAAAATATTTGACACCAAAAAGGGCAAATTCTTCTCCTCTGCCAAATATTCCCCACTTCTTTGAGGAAATCAGCCAAGTTTTGAGGAATCTTCCTTTTGGTCAATTAAAAATACTTCTTCCCAGGCGTGGCTAAGCGAGAAATGCCGTCTAACAAAATTTTCAAACACAGTTATTATGGGCGCAAGAATTTCAAAAATCAAAATCCGATGGTCGCGCTTTTCAAAAAAAAGTGAAGAAAAAAACCGTGCGGTTCCCACGCGGTTAGAGCTCACACGAAAATATTCAGCTAAAACGGTTCATTACCGACTCCACCCCGTCCTTTGAAATTTCACTAGATTTTCATGATCAACACGGCGATGATTATTTGATTTTTCCCGCTTAGATTGAAAAGCAGCGCTGTGATTGATTAGAGGGGAAAAAGGTCAGAAAATGTTCCAAGGATTTTTCTAGCGCAACCTTGGACCAGAGCAACACGAGTTATCAAAATGCCAAGATGGGGAAATAAAAGAATCAGTGCAAAATGAAGTTCACTTCAAAAGAATAAGCGCTAGAATTCTGAATTCCGGGGAACTTGTTTAGAGACGTTTTAACGCTAATTATTGTGCTCCATTTGGGTGCAATTAGCAGGTCAAAGTGACAGACGCTATTCGCGCTAACACTATTTCGGCCGAGCAAAGCCACCAGATTGAGCACAAGAAAGCAATTCTGCCCAAGAACAACCGCGAAGATTAACCCTTTCGCGCATTTAGACGATTAGGGGTTAAGTCTCATCGACTTGAAATTAAAGATGTGCTGTTCACGTCAAATGCATTTTGGTTCGTTCTTTTGAAGTGAAGCATTTTTACCAGCTGTTTCACTGATAGATGGACCAAACCATTATTTTGATTAGATCTTGAATTTGGTTCGACCGAACTTCTCAGCCTTTATTTAAAGCGAGAAGCCGAAGGAAATACATCGTAATACCAAAAAAATATAATGATCTCAATACTCATGAAAATGTTTATAGCCTTATGAACTTCTTATGTGAGAAATAAAAATATGGGTTAAAAAATCAGTTTATTTTTTTTTATAAAATGGACGTTTTCTTAAAATCTTGAGAAACAAACTTTTGTTTTGACAAAATGAAACTCAATCGCTTATATCATATAAGTTATATGGTTTAATTTCTTCCTAATTTCAAATAAAAACATTTGTTTCTTTAGTAATCATTATGTCATTTTAAAATTGCAAGAAACATTTCGTGGCGTGAATATGTGTATCTAACACGGAGGATTTTCGCTGCTTCTTAGCCACATGAGAAGAGTTGATCCGGCGGTACTTTGGCTGACTCGGATAAATCCACTCGTGATCCGAAAATTATAAAAATCTGTCAAGCGCTACCACTTGAAAATCTGAACGCGTCCAATCATCCTTTGTAACAATGTGCAATTTTCACACGTTTTCTGGCTTTATCAAAACTTAAAATTGGCGTGTCAAATTTAAAGTATACCGCCGAAAATCCCTTTATAATGACGTTTTCTTCCTTGATTTCAAAATTCCTGAGTGATGATTTATTTACAGCTTCAGAAGATAGTTTCTGATTTGTCTTCTATGTTGTCAAATATTTCATTCGGAGCAGATTTGTCGTATGATTTTCTTCTCGATTTCTTTTCTTCATTATTCCGTATTTTCAAAACAATTGGCAAAAGAAATATCGTTATCCCAAGTCCAGCTTAATAACATTGATGTTTTAAATTTGTCGATTTTAAATGTTACCTTGAACAAAATTCATCGTCGCAAAATCGTCATTGTTCATGCAAAAATTGTACATCGGCTGGTTTATAAGACCAAAAAGAACGCCAATGAGTGTGAAGAATCCAAGAACAGAGCCATACAATTGAGGTGAGAAAATATAAAGCCATGCAGGACTCCAACTGATACCGAAGCTTTTACCAATCAGATTCATGAACACCGAAACGTACGCTAGAAATTATTATTTCTTCCAAGAAAACTTTTGATTTACCGATCGTCGTATTTTGAAATCCTTGCATAATGCTCGCTGCAGTATTGAAAATAAAGGAAGCTGTCATTAAAACGCAATATCCTTTGAAGAGGCCAACCCCGATCGTCTTTGAGTGATTTTTTGAATAGTCGAGTATAAAGCCGGGAATAATATTGAGCAGAATAAGCGAGATTCCTGAAACGCTATAAAGTCTATTGATGGAAGTTATAAAGTCTTCTATCTCGGCTTGGGTGACGTCTGGGTCTCCTTTCTTTTTCCCCGGTTATCAATACAATAGCTTGTTTTATAGTGTTGAAGGTACTGTAAGTCGTGATTGAAGAACCGATTCCTTCACCCATTCGGGCCAGCCACCACTCATCCATGCAATGCTACTCTGAATTCTGAGCATGAAGACTCCGTAGCCAACGAACAACAAATAAATCTTCATATCTTTAAAAATGGCAAGTGTTTCTTTAAACTGATTTTGCTTGCTTCCAGCATCCTGAGTTTCTTCTTCAAGCGATGCTCGACATTTTCGAATCCAAGTGTTTTGAAAAATACAGTAATCTAGCCCGATAACTTTTGGCATCTTCCAGGGTGTGAAGAATAAGAACTTGGGCACACTTATGCAAGCAAAAAGAACACTCCACAAGTAGAAGATGCGAGGAACAGTCACATGATCAGTCGTATCAATGACATGATCCCAAAGAAGTGGAAAGCTTCCTGAAGCGCCAAAGCATCCGCTCATGACGGCCATAAAGATTCCGTAAGATTTGTGAAGCGTGCGGGTTGTTTGAACATTTCCAATGTGGTTCAAGGAGCCGCCTTTTTATAAGCTTACCGAATATTCGCCATAAAATTAGACCTCTGACAAAACTCAATCTACCTTTGAGTAAGCTTTTCCTGTAGCTAGCGCAGGCCAAGCAATCCAAATCAGGCTGTTATCAGTGTCAAGAAAGCACATCAAACCAAGACCAATTCCATAAACGATGATTCCAGAGCCCCGAAGAAATACGAGCCCAAGTTTGTCACTGATAATTCCGAAGATGAAGACCCCAACATTGTACGCAACAACGGACAAAAAATAAACATCGTTGAATAATTTGTCTCGTTCGGAGCAATCACGAGTTGAATTTGAGTTCAAAGGGTTGTTGAGCTCTTAAGATTTTAATTAATAATAATGGTCTAGTCCTTACCTTCTCCGACATCAATGCATTTGTCTGCAAAGTAATCTCCCTTCTTAAAGATCGCCGACATCATTCCCCAGCCGAGATACAGTCCATTACAGGTGACACTCTCTAACAATGCGAAACCTACTGCGAGATAATTCATAAAATTTGAGGCCGCCATTCTCTTTTTCTTGTTTTTCTCGAATGTGCGTCGATCGAGTCCGGGGATTGCGTTTGTTTGGCATGGAGCACTATGCAAACAGGAAAAAGGTAGTAAAAATGAAATTGTGAACTACGGTCCTCTTACGAAATTCTACTGAATGAAGAGGGCAATGTCGAAAAAGCTTGATTCGGCATAGAGAAAATAATCGAAGGCGTTCAGCACGCTGCTTTACTTTAGAACTAATTTATTTATCGAATTCATAAAATAGTTCATGAAGCATGATCTCTTGATCTTTTTTGGATTATATTTTGCTACAAAAGACAGGGAGAAACACATGAACTAATAACACTACTGTCCGAGATAATGAAGAGAAGCTTTTGATAACTGGTTGACATCAAGGAAGACTACTCCTTTCGCTTTCAACAAGTATTCATCATTGTAAATTTTCATTTTCTGAAGGCTTTGTTGTTGAGTTACAGTAACTCTTTGTAGAGCATCGTATATCACAAATCTTTGAGGCGGTCATGACTGAGATTTTACAGTTGACAGTAATGCTAGAAAAAAATTCATGGCTGAAAATTCAAAAGGCAAACATTTTCTTGGCTTCAACAACCGGAGCATCAAAGCATAATTCCATGGTTTCTCTCTTTTTTTCCAAAGAAAAATTTTCAACGCGACGATATCTTACCGATTCATTGTGACTCTTTTGAATGCCATGATATTTTACCGGATGTATCCTTGCTGTCTAGTTTACGTTGGCGATCTTTTGTATTTTTAAGGGGGGGCGACGAGAATTTTTTCAGTGGTGGTCGTAATTTGGCTTATACATATAGTATCGATATAAATTAAATATTTTTGGAATCTACAGATTCCGCCGAATCTGTTGTGATCTGACCGAATTGTTCTCAACCGATTTCAAACTATCGTCGTTGAAAAGAATAAGAGCTGTGGAATTCGTCTCGAGGAGTACAACGACTCCAGCTCCATCGAGTGCAACATAAAAGCATGCGGGCATCGATACTCCATGTCTTGCCTAAATATACTTTTTCAAGGACCCCAACCTCACCTTTCACGCAATGGCCAGACGTGCGCACCTGCCCTGCCTGCAGCAAGCCTTACCGAAAAAGCGACATCTTAACAACTGATCCGCTTACTGTCAGAAACGAGAATTCCTCACTTTATTTATCCTCCTTTAAATTCTCCCTAAGATTTATTCACTTACATTGTAAGTCTTACGACGTTTCTCCTCCTTGATTTCATCAAATTTCTTTTCATTGAGAATAATTTTCTTTATTTAACAGAATAGTGTACAATAAATTATATCCTTGAAATAAGACCAGCAAGCCACAGTTACAGTTTTGCCAAATGAAATTGAAGTTCTGATAAATTTTCCCGGGATCGAAAATACTACAGCAACCGCAGGAGCCCATCATGCGGTTCACGGGTTAACCATGAGCAGGGTAGGATCACGTTCGATAACGTTTGTCAGGATTTTGTCCAGATACTTTTTCACCTCTTCGTGTGTCTGTTCCAGCGTCTCGTACTTTTCCTTTAATCCTGGCTCGGCGCAGGAGGCAAGTTCTTCGGCGAAAGAGGATGAGCCTTTTATCGATGATTCAGCCGAAATCAAGGAACGAGCCTGCGTAACTTGGGCCGAAAGAAGCTCATGCTTCAAATCGTCGATTTCGTTTTTGAGCGATTCAACCAGCGAATCGTTTTTTGGACTTTCTACAAAGCAAAAGATAAACGCAACTTTTTCATATCAAGACTTACCTTGAAAGACAGGAATATCAGCAGAATCTTGAGAAGCGATTTTGAGCTTTTCTTCAAGCAAATGTTTTTCTTGCGCTGATTTTTCTAGTGATAACTTTTTGAGAGCTTGACAAAGAGACCTTTTAGAAAAATTTACAAGCTTTGAAAATCAATTTGGCAATAATTGGACGGGTTTATGATAAACAGATAATTTTCCGATGTTTGACAAAAACTAATCTGCAAAGAACTGCTCTCTATCGGCTCTTAGAAACGTAAACCACTCAAAACTTGAGTCTCCATCCCCTTTTACGTTAAATTCCAAGTCCGGTTTTTTGATAACCACGGGACTTGTCGCTTAGCTTTTTCAAAAAAAACATTGTCAAGCTCGTTCCTTGAGCTCTTCTAGTGCCACTTCCAGCACTCTTGTATGCTCCTCGAGGGTCTCCCTTTCTGCGCATGATTTTTCCGTGAGTTTTTGATACTTTTCAAACTGCTCCGCGCTTTTTGATTGATATTCGTCGACTTTTTCTTTGAGTTCGTTGATTTCTTTTTTGTGTTTTTCGTTCTTTGATTTGGCAAGTTCCAGCTCGTTTTTGCTCGTTTCCAAGTTTTTCAAGAGTTGGTTCTTTTCCAATTCGAGGATTTCCGTTTTTGAAGAAAGTTCTTTTTCAAAGGACTTTTTTGTGTTTCTGAGTAAAGTCTCGTTTTCCCTAAAAATATGATTAATTGACGATTTTCGGGCATCGTGGTGGCAAATTTGATTTGGAACGTACGAGCGAAATCGGTCGCGATCTTGTTCGACATCTCGGAGAAACTCCTCTAACTCCAGTAATTTGTTACGTAGCATCAGGTTCTCGACTTTTGCGTTTTCCAATTGTTCTGATTTTAGTTGCTCTGCTTCTTCTATTTGAAAGATTTGTCTTTTCATCAGGTTGACCTGCTGGGTCAAGTCTTTTTCTAGGCTCTAAAATTCATGGAATGCCGTGGTTTATGTTCGGAATGCCTTCATAAGTTGGCAACATAACGTGATTTCGCGCGTCGAGAGCCCTTTTCCTTGAATTGACGAATCTTCGTACTTGATTTTTGGCTTTCTCATTCTACTCGTCGACTTTTTATTCTGCTTTTGTGGTGCTAGAATTTCATATGTCAACCTTATAAACGATAGAAGGAACAAAAGAACCTTCTGGTCCTAGATTAGAGGGCCGGTATTAACAGATAATCCAGCAGATCAGCGAATTACTCGACAGATGTTCCGCGGCGGATTAGCCAAACTTTGACTCTGATTTACGGGCAAAGAACGCCATGTTAATATAAATCGCTGACCTGACCGCATAACACGCACTTACTTTGAGGGAAGCCGAGAATATCCCCTTCGCCTTCCGACTTGTAATCGTACTCGTTGAAGGTTCGCTCGGGGTCATCAGAGCTTGAGCTACAGCTTCTTACTGGATCAGATGGCTCGGAAAAGGAGAATTGAAGCAGGTTTTCTAGCTTTTCTAGTGGTTAGAAATCATTTTTAAAAGAATAAGACCAATTAATCATCAATAAAGAGCTATAATCTAGATCTGGATTCTTGAATAATTATTAATGCAGCATTTGAATAATTAATTCAAGCCACGAATTTCCTTTTGAAAGGGTATCTTTCCGGTGTTTTCTTTGTCCAGCGTATCGATCGCCATTTTGAGTATGACGGGGTCTTCAATTATTCGCGAGAGATGGGTTGTTTGGACAAAGCCGTCGGTTTCTTCGCATAGCTCCCGCAGACGCGCGTTCTTCTCGTCCATTTTTATGAAACTGGGAAAATATATCAAGTCATGTTCATAGAAATCTAATCAATTTCGCTTCTGCCACACGTGCGGGCGGATAGAATTTTCCAATAAAAATCGACAGCGAAGCATTATTTGATTGCCAAGCTGTTGATGGTCAAATAGAATACGTACTGTACCAGTGGATCTATTACAGTTACTATCAACTGTTACAGATCGAAAATACCTTGGATTGACAAAAACTGGCTTGAATTCAAAACAGCTTCTCTTTAGCTTATCACTCTCTTGTTTCATATCCGGAAAAACAAACTCGATGAAAATTCTAGTGCTGCAATAAAAAACCGCTTATCCCCGATCAAAACCCAACTTACCTCAAAGGACACGTGTTTTAATCGCCGACAATCTTCTTATCCTCCGCGCGCAATCTCTTCAAATAATTTTCCTCTCTCTCTTTCTCAACTGCTCTATTTTTTCACACTTCCGCCAAAACACGCAAGCTCGAGCAAGTGTGTTTACGTAACAACTTAAATTTCGACTGAGAAAATGTGCAAATTATTGCCTTTCCCAGTCGTTTCACGAGTTGTTCTCTAAAAACCTCAGAAAAAAAGTCAGATTTTTTATTTCGCGGCGGAGGTTTTTCGCGGTGGAAAGTCGGTGGACGATGGCGCCACCGCGCAATTCGCGCTCTGTAATTCACTGTCTGATTGCTGCTCTTGAATCATTCTTCCCACGGGAGTATTAACTTGTTGAGACAACAGCTCTAGAAACTGTTTGCTTAGGTGACGTAGAGTAGTTGTTGGAGATGATTTTTTGTTTGAAATAACGTAGAATGGGAGTTTACAAATGAGTAATTATAACTTGGAAAAAAATCATGTTCGCTGTTGTTGTTACTAAAAATTCAAATAATATGTAGTAAATAATATACGCCAGCGGCTCATTAAAAAAAGTTTTTAATCAAGAGATCGATTCGTTTTCAAACATTCGAGGAACCTCCTACGTTGTGACCAACATGAGATACCAGCTTTATCAATATTTTCCCGTAAACTTGAAACGACTCGGATACCACCTGAAATATTCTGACTGGAAACCGCACTGTCACTTGACAAAAACGCGCACTCGTAAATTGCAAACTTCATTGCTGAGAAACTCGTTCTACGCCGCGCTCAATTGCCTTTCAAAATTGATCACAAACTTGCCCTGTAATTAGTTAGGTAGTAGCATGTCGTGATTTATGCGGGTTGATTTACAAGCTCAATGTTTTTTTGCAGAAGTAGACGTTTGTCGTTTTTTTTAGAAGGAACATCCTGCTGAGTTTTTGAATTTTTTTAAAAGCTAAAGATGGCGTTTAAGCTGCCTGAACGCATGCAATTGACATGATCAAATGAATCGGCAAGGAATCCGAATTATACGCTTCGCGGACGTGTTAGTGGCGGAAAGGCTCTTTTAAATTGGGCTTGAGTTACGTAAAATTGCAAGTCGTTATCTCGGCTCTTGCAACAGTCGAAACTCGAATTATATTTATTTCAAAAGAAGAAATGCATTATGCAGATTTGAAGTATCGAACTCGTTCCCTATGTCGTAAACTGGACCCATACCAGACTCTGAGTCTTCTATGATTTCAAAATTTTTTTAAATTATTTGCAATCTCTTCTGAAAGTCACCTGTTTCTTCCTTTATTGTACATCTAGTCAAAAACATCCTTCATTCTCATAGTATGAGAATGAGTTTCCACTGGAAGAGAATGCCATCGTCAAGGAAGGAGTATCTTGCCTTAGCAAGACACAAAATTATAATTAGTTGGAAGCCGTTGAAATATATCTGTCGTATTTGCGAAGCGGAGCACCCATAAATACTCTGATGACAACGGACAATTTTCAACTATGCGCCTGAAAATCTTGTTTCTTAGAAAAGGGTACCTCTTTTGGATAATAATCATCATTGTAGGTATCATTTCGCAGCTTTAGTTGTGACTATATTTAGGAAATATGCATTCTTAAGAGAAAACCCTTAGTTTTTCTGACTTCAACTTGTCACAATGATTCATTGTCAATTAAGAAATGTTACGAGACTGAAGAGTTCCTCTCCCAAGAACCAGTTTCGAAAATCGAAGAGCTCAAAACCACACCACTTGTATTTACGAAAGAAGAAGACGAAGCGACTCTCAGGCGCTGCTAAAAGCAGCAATTTTACGATCGGCTTGTGCTCCGCCATCTTTTCTCGAAAACACTCGTTCTGGAATCAACAACGACTAACCCTGTTTCTCCTTGTGAATCAATTTGTTTTCAGTTGCCGAAATCTTCCGACTCTGTCCGGGAAGTCTGCATGCAAGGATGCCCTTATCCATTGTGGAAAATAAGTCTCGGGACAGAAACTCATTCCTTTTTTACTTGTAAAAAAATTAAAGAGGCAAAAATCAAATACTCTCGATAGTGGCTGCAATGACAATTTTTATGGAAAAATAAGGGATCATGATCACCAGATTAAGGTTATTCATAAAATATAAAATACAGCTTGTCCATTTCGTTAGTAATTCTGCAGTTAAGTCATCTCGGTTGTTTATTGAATACAATTTTCTGATTTTGTAGACTTCAAAAAAGCGATTACAACATCGATTTATTGTATATTTGGAATAGTGTCCAAGATCTTTGCCTAATCTTTCTCGTCGATATCTGCCCCTTCATCTAGCAGATTTTCAGGTCGAGCTGTGTTGATGAAAAGTGGCATGTTAGAACTCTAATTGCTTCGGACCATTTCACAACGCAATTTCTGCACCGTTTCTACACAAGCATTCATCCCAGCATATAAGAGGAACTGATCAGAAACTCTCAAGACAAGAGATAGAGAAGAAACGCGAGGCTAGATGGAATGGATCGAGACAAGGGTTAAAAATTAGGATACAATTCATATCTTAAAAACATTGGCGTCACCTGCTTTCCAACCAGTGTTTGAAATAATGGTCAAAACTCTCGTGAGCGAGTGAGCGCGAGAAGAGGTCCTCAGAATTTTAACACGAGTGAGCGAGCGCGAGCAGACTCTTTTGATTTTTTCGTGAGCGAGCGAGCGCGAGCGCAGATACCAGGATTTTTCTATTAGTGAGCAAGCGTGAGCGCTCGCTCGCTCGCTCGCGCTCACTCGCAGCTTTTCAACTATGTCTTCATTGAGTGATTTCTTGAAAAATTCTAATACTTTTAAATATGAAGGACTTTTAACTATCATAAGTTAATGATGTGTATTCTTACGAGATTAAAAGATAATTTAAGATAGATTTCATAAATATTAAATGATTTTGTCATGAGGGTGACTTCACTAAAAATAACTGTGAGCGAGCGCGAGTGAGCGCAAGCAGGGACCTTGGAATTTTATGGTGAGTGAGCGAGCGCGAGCAAAGGTTCTCGAAATCAACGTGAGTGAGTGAGCATGAGCGCTCGCTCACTCGCTCGCGCTCACCATTTTTTCAAACACTGTTTCCAACTAGGCATTTTTAAAAAGTCAGAACATAAAATTATCTTGTTTAATTTTTTGATAACTCGATTCTCTTAACGTCTCCTTCCCGAAACATACGCGGAGATATCAAAACATCGATCATAATTATTAATTAAGAACTAAAGAAATTTTCAACCTTGACTTTCAGCCAGTGTCGAATATCATCCAAAAGGAGTTGAATTTTTGGGAGAAGGAAAAATCCCACAATACAACAAAACATACTTGCTGTGTTTTTGATGAGTAAGAAATTCAAGAATTTCAAATTATAAAGATTGCTTTTAATATTTTTAGGCAAGAAAAATGTGTTTATGAGTGTCCTCTTCCGTCAAAAGAAGATATGATTGTTGCATCCTTCCTTGGCCTTTTCATCATGTTAGGAAAGAGTGAGATTATAAGCTCCTAGTCTAAGCTTTGAATTGAGATTGATCTCAACAAACAGGAACTGTGGTGATTCTCTACCTCTGCATATACTTCGGCCTTTGTCTGAAAAACTTTCTCTTTCCCAAGAAAACCGCCACCAACGGAAAAGATTATGTCGACTGAATACTCTTACGTTTTGTGATTATTAACTAAATAAACTTGACTAATGATCAGTCGCCATTCACCTCCACCGCTGATCATTTTTGTTAAATATAATGTTCTCATGATTCTCACCGTGATTAAACATGAGACAGTAGTTTTATGGTGCTCGAATCTGATCTTTAAATTCGACGGGTGGCGTCAATTTTCCCACTTGTGTTTGCCTCGATTCTCCATTAATCGATTTTTTTCTAATTAGAAATAAAATCTGAAAAAATTACCCGGGAAACAAGTATTTGCTCTTTGCAATTGTAATTTATGGAAAGTATCGCGGCGGAAATCAAGCGGAAACGGCAGAGAACGGTAAACATCCCATAGCTGGAAAAACTCACTAGAGAGACATAACAACTATCGCTGCTTAGAAAAATATTTGTTTTATTACAAAAAGGGTAGAAAAAGAAAGATAGAGCAATAGAAAGACTGAATATACAGGAGATAGAAAAATAAAAATGAAAATACAAGAAAGTTAGCTGAGTTATTCTTTTGGGAAAGGATGGGTGAGGATGGATTCTTGGAGCTTGAGAAGCTGGTTTTTGATCGAAGTGATTTCTTTGAGGACAGAAGCTCTAAAAGAATCTTGGCTCTGGCTCTGAGGCTCGGTTCCTGATTCAAGCTTTTCAATTTTTTTCAGATGCACATTTGCACAGATTTTTCGATCAACAAAACGAACACTTAAAGCAACAAATTCTGAATCACAAGAACACTAACCTACCTTGACTGCTCAAATTCTAGTCATATTTTTCTGAGTGCGCTAAGACTCGAAAAGTGTCACTCAGTGCGACATTGAAAAGCCATTCCTGGGGATGATTCGCATGAGGAGAACTTGAGCTTTCTCGTGTTGACTTGTGAAGCTAGAATCTCACGATGAGGTGTACTTGTCTGCAGCGACTGAGTTCCCTTAACAGGAAATTTGGGGAAAGTGATAAAATGCTGCACCTAATTAATCAAAAGGGGTGATTATTGCTGTCAAGAGTAATTAAAATTCCGCGGTTATACGTGAAAATATGTTCTTGTTTAACCGATCGGGTCCAAATTGAACTGTTTACAAGCAAATGGAACTTACTTGACTAGCAGTTGGCTGGGAAAAGAGCGGCTGCGAGGTTGTTGAAAGCCCCTAAAATAGGATTCTCTTGAGATTATACATACAAACCCACTTATTTACTCGAGCTTTGAACCCGGAAGTTTTTAATGCTAAAAACAACATATTTCTTAATCCAAATGAATGGTCATTTTGGGACATTTTTTATGCAAGAGCTGCGTGAGAAGAAATGAATAGAAATCATGTGGTAAACGATCAATCTCAGCATCCCTCCTACTGCGGAGTTTATGAGAGCGGAATAGAAACGTTTTGATATGATACGAAACGCTCTAGTTCATCAAGTTTAAATGAAGGTCATCGCTAAATAGATCCCACAGCTACTGGGCAGTTAAGTTGGTTTCACATGATAATTAAACTAAGAAGAAACCTTCCTGAGAGGGCTGAGAAAAGCTGGAATCTCCTTGCGAAGGGCTGGTTTGATCATTCATCCCAAGCGGGTCGTCGTCTGAGTCGATCTAAAAATATTTCAAGTTGGTAATTTCTTCTTCGCTTTCACGTCCTCTCTCTATGGCGCGAAATGGATAGGTAAAGAACGTACCACGGAGGAGGGTAGATCGATGGAAATGTCGACCTCTGCAGGTTGGATTCGTATCTGGTTGATCAGTTACAAACCCGCGGGTTTTCATTCGAACAACTCAGCTGTATAAATACAGTAAACGACAGCGTATATTTCACTCCGATCAATAAGAGCTTTAGGGGACTTGTCAGCGCCCTAGCTGCAAAGCTTACAACTGTAGAACTAATCCCTACAGTATTTCATGGCTTGGTTGGCTCAAACCCTCTTGAATCCTTTCCTGAAGCAGTGTCTCCCAAAGCTTCCAGCTCCTAAAGAGTCACGTGTGAGTTGACAATAAATTAGAATATGAATTCATCTTATCCTTTCTTGCGCGCAGATGTCGACATGACTTTTCTCCTGTTAACTGATCATAGTCATTTCAAATAATGTCGCAAATCTGGGCCATTATCATCTGAAAGCATTCAAATCACCTGAGTCCCAAGAAATGCTTCTTTTTTCGCCAAGAGATCCGGAAGTAGTTCAGGCTTCTCCAGCTCGACAAAAGCTTTTTAAATCGGATGAATTACCTTTTCTTTACAATCGAAATTGATGTAATATTAAGCTAGACAGCAGGAATTACAGCAGGCTCGCCGAAAGAGCTATTGCTGACTGTATCACCTGAGTAAGTAAGTGAATTCGATCCTTTCCGATCGGAGTGTCTTTCCGCGGTTGCTCCTCGGGCTCGACCTCGTCCCTGAATAATAGAGCTCAATTAGAGTGAAATCGAACCCCTGGGTGGCCCCAACGAATTGTTATCCAAAACACTAGTTCTACCTAACCGACTTGATCCTAAAAAAGGTCTTACCAGAACCTCACGTGACGGCGTTTGGCACGTGTTTGCGTAGCATCGTAAGGATAAGTATAGGTTCGGCGCACAAGTCTGCCAGCTTCTCAAAGGGTACAAAAATGATTCAACAATTTGGAATATGATATCGCCGCGGTACACAATCGGAAAAACGAGAGTCTCTACCGTCGAGCTATTTGAAAATAAAAAATATTCTCTTTATCAAAAGAACAGTCAGAAAAAGGGGCGACTATTGAATAACTGGTCGAGTTTTTCGTGTGATTTAGAGGCTGAGGAAATGGGGCGGGTTTCAAAAGTTATTTATAGCGATATTTGAGATCTAAAGTGTCGCGAATTTCCGTATAATGTTTTGTGAGTCTCCTACCCCGTTCCTTCGTTATCAGTGCTGATCCACGAGTCGTCCTTGAGGTCTAAAGGGGTCATAAAACCAGTTCTTTTTGTCATCAAGAAAACCTGGAAAGAGGGTACCTGAAAGATCGGAGACGGTGTCATCCGAGGTGTCGAGGGGAAAGATCTCCTTGAACGTCTTGGAAGTCATCCTTTCCACAAAAAGATCGCTGAACTTATCTGTGGAAGGAGAGTAGAAAAAGCAACAAGTGGAAGTGACGTTCTAGAAAACCTCCGAGAAAATTCCAAAACAAAGCAGATGATATCATTTTATCGGCGCTCAAGTTATAATGGAAACTCACTCAGGCGGGACGGACAACTCATTTTTTTGAATTTATGTTCGTTTTTTCTCTTACTGTATCAAATGATGACCTGCAGCGAAGTTATTGGACGCATAATTCTGACAATTCTAATCAATGTGAAAACGATGCTACCATAGAACATCTATTCTTAATGCTTTTAACTAGCAAACTATCGATACAAACATGAATTATGATTATTCAATCAATTTTGACAAACATTAAACATGCTCTGCCTATTTCCAAGTCTCATGAAAACCTCCACAAGATCTGGATAATGCATTTTATTTGACGCAAGTCTGTTTCTCCTGACTTCACTTACCATTCAATTATTCCTTGTCAAATATTAGCTTTTTCTTCAATTTCTTTCATTAGTAAATTCCACGTCAAACGACCTTGATCAACTGACGAATGCCCTCAAGTGTTACTGTTAATCGATCATAAAGCAAACTTCTTGAGTCAATAAAAATCTCAGAACTCGCCATAACTTTGTAAGAGGAGAATGGATAAAATATCGCTTCTTTGATGAAAACCGCTATTCGTCAGATTGAGACACTTTTATGGACATTTTGTGATCCCGAGGTAATAAAAAGTCAAAGTCCCTTGAAGGCCTTTCAAGGTCAAGGAAAATGCCAATTTGGCAATTTGGAAACTTTAAGTTTTTCTTTGCCAAATGCCTCCTAAATCCAAATGCAAATGCTTGTTAAAACCGACTAAATTTTCTCATGAGAATTTGATGTTTTTCAGACGCAAGACAAAAAGACCGGACGACGATTATTTTTTAATTTGGATCCTTACGATCGATATTAAGATTTATTAATGTTTTGTTGCAAAAAATAATAATAAAACAGGTCTGTTGAAAAACCGAATGTACAGTTGCTTATTTAACAAGATTTCTGAAACAGTTTAAATAAGAGGTATGAAGAAAAGCATAATAAAATGGTAATTACAGTCTATATTTTCTAGGGAGTTAGTTTAGGTAAGAAGGATTGAGCGAATGAACTTTTTAAATCCAAAATACATACAGAAATCGGGTTATTTTTTGAAGGTGTTGTGGTGTTGGTTGGCTACAGTTGGAAGCTGGGCAGGTCTGCGGTGTACAGTACGGGTCGTTTTTTGTTCAAATCGGCTACTGGTTACTATCATGAAACGACGGTATTCAGCTTTTCCGTCGATTCGAAGCTGATTAGGTCGCTGGAGGCCGAGCTGGAGTACTCTGAGTAGCTGCTGCTGGCGGTGCTCTGCGTACTGCTAGCGCTCGTGGTCTGATTCAAATATTCTAGATTGGAGGACAGCTGTCTTCGTGGGTGAATAGTCTCCTCGGGTGGAGGAAACTCGATATATTTTCGCGGGACGGTGCCGATTCCGCCCGACTTTCGAAAGTCTTTCATCGCCAAATACCAATCGCGATCGATGAAGGCCAGAATCTGGATCGTCTCGCGTTCCTGTAGGCAGAGTTGGCTGTCGTCCGTGGGTTCAAAGGGGTACAGACTGGTTGCGATCTGCGGCGCGTCCGGCATCAAAAGCCGCATTTCGCCAAAGATCGGATAGGTGAGGTAGTAGTCGACGAGGTCAGTGATCGTGCGGAACTTTCTCTTCCAAATGTGAACGTGTCCCTTGTTCTTGTCCCAGTGGACGCGCATGTGGCCGATTTTGTTGCGCAGTTTGATAGAGAGGGAGAATCCTTCGTGGCTCTGCGAGCACCGAACCACGAAACATCCACGCTCCCTTTTCTTGTCTTTGAGATAAAACTCAGCGTTGGTTCTGGTGATATTTGGGATTAACCACGGAATCGGGTCGATGTCCACCCAGTAATGATGCACCAAACCAATGGTGTTGGATTTGTCGAGCGCGAGCGCCCAGTCCTTCGAGTAAAAGTAGTCCACGACGCGGAGCGTATCTCCAGCTTTGAAGGACAATTCTCTATAGGTCCGTTTCGTTGGATCGCAATCCGCAAGGACCATTTCGCTCTCTCCATCGTGATTTCGCAGTGTTGTTACTTCCATCTTCTTTCAATATCTCTGATGCATAAATTATTTACTCTTCCGCAAGAAATTGATCGTCTCTCGGTACTTTTAGAGTTTTTATGACACGAGAAAAAAACGGTTGTCTTTTTTTCTATCTATTTTTTTTACTTTGGGTGTGAAGCGATCTCGAGGCCCTTCTTTTATGGATTCGATGGGAGCGCCAGAGCGCTTGAGCTTATAGATTCTCCTTCAAAAGAAAAATTATCGTTACGAAGCCTCGCCTCATCCCTCGTTTTCTGCAGCAATCTTCATTATTTAATGCCAAGACTCTTGACTCACGAGGAAGTTTATGAATAACAAAAAAAATATTTTCATATTAAGATTTTTTGATAAAATGAATTTGATAAACATAAATTTAGGTAATATTAAACACAATTTCTACCAATTTTTTTCTTTAAAAGAATGTTTATCATTTTAAATTTATCGTTACGTAATTATTTTTATTTTACTTATTCAACAGACAGTTTTAGTCAGACTTTAGCAAAGCTGTATTAACTCCTTAGCGTAGAAAAGAAACAACGAAATAAAGCAGATTGAAGGATGTGACACCGGTGATTATCGCTAGATTCTTATGTCATCCAGCAGGGGAGAGTTTCTCATGTCAGACGTACACTTCTGTAACACGCCTCTTTTTTGTTTACGCGGTGTTATCGGAATGCCAATATTTTCACTCATTCTTTAAGTTATTTTGTTTTCAACTTTACTCGAACTTTTTTGTCTACTGTAGCTCACAGTCCCCCAAGATCAATGTCAGACATGATGCCAATAGCATGTATAGGCCTAAGCATAACAACAATCGTTATCATGCCTATTTTTCTTTGCTGGGTAGTTATTACCAATAAAATGTTTTGAGAATCCATGAATTTATTCTCTTTGGGACTTAACAACTTGAAGTTATCAGAATTGAAGCAAACTATGCTCAATCATCATATTGTACGGGCACTTGTTTGCGGGATTTAATGATCTTGTCCGATGGACAATATTCTTTCTCCACCGGAAGAGAATAAATTTTCTTGTATTGAAAGATTGTGCAATAGCAGTTTTCCGCACCGGTGGCAGCTGGATAGAATGATTCGCCGTGAATTAATATTAAATTAATCGACCTGTAGTCAACAGGGCAAAATAACTAATTCTGAATAAGGAATCGGAAGACGATTCCAAATTTGAACAAAAAATGATTTCCTTAGAAATGAAAAGCCAGGACTATAATTCACACGTCCAGACCCTTCCCGTCTAGGATTTATAGCACTTGAGTGAAGTAATCATTTGACTCCTTGTGATGGTCATTTTTTTCGGGGCTTTAATCCGAATCATATTTTTATGTTTTCTGTTTTCGATTGAGAAAATAATGACCATCGATCATGTTATTGTCCATTTTTATTGCTTCAAAGATCAAAGGTCCAAAAACAGAAGGCATTAAAAAAGTGCGGACTTTATTCGCTGAATGGCGGTTAAATTTGAGAAGAATTTAAATATTGACCTAAGCATTCGAATTCAGAATCAGCGGAAGTAAAAGTGTATATTTACAGACAGCAAGAACTTCTCCGACATAACAATTGAGGTTTGGTATGTGGGGCTGAAGCGTTACGCAAGACGGTTAACTTATCGTGGCGGCAGTTATCGTCACCGTCTTCACCGTTGACTGTCTTGAGGGCAAAAGAATCAAGACGCTCTCGTTGTTTATCGCGATGTTGATGCAACCACGTTGAAGAGGGTTTTCCCAACCGGCGGAATCGCCGTCGCCCCGACGTGGCCTCCCACAGCCTCTGGTAACGTTCATCTGGTTCACGTCCTGGCTTGATAATGCATATTCTCTAATACGATTCATACGTGCACTTGCTTAACCGTAGATGCCATGTTTCGTCATAAAGGGCGACTTCCCTTTTCGTGAAAAATTCATGAGTCTATCCGTAGCCAGATAAATATTAAATAAGATGCGATAACTGAATTATTAAAGCCCGTATAATAACATAGACGATTACGTAATCGGCCGTCTCCTTCTCCGATTCAGACAAGAATGGCCCAGGTCAAATATGAATGTTGTGAGGCTAGATACTTTTTTTATTATTTAAGTGAACTGTGATGGAACATTCATAATACAGTAATACGAACTGGCAGCTTTTCTGAAAGAGCTCAGGAGGCATTCAAGTCTTTGAAGTAAGTCTTGTATATGTCGACATATGGAAAGATATCTTCAGCAAGCTCGATGTGGAAGGCATCCTTCTTTATCAAATACTGTCGTAACGGCTTGAACTCCAAGTTTTGCAAATTAGTTTTTAGACTACTGTCGTTTCCGGAGGGCGGGCGGAAATAAAATTTCTGCATAAAATTCGGAAGAATAAGTTTATGAGTCGTTATCTCAAGCCATTTCCTTTACGATTTTATTTGAATTCGGGCCCCAGTCGATTCTGCTGTCGAAGTTGTCGTTTCTCTAAGAAAACATGTTATCGAGCATCGAGGAAAAAAAACTAACGTTGTAAAGAATTCCAGGGCCAGCATAGTCCACATCCGATAAGAGCTCGCATCCTGGGGTTATCCACTGCACAACAACGTACTTATCCTTCCTGTTGACCTAATAAAATTCGCCTGCAGTTTCTGTTCAAATGTCAAAGCCTACCTTGAGAAGTTTTCCAACTAAAGGCCGTCGCACCGTATCTAGCGGGCGGGATTCAGTCTTGATTCTCAATCCTGAGACTATCAAATTTAAAAAGTGACTAGAAAGGACGCTGAACCCCAAGCATAATTGCTGCCTCCCGAATCATTCAGCGGCACATTTCGTCCTCCAACACTAATCGGTTAATTTAGTAACTTATTATAAGACTTATTCACGCGGTCTTGGCGACCGACTGGCTGGCCACTTTTTGCAGTAAAAAGATGACCCATTAGAGGGACGCTAGGAAATGTTAAAAAGAAAGTACCCGTTTTTATGATCCTCGATTGCTTGTTTCAGCTCATTTCGCTTGTCACCCAGTCTCCTTTTGACTTTTCTTTCATGTGTTGCTCTCTCCCTCGATTTTTTCGTGTCCTCAGCATTTTCGGTATCACCCCACTCGCCACTCTCCGGGTCAGTGCCTGATTCAGGCCGGTACTCTTCATAGCTAAAGTAGCCTTTGATATCTTTTTCTGACACCTTTTTTCCATCATCTTCTATAAGTTCTGATCCATAAGGTTTGATGTTATATTCCTGTTTTTGGAGTTCCGAATGAATAATTCGACAGACGAAAATGTGTCTAAGTCTCGGGAACCAGACCTTAATTCTCCGCGGAAAACTTGATAAAAGTTGAAGAATGAGCGCCTAATTATAGCTATTAAAAATGGATCTTCACACATGACTACATTTTCTATCTTGTCAACTTTTCCTTTTGATATCAAAAGCCCAATACTTCTCGTTCGGCTGTACCAACATGCCCTTGGTCAGAACCTGTCGCATAATAGAAGGCGAGAGCAGCTTCGGATTACTTCATTATCTTGACGATTTTCGAAGCTCTCTCACCTGGTTTAGCGCGGCAGGTGCGTTGAACTTGCTGAAAACCTCCATATAATCCGATTGGATGTCTTGATCGCTTCGCGCGTTCCTGTTTTCAGTCCACATCCGGACCATGAGAATACGAACGTCCCAGTTTGTCCTGTAGTAGAAACATTTGCTGCTATTCGCACAAGCGGCCGCTAAATCCAAGTTTTAAAGAATATAAAAATATTTGCTTTACAAAATTAGTTAAAAAAGAGCATTCAATCATTTTCCTATTACTAATAGGCTATCAGGAACTGTTAAACAGTAAAATTATAAGGAAAAACAAGTGATTATTAACAAAGTAATTAATTTTAAAGACATGTAAAAGCTCGTTCAAAATAATAAAGGAAAAATTAATGAACGAGAATATTAGCTGAGAAAATAGCAGGCACGTTACGTGAACATGCTTTTGTTGGCGAAGCTATAAGTAAAGACTTTTTGCCGAAGGCTTGAATCAAGTCTTTGACCTTCTTATTCACACATGAATAAATGACCACTTCCGCATTTTACGTATTTTAACGAGCACGGCAATTAATCATGATTACGTACCAAGGTGATCTTTTCGCGGGACAAGGCGGTAATGCTGCTCCAGGGTTCCCTTTTATCGGATGAGAAAACTAGGACATGGCCTTGTTAATCTTGGAAAATCTTGTTACAAGATTCTTGTATCCATCTCTCATCCAAATGCCTGATAATCTTGGTTGTTCAACTTGAAAATCGACTTTTTTGGCTTTGTCATAGTTAAATAAAAAAAAACAAGATAACAAGGTTTGATTTCTTGATCTAATTTAATTACCTAATTTTACATTAAGGATATAGCCTATGAAATTGAACTTTCATAGCGCCTAAATGCGACGTCAGATCATATTATTTCAAAAGAAATCCCAACTAAAAATGTACGCAGAACTCGATTGTGGTACTTTTTTAAAATTTTTCATTTGAAATTCTCTCTGTAGAACGTTTTGAAATCTTACGATCGCGATTTCTCGAAATTTTTACATTAAATCGCTAAAACTAAACCCATGACTGCATTAGCAAAATGCTAAACTAGAATATTGTGGCTGAAAATTTTTCAAACTCAGGCAAATTTCTATTCTAGTGTTTTCCTCTTTCTTGCTCCTGTTTTTCTTCCATGCGCGCTTTTTTGGGTCCAACCAATCAAAGCGCTCTTTCAAACGCGCATTTTCTCTCGGGAAAGAGGAGTCGAGAGATTGAGCACCCAGCGCAGCGCTTTTTACACTATTCACGCGCCGAGGAAGCCTCACGGAAATGGCTCTAAAATCGGTTTTTGTCGGAATTAGAGAAAACCGAACCCACAATTTTGTAGATAAGGGTCTAGATTATCTTTCTATCAAAAAAACTCGACCGATTTAATGTAAAAATTTCGAGAAATCGCGATCGTAAGATTTCAAAACGCTCTACAGAGAAAAATTCAAATGAAAATTTTTAAAAAAGTACCAGAATCGAGTTTTGCATACATTTTTAGATAGAATTGATTTTGAAATACAATGATCCGACGTCGCATTTGGGCGCTATGAAAGTTCAATTTGAAAGGCTATATCCTTAAATTCTATAATATATAAAATCTATAGGCTTTTCAGTGATTGAAAACAGCAATTTGGGGAAAATATCTCCATAAAATCATGTCGAGGTGAATATCTCGTCACGTGAGTGCCGGACTTCATAACCAGAATCCGAGTATAAAAAAGATAATTTGAAATCGAAGACTCGGACAAGATATCTTATATATCGGACAAGGCCATGTGCGTATATGCAAATGAATATGCTGTCTTATCGCCAAAAGCGATAGGCTTTAGCCATTCCTTAAAATTTGAACTTTGCAAAATATGATAAAAGGTCCGATCGTAAATGTTTCTCGAATTGATCGGGATTTTATCGTCATCAACCTCTCGCGTTCGGTAAGTTTGATAGAGGAATAACATGTCCATGATTCTTGTGAAATTTTCTAAAAAGAACTTGGTAAGAATAACAAAAAAAATCGAAACTTACGATGAGTTAAACGAAGCAGAGCAGGTTTAACATAGTCGTACCAAACTGCTGTTGATGCGCAAAAGTCTAACGGACAAGTAAATTTTCCTGATTTGGAAGTGATAAAAATTACCGCAAATTTCTAAGAGCGCGCAAGTATCAACCCACGTAAGTCGAACTGGCAGTCGATGAATGGCGGCTAGGTAAATGCTGACAATATGAGGCGAGAATTTTAAATCTTTCAAGACGAGTTTTTTCATGAAAAAAGTGTTGGTACTATCAGATAAGAAACCCGTGGCTATGTTAGAAGTACTTCCTTCTTTGAAGGAAAACTGCGAGTCGAGTCCAAATGCGCCCCAAAGATGAGTATTTTTGAACATTTTCTTCATAATCTTGAATCTGAAACGCCCTTTTGCATCATCTTGAATGATATCTCCGACATTGATGTCGACGTATTCTTCTTCTCCGTCCCCACACGTCACGTGTAAATATTCCGATTCTTTTTCAAGGTCAAAAAAGGAGCTTGAATAGCGATAGTTTGAAATTTTCGACCGTTCCTTCAAGAAAGAACATCCCCATGAAGTTCTTGATCTGCAAATTGTGCTCTCCCTCGACCGAATAGAATTCAGTTGGATCACTTTCCAGTGTCCATTCTCGCTGTTTCTCCGCAATAGCCATTTTTCGCTTTCGCTCGGCCTGAATTTCGGGATACAATACTCGCGAAAAATATCATTTTTCTTGTATCTAGAATTCTAGTTTGTAGAATTGAAAGGATTTGTATCCGAATTGCCTTTTCCCTTTTTCGTTGTCGCACTTCGGCTTTACTGAGTTTCATCGCGAAATTCGCGAACGCATTCTTCTTCTTCCTTCTGTCTTCATTTTCCGCTTCCAAACTTTGCCAACTGTTCGCTTCCGTCACAGTTTCTGTCTGCGCACTGTCTGGCGCCCCAGAACGCACCATCCTTGTCAGCAGAATCAGGGTGGACCAGGCCGTTTCTGACCTGTTTCCGTTATCCGGAAAAAAAACCCGATTCTAAATTCGGGCGCGCGTATTTTCTGCCAATCAGACGCAGCTATTTCTCGCACGCGGGCCGTTCGTGTTTTTGGAATTTCTCACTTTTTATCCCTTTTTTTCCAGAGAGAAATCTGAAGAAAAATCGTTAAAGTGAATGGAAGTTATGAAAAAGAGTTTTAAAAAGAAGTTATCTGAAAAGTAATTTCTCTTTGTCTTTTTGAAGCAAAATGTTCTTTTTTCGAGAACTAAGAATTCTCTTTTGCCAGAATTCATTTTTCCTCATTTTCAGAGCAGAGCTGAGCATTCGGAAATCGGAGTCAATGTTTCTCTAAATTGAAATCGAGAATTGAGTCTAGAAAAATCGCCAAAGATGAGTTGGCAGAAGAAAAACGACGATAATAATTTCGAAGCCGATGAGCGCCCGTCAAATTCCTCTGCGAAAAGCCAGAGGATCGAAAAATTAACGCAAGAAAACGAACTGGATGAACTTTATGGTTACCAAGAGCCGTCAGAACCGGTGAGTTTCTTTCTAAATGAATGGTTGTTTGTTAAATTAATCGTATTATAACCAATATCATCAAGGATTCCTCGTCCGTTTTCTTTCAACCAGTCCAAGCTAGATTGGGCTGGATAGAGATAGAAGGCTTGCCAGTTTGTCCCAATTGATTCCATCTCAGCTTCTACATTTCATACCATGTTATGAAGCAGCAGATTGGAAAATAGAAGTAGGGTCCAACAACAAACCCAGGAGTGTGTTCTTCCTATGTTAACAATTGATAAGACAATGATTTTTCCACAGAAGTAGCAAATTCAGGGGACATGCTATCTAATTAACTAATTCTGGCCTCTAATCTCCAAATAATAATCTCAGAAAGACCATAAGTTCTGCTAACTTTTGATAGAATGGGGGGTTGCTTAGGGATGCCCAGGAATGTCAAAGAATTGATGATGATAAACACAGACCTGTACCGAGGCTAAGGCCAAGGGAGATAAAACTCAGCTCACTCTGAAATTCTAAGAAAAAGACCTGAAAAATAGATCCAAAATGGATCCCTCCACGACCTCTAAATACAATTTCAGGGTGTATCAACCGGCTGGCTGGTAAACATGCACGCCGGAGACACAATTAACGAAGATGGCCAGCTTGTTTCTTGCGTCCACTATTACTTCATCAAGCAAGATGGAGACAGATTCAAAGTCCGTCTAACCTATCAGCCCTATTTCTACGTCGAGCCCAGGCTAGGCCTGGAGCACGAAATCTCCAACTACCTCTCCCGTCGATTTGAAAAAATGGTCAACGTAAAAGTCGAGCTCGTCGCAAAAGAAGATTTAGACTTAAACAATCATCTTTCCGGACTAAAAAGACATTTCGTGAAACTGACATTTGATCACGTGGACGACATGCAGGTTGTTTTGAAACCAATTCGAGCTGCAGTATCGAGAAACAAGAAATTAGCGGACAACAAAGTCTCGGACTTAGTAATGGCGCTGGATGGAGACAGCGACGCGATTAGCTCGGATATGATGGACGAAATCGTAGACATACGCGAGTACGATGTCCCGTTTCATGTCCGGGTGTCTATTGATAAGGTACGCAAATGTCTCTTTTATCCCTAAATTCTCATTTCAGCAAATATTCGTGGCGCACTGGTACGATGTCAATTGGACTGGGCAACATGATGTACCGACCTTTTTGAGAAGGTTTGAAAGTCTCATATTTCGCACTAGAACTTCCCCCTTTCAGAGACGACCTTTTAACGCGACCAGACCCAGTTGTCCTGGCATATGATATTGAAACGACGAAGCTTCCGTTGAAATTCCCAAACTCGGAGATTGATCATATTATGATGATATCGTACATGGTCGACGGGCAGGGATATCTTATCATCAATCGGGCGATCGTTTCGGCGGACGTTGAGGATTTCGAATTCACTCCTAGGCCAGAATTTGAGGGGCCGTTTATTGTTTATAACGAGGAAGATGAATTTGCTACTATTCGCAAGTTTTTCGATCATATTCAGGTAAAACGAAAATGCATTAATTCAAGAAGTAAAGGGATTGTTTAGGAGCTCAAGCCACATGTTATCGTCACTTACAACGGTGATTTCTTCGATTGGCCCTTTGTCGACGACAGGGCCAAAGTACACGGACTGACGATGAAGCGCGAAATCGGCTTCGAACGCGAAACGCACGGCGGTGAAGACACATTTCTCTGCCGCCAATGTCTTCACATGGACGCCTTCAAATGGGTCAAGCGTGATTCTTACTTGCCAGTCGGTTCCCAGGGTTTGAAAGCGGCAGCAAAAGCGAAACTACGATTCGATCCAGTTGAGCTTGATCCAGAGTTAATGTGTAAAATGGCGACCGAGCAGCCGCAAGTTCTAGCGACATATTCCGTATCAGACGCTTTAGCGACTTATTACATGTATCAGAAGTACGTTCATCCCTTTATCTTCGCCTTGTGTATGATCATTCCAATGGAGCCGGATGAAGTCCTGAGAAAAGGATCAGGAACGCTTTGCGAGGCGCTGCTGATGGACTACGCCTACAGAGCAAATGTAATTTATCCGAATAAACAACAGACGAATATGGACAAGACGTTTGATGGCCATTTACTCGAGTCTGAGACCTACGTGGGAGGTCGGGTAGAAGCCATTGAGTGTGGAGTTTTTCGGGCAGACTTTCCGGAAAGATTTCGTTTAGGTAATCTTTTTCTTATTCTAGGAGACTTAATTTTTATTAGATCCGGATGCGTATCAAGCACTTTTGGACGCAGTCGATGAGACCATGAAGTTTTCATTAGAAAAAGAAGAGGGCGTACCGCTAGATCAAGTTGAAGACTACGACGAAGTGTGTAACCAAATCAAAGCAAAGCTAGAATCACTGCGCGACACGCCCAACCGAATCGAGAATCCGCTAATTTATCACCTCGATGTGGGTGCGATGTATCCGAATATTATTTTGACGAATAGACTCCAACCGCCTGCAATCATCAACGAAAATACTTGCGTTACGTGTGATTACAACACGCCAGATGCTGATTGTCGACGACGCATGGACTGGATGTGGAGGTAAACTGAAACAAAGTAGCCATTTTGTTTGATAAGAATAGATAATTCACCTTCTTCGCGTAAATTTCACGTCATTTCGCTTTTGCTAATTCAGCCTTGGAATTTCGATTCTCATTGAATACATTTTAAGAGGTTATAAAAAGACCCCTGAATAATTTATTCGCGCGATGACCTCTCTTCTCATGCTCTTTTTTTTAGAGGAGAATATTACCCGGCAACTAAAAACGAAACAAGCCGGATTAAACAACAACTTGAAACAGAAAAATTCACAACGAAAAATTTTGGAAACGAAAAAACTAATGTGCCATTCTTTAAACTTCCTAAACGCGATCAAGACGCAAAGGTCCGACAACGATTATCAGAGTACTGCCGTCGGGCGTATAAAAAAGTCAAAACTACGAAAGAAGAATTAAGAAATGATATCATCTGTCAACGAGAGAATCCTTTTTACATTGATACAGTCCGCATGTTCCGTGATAAACGATACGAGTACAAGGGATTACTGAAAAAGTCCAAAAAGATACTCGAAGCGGCGCAGAAAAGAGGAGCTGATGCGGCAGAAATTAAAGATTGCAACGGAAAAGTTGTTCTTTATGATTCGCTGCAGTTGGCGCACAAGTGCATTCTCAATTCCTTCTATGGTTACGTTATGAGAAAGGGATCCAGATGGTTCTCAATGGAAATGGCAGGCATCGTCTGTTACACTGGCGCAAATATCATCAAAAACGCTAGAATGATCGTTGAGAAAATCGGCCGAGGTCTCGAACTGGATACTGACGGTATCTGGTGCATTTTACCAGCTTCGTTTCCTGAAAACTTCACATTTAACACCCGAAAGGAAGGGAAGAAAAAAGTCATGATCTCGTACCCCGGAGCGATTTTGAATTACATGTGCGATCAGAAATTCACAAACAATCAGTACCACGATTTAGGCGAAGATGGAAAATACACTAAACGCGACGAGAACTCGATCTTCTTCGAAGTTGATGGCCCTTACAAGGCGATGATTCTACCCGCTTCGACAGAGCAAGGTCGAAAGCTGAAAAAACGTTATGCCGTGTTTAATTTCGACGGATCTTTGGCCGAGCTGAAAGGATTTGAGGTGAAACGCCGTGGAGAACTCCAGCTTGTGAAACTTTTCCAGCAATCCGTTTTTGATTCATTTTTGAAAGGCAAGAACTTGAAGGAATGCTATGGTGAAGTCGCTAAAGTTGCCGATTATTGGATCGATGTCTTGTATTCCAAGGCTGCTCACATGCCCGACGATGAACTGTTTGACCTCATCGCCGAAAAGCGATCCATGTCGAAAAAACTATCAGAGTACGGCGAGCAGAAATCAACTTCCATTTCAACAGCAAAGCGTCTGGCTGAATTTCTCGGTGACGAAATGGTCAAAGACTCGGGTTTAGCCTGCAACTTCTTCATCTCGAAATACCCAGCTGGTGCACCAACGACTGAACGAGCGATTCCCCTTGCTATCTTTCAAGCTGAGCCGAGTATTAAAAATTATTACGTGCGGAAGTGGTGCAAAGATTCAAGCCTCCACGATTTCGACATAAGAGACTTGATCGACTGGGAATATTACCTTGAGCGTTTTGGAGCAACGATTCAAAAAATCATCACGATTCCAGCCGCGTTACAGAACGTTTCCAACCCTGTCCCGCGCATCAAACATCCTGATTGGCTTCACAAAGAGCTGCTCCAGCGGAATGACACTTTCCGACAGGGGAAGATGATAGATCACTTCAAAGTCACAAAACGAACGACGACGGAAGAAATAAATGAAAAGGAGAATCAAGCGCCTGACATAGAGAATCTTTGCGGAGGGAAGCCTCAAGAACGAAAACCTCTGGTAAACTTTTCCCGTAAACGAGCCCGCGAGGATGAAAGCATGTTCATTGGGAAGACCTGGAAGGATGCGCTGGGAGAGATGCCCGTCTGGGGCGAGACATGGGAGGAAAGACGCAAGTGGTTCAAGTTTCAAAAGCTCAAGTGGGAGTTTCAACGGAAGAAGAAACGAATTTTAAAGAAATCTGGAAAGGTAGACCGTTCTGGTCGGCAAGGAGAGAGTGTTGGTGGCACTTTAGGTGCGATAAAAAAGCGAGCAAAAACAGTCTTGGACCAGTTTTGGAGCGTCATCCAAGTTGAAGAACTACAAAACGGCGAGTTCAAATTGTGGACTCAAATTGATCACGAGCTTCATCACATGACCGTCACAGTTCCTCGCATTTTCTACGTCAACAGGAAAACTCCTAAAGCTCAAGAAATCGGGCCAGTGTGGAAGCGTATCCAAAAGTCATTGCCTCGTTCAACCCCCGCCAACTTCCTCTATCAGTACAGTCTCAACGAGAGCGACTTTCGGGCTCACTATCACGAGATTCAAACGGAACTGAACGGGCCAGAAGTAGAAGGTGTCTACGAAATGGGAGTGCCGCTTGATTTCCGGCTGATGGTCGACCTTGGTTGTGTTTGCTCAGTAACGCGAAGTGCAGCGAAGGGAATGTCTAAGATGGGAGTCGAGCAGTTCCAACTTGACGAGCTCGAGTCACACAGCTGCTCGGAGCACATGTATCTATCAGAAAATGTCCGGACAATGTATGTCCATCACAATGGCAAGGGAAATACACAATTTCTGGCACTTTACTCTTCTGGCAAGCTCTATATCTACCTCCTAGCGCCTTCGAGACAAAACTTGATGCCCAACATCATGAGCTTGTACAAAAAGTATCTCGAGACGCAAGAATTAAACTCTGAAACAGTTCATATCTCCAGCATTGAAGAAGTAAAAGTTGAAACAAGTGTCAAAGAGTTACAAAAAGCCTTTTCTCGGGCAGTTGCAAAGGAGCGGATCGGCCCTGTGATGGTTTGTATTCAAAGTCCATTCGATGAGCTTCCCGTGAAAATCGAAGACGTGCCGATTATTCGTCTGCCAAAGCTGGCTAAAGATGAGCTCGCCGGGCGCACGACGGACTGGCAGAAAGCGGCAGCGGAATCATTCGTGACGCGGCTCTTCGTCCATAAAATGGAAATCGAGAATCTTAAGGAACAAGCCAGATTCTATCACATCCCGATCGGAAACATACCCAGCGATTGCATCTTATATGGCGCTGATTTATTCTATGCGCGAGCTTTGCAGCGTTCAAACCAGCTCCTTTGGTGTTCGATGTCTGCCAGACCGGACTTGGGCGGCCGTGAACGAGACCTTGCGAGATTAGAGGCTGAGCCGAGTCAGCTTGTGCCTTTGTTCGATAAACCAGGGCTATACCAGTCGATTACGGTGGAAATGACGATCAACGGCATTTTCGAAGCGGCTTTGTTGCAAAGCCACAACCTGACCGAGCTAGACGGGTTTGAGACGTTTCAACAAGGGACCGTAGATAAACAGTTCAAGGGTAAGACAATTATATTAATTAATATTGATGGCATGAATTTGACGTTGGGTTTAAACTTGTCATTCAGCCGACGGTCAATTGAATACGAATTATGCTGAGTCGACTCTTGCCCTCCCTCAGTACCGTATCTTGAAGAATCTGGTCGCTGTTTGGGTCAAAGACATCGGTAAGGTGGCAGACAGCTTTTAAGAATACAGTCGGTTTCAGGGGTGTGCATTCGGCCCGAAATCGGGTGTCGGGCCTACCGAGGGCCGAGCCGAAACGAAAAAATCAGTGTTGGGCCGGCCGAAAGCCGAGCCGAGCCGAGGTGCCCGAATCGGCTTCGGCTCAACTTTCGGCTCGGGCAATTTGGGCTAATTTTCGGGCATTTCGGGCAATGATTTTCGGAAAATTAATATAAATCTGAGCTTAAAAAACAACCGATTTTGAGGAAAATCGGCCAAATTTCTGATGGCAAAATTTTGGGTTATCAATTTATAAGGTTATTGGTAGATATCAGTCGAAGAATCAAGCACAGATCTCTGTAAAATTCTTTCTTACTCTCTAACTTTGGCCGGGTGCCCGGTTGCCCGAAGATTGGGCCGAATTGCCCGAATGCCCGAGCCTGCCCGAACCTGCCCGAGAGAATTTCAGGTCACCGGCCGACCGAGAGCCGAGCCGAACATGATTTGCCCGAAAAATTTGTCGGGCAGCCGAATGCCCGAGAGCCGAATGCACACCCCTGGTCGGTTTATTCTCATGGGCAAAAGAATATTTCTAGCAGTCTATCTTAACCATATGTTTGTAGCGCAATACGACAGCTCTTTTGCAGATTCTCAGGTCCAGCATCTGATGCGTTACATCACCTCTACCACTTCACTTCTTTTTGATCCCGCTATTCAAGAATTACTCGTCTCAGCTGTATATCGTTTGTACAAACTTCTCTGCAACGAGTTGAAACGAATCGGCTGTGAGGCCATTCACGTCTCTCCAAGAAAACTACTGCTCGTTACGAAAAAGAAGAATATCGGGGATGCAATTGGATATGTCGACTTTATTGAAAAAACTTTGCGGAAAAAGGAGTTGTTTCAGGCGATTGATTTCAAGTTTACCTCTGCCTGGGAGACGCTTTTGTGGCACAATCAAAATAATTACGGAGGTTTGCAAGTTCAAGATAAAGTCATCAAAGAGATCATGGGGGATGAAGAAGATGAAGATGACGTCGTAGAGGAGGATGAGGAAGAAGAGATGGTGATGAAGTTCGAATGGAGTGAGCATCTTCCCACTGAGGCTGGAATGCAAGCTTCATTCACTCAGGTAATCCAATAAAACCACGGACAAGTTTTAATGCTTCGTATTTACAGCTGATTGCTGGCTACATCAAGGTCCTTCACGAACAAGCTAAAGAAACGAGCGATGAAGAGAAGCTAGCCGAATTCGCTGTGGGCATAATTACCGGCGAGTTCTCAGATCACCTTCTCGAAGCAACGCAAAAGATTCTAAATAGATACCCGGCCGGAACGACACGTGCGAAAGAAGTTTTCCCAAAGCTAGCTGGCAGCTTTCTGACGCTAGATCACCCGGCACTATTCTATGCGAAAGTTATAACGCAGGTAAGAATAAGTATCGCTAATTAATCGAGCCGGCATGAATACTTGTGCAGGTTTTGCTCGCTAAGGTGGATTCTCAATACAAAAAATCGCCTTAGCAAAGTAGATATTTTTATGAGAAACGATTCAGGTTCTCTCCGCCCACGAAGGCGTTTCTGAAGAGCTCCAGTCGCTTAGACGAAACGTTTTCCGCCTCCTTGGCATTTCCGAATTCTCTGAGAAAGGACAATGGGTTGATCCCGCCGCCAAGTTGATCCTCAAGGATGTCGTTTGCAGTCAATGTGGCGTTTCCCAGGATTTAGATTTGACCGTCGATCTCAATCCTGACTGCGAGTGTGACTTCTTTGATGAAAAGTCACACAAGCAGGTTATTGAGTCTCGCTTGATTGAAGAGCTCAAGGTATAATCAAAGACACCGTTTGTTTTATATTCTCCCCTGTTTTTCGAACCCCTCTAGAAAAGGGATGAGGACATCCTGAGATTATTTTAACCCCCTACGCCACAGAATAGACCTTCAGCTCTTATTTTAGCCAGATTTAGGCACTGTATGATATCTGTACTCCGAGTCCATAGACTCCCCAAAAGGGGTCGAAATGAGCGAAATCGGGTATTACCGGGTTAATGACGTCATAAGTCAAAGACCATGTTTCAATTACCTTTTCTAAGTACCCCTACGCCACAGATCAGACCCTAAGCTACATTCTGGTACTCTTGGGAACCCCCTGTGATAACTGTGGTCGGAGAACATAGACTCCCCAGTTCGGGGTAATATAAAACAAACGGTGTCAAAGCGTTTTCAACTTCATTCGTTACAATTTTTCAATAGAAACGAGTCATTGGGTGGAATTTGCAAGACGTGGTCTGCATGCGATGCAACCAAGTCCGCTCCGGCGACATGGGACATCTCTGCGAATGCGCTGGAAAGTTCAAATGTATCGAAGGCAGGGTGGCTATTTTGGACTTGGGGGTTAGTTGAATTGGATTGGATCCAATCCAATAAGGTTTGGATGGAATTTGGATGGCCAGGGTATCGGATTTTATTGGGTAAAATTGGGTAATTGGGGAAATTGGGGATTGGCGACATTGGAAAATTGGATCTTCTTGGGGAATTGGCAGTTGTTGGCAAGATTGGATCCGAGAAAAATTGCGAAAAATGATCGACCAATCAGGTTTGTTCTCAACCTACACTCATCACGCGCAGTCTACCTTTCTCAGACGGATAAATACTGATCATTAGAGAGTTTTACTGCGATTTAAATGGCATTTTCTTTTCTTTTACTAGTCAACCTTTTTCAGAAGGGATGAGTCCACCTGCCAAGCGTTCCAAGAGATGCATTTATGTGGCGAGTGACGAAAAAGACAAGGATAAACGAAAAGAAGAGGTTGATAGAAAGAAAGCGGAAATTACTGCTGATGAAAAAGTGAGCAACCGACTGGTGAATGGAAGAAATGGACCCCTACAAAACTACAAGACAAGATTCGAGAGCTCAACCTTGAATTTGAAGAGTACTATTTCGAGGGATTTCCGACTTGCTACTTGCGCTGCGCAAGAATAGATGGAGCTAAGTGCAAAAATGCAGAGGAGAGGTAAAATTTGCATTTTGTAAAAATTCTTAAAAACCTTAAGCCATTCCATACATACGATCAAAATACAGATGTCTATAAAAAGACTCTCGAACCGATTGTGGATCGCCACGCGCAAGCACCAGATGAGCAGAGAGTACTCGCGCTTCTGAATAACACCAAGGACCACAGAGTTGATGTCCAGAAGAAAGTTCTGCAAGTCATGCGCGATACCGGAACAAGCTTCCGGTTTTGGTCACATGACTCTGTCAAGGCCCTGATGCGCTGCCTTCTCAAAAATGTATCCTTTAGCCAGATGCTCATCAATCAACTTTGCCTTTCGAAGGATGCCATCAAAATATACATGAAAGAAGAGGCAAAGAAAATTCGGGAGCGCCTTCAACAGATTCTTCCGGAAATGGCAAAAAAGGGCCGCCTGTCAATTTCTCTAGGATAAGGATTTCAAAGTTTCTTTAAAAATTTTTGAATAATTTGTCTTATTAACAATTTAATATCCTTTAAAGACCACAAATACGTGAAAACTAAAGAAAATACGCTCTGGAAGATACTCGGGGTTGAGGTCAATATTCGCTGCAAAAACGGATTTTGGAACTGTTTGATCGGTTATGTTCCGATGCCGGACTCAACTGCGGATCACACCATAGAAAAACTGAAGCAGATATTTGAAGAATACAACCTTACCGATGCGATAGAGAAAAACTTGGTCTGCATTGTGAGCGATCAGGCAGCAGAGTCCGTGCCCGAGCATTTTACGATCAACCGTAGCATTTGCGGAAGTCATTCAATGTGTTGCAACCTTAAGAGAGCGTGCGAACAAAATCTCAGACCAGGTGGACCGAAGGATAAGAAGTACGAATCACTTGAAAAATTCATCGACAAGTGTGAAGCTACAGTATCGGCGAGTGATCTTCCGGCTGGTGTCGGATACAAGTCAATCAATGCGTTTTTGATTTCTCAAGAAGTGACTAATCGCTTGCTTATAAAAGAGTTTTATAATGCAAAAATAAAAGCGAGTACTGAAATTCTTGAAGACGATCAAGTCAAACGACTTGTTGAAGAAAAGACGGATGCATTCCTCAACAGAAAGGAGAAAGGGAAGGCCATCGATCGAATTTCCGGCTCCACGCGCTTCCGGAAATTAATCTATGGAGTTCAGCGTCTCCTTTTGAGCGAAGATAGCCTAAACAACCTCTTTTCTATCAACCACCCTCAACGCCATCTTCTCGCTGAGTGTCCAGTCCCAGATCTGCAGTTTGCGCGATCAATCAACCCTCTTCTTATCGAAATTCATCGCAGTATCAATATTCTCGAGTCTGACTCGCTTGCCTGCGGATCAGCGTACTACAAGCAAATCGAACGAATAATGATTGAGTGCGTCAATCGAATCACAATCAGTCGGACCGAGGAATCCAGATTTGCGAAGGCTGTGCTCATCAGTGTGGTGGAACAGGTTACAAAAAAGCGGATTGATATGAATGGAAACGATGTCCCATGTCAAGTACCCCTTCGTTTTACCAACAAAGACTTGGCAAGCATTTACCTGGCACCCGACTCTACATCGATAGCGATGAATTTTCATCCAGTCGTCGCCAAAATGAAAGATTCCCGAGTCCCCTTCATCTCCAAAATAATGGTATGTATTTATCTTCATGCCAAAAAAAAAAAAATAATTCAGAAAGTACTCGTCGACGGAACCAAGGATTGGCTCGAAAAAGCGAAGAACTGGATCACAGAGGTTGATCGAACAATGGAAGACGACGAGCTGACAGATGAACAGTTGTTACAGCTCCTTGAAGCTGGCGTTAATAATGTTCAATGTGACAGCCAAAATAACGCTGTTGGCCCACTTAGTCACCGCCGCGGACTAGGAAAGCCAAAAGAAATCCGTTCCAAGATCGAAGAAGAGATTGCTCAGTACGACGAAGTAAATGATACTGATATAGAAGCGCGTAAGTAATTTTCATCATTAATCTACTTTATTTGAAATTAGACAAGAAGTATTGCGCAATGAAGAAGGTTGCGGAAGATGATATTGTTGGAGAGTTCTGGCGGCGATACGCTGAAACCTTGCCAAGATTGAGCAGAATCGGATTAATGGTTCGGTTTTTTTGAGTTCAAAAATAAAGCATTTCTTAGCTTCATCACTCTTCCGTCTCAAGTTCAAGCCTGGAGCGAGCCTTCAGTTTCACGACATTGATGCGATCTATTCGACGCCACAAACTTGCTGCCAGCACAATCCTAGACATTGCCCTTGGATCTACAGAAATAAACTTTGAAGAATAAGTATTGTTTGTTTGTTTTTTTTTGAATTTGCTAGCTGGAAAATATTGGAAATCCAATGGAATCGGGGCATATTGGGAATTGGGAAAAGTTGGAATTTCGGAAGAACTTGGAATTGGATTTTAGTTGGGAATTGGGCGAAAATTGGATTGGATTGGATTTTGGATGGATAGACCCGGTTAGAAATTTTTTGGATGGAATTTGGATGGATAGACCCCTATTTTTTGTCCAAAATAGCCACTCTGATCGAAGGTACTAATTCTGACTGATTGTCGCCCAATCTAATTCTTAATTTTTCAGACGGTAAAGAACTTCAAACTTACTTCCGAACACTTCGTCAACTAGCCAAATTTTACAAAATGAATCACTTGTCATCAACAATGGACTGGATTCTCGGGAGTGGAGGTCGAAAGTCCGCAGCTGTCAAAATCGACCGAAACATTCTCAATTAGTTTCAAATTCTGTTCACAGCCAGTTATCTGCCTTATTATTTTAATGAAAAACTTTGCTGGCGTCTCATTTATTCACTGCCAGTATTTACTTATAAATGAAACTTCACATTCCAAAGCTTCTATTTGAAACCTTTTCCTTGTAGAAAAATGTATAAATGAGCCAAGCAAGAGCTTTGATAAAGAAATATCTCGATAAGTTTCATCCAGGCTTTCGTCACCGGCTTGAAACTGACCACAACGTTCAGGGTTTTTTAAATAACTAGTCTTATTTTGACTGCATAGAATAGATTGAAAAATCAACCCTATTGAAAGAAGCTGTCAAATTTTCAAAATCTGCCTTGATTCCAAAACGTCATGAGCAGAAGAGTTCGTCTTTACCGGCGCCCTTGCTCAGATCTATCGTCAGAATAAACTTCATTGTCTCCCCTCCTTGGCGATACCGTAGCTACAAGAACTTTTATTTATCATATGCTTCTGCGGCGAATAGACGGATCGACTTTAGCTGTTCTAGCGATATTATTCAAAATTATGTTACATTCAAAGGGCCTAAAAGAGCAACGAAGAATTTATCTGATGGAAAAAATAGGATAGGATCAAACTCGTCATAAACGCAGTCATCGTCCCTATCAATTTTGATGATCCTCTAATGAGCGTTGTAATTTACGAGAATAGATTTTCTTATGGAACTGAATGGCGCTGGAGAACGGTTTATATGAAGACTCAACTATGGGAGATCCTTTTCTGCCTTGTTGTCTTACTACCTCAAAGTAAAGCTTTTTTATTGATCGCTTTACAAGCTGTTTTTTAAAGGTTTGAACCTGTTACAAATTGCTGAAGAGAATAAAATGCTGTCGAATGCGAACTGGTCGGAATACTTCAAAACTCAACCGGGCTATTTATTCTCAGTCCTGATCCCTGGATTCGACTGGTTGCTCGATTCTTTGACGGCTTTCTGGTTGAGTTTTTGGAATTTGCACTTGAACGATGTCAAACCAAAGTACAAGAATAAATTCTCATGGGATCAACTCTTGAGAATAAATACAGTAAACATGTCAGATGAAAATTCTCAACACTTGTACGGTAATCAAACGATTCCGGCCCCATTACTGTTTCAACTGAACAAGCTTCTTTTGTCCTTCGTACCCTTGCTGATTCTCATCAAACATAACAGATTCAAGGAGCCAGTAAAGATTCAAGAGCTCAACTGTAAATCAAATGTTGTGCATAAAATAGTGCTCTCCAATAACTTCGCAAAAATCGAGCACTTTAATTCTCCTGTAAAAAGTGTCTTGTCTCCGTTTTTGAATCAACGAACTATCTTTGTGCAAAAAGTTAAAAATGCCCTGGATAAAGGGCGCCTTCTAAAAACTCACGAGACCGCGAATTTTCGCGAAGGTAAACTGCCAATTACTTTTCCAAAAAGCAAAGCTGGCTATTTAAAACTAACTACTGAAGTCGACCCGATTGGGCAACTATTCAAGTCTCCAACTAAAATTGCAAATGTTAACCTGTCCAAACTTCAAGTTAAATCCGTCGACGACGATTTTAAAGAGATCCTCGTTGCACTCTCAAACCGAAAAGTTTCTGCCAAAGGCGACTTTGAAATGACTGTTGATTATTATCGCCCAAGTTTGCGGAATTTTTATATTGAAAAGCTGGTCCAAAATGGCTTTGGTGACATTTTCATCGCTCTTGATAAAATGAAGAAAGATTCTCTTTTATTAAATGACTCGGAAGAGCGGGTGGAGGAATTAAAAGCTCTTGGATCAAGATTCAAGCTGTTGAAAACTTGGGAAGATGAAGATCACTATGTCGAAAAGTTCGACGATTTATTTTCAAAAACCCTCGGTCAAGATTTCGATTACCTCATTCAAGAGCTTTCTAAAATTTCAGAAGTCACGGAATCCGATCTTAAGTACTTTTCAAACTCTATCCATGCTTTTGAAGCCTATTTCAGACTCGAACGAATCCTTAATCGCATAAGTTTAGAAGTTTTCAATCCTGCCAATTGGAGGCAATTAAAAATATCTAGCAACAGTCATGTTAATCTCAATACTCTGCCACTTTTAAATGCTGTTGATCCAGCCCTTGGTCTCAGTAAAATTTTGAAACATTAAAAGAAACATCAAGTTTCAATCATGTTTTTGATTTGAGAATGGTCTGGTTGAAGGAAGAAATTGCCTCGAAAAAGATTCTTGTCGTCGGAGCAGGTGGAATCGGATGCGAACTCTTGAAAAACTTGATTCTTGCAGGTTAATAAGTTTCAATTCTACTTTTAGCTAACTATTTTTTCAAGGCTTTTCTAATCTTACTGTAATCGATTTGGACACAATTGACGTTTCTAATCTCAACCGACAGTTTCTCTTCCAAAAGCAACATGTCGGCAAATCAAAATCGCTCATCGCAAAAGAGTCAGTCATGAAATTAACTCATGAGGGCCGCGAAGTCACCATCGATGCTCGAATGTGTTCCATTTTTCTTCCCGAGTTCAGGGCGGTTTTCAAAATGAAATTACTGGTAGTTTGATAGTTCAAATAACGCATGTTATGATCTTGTTTTCTAAAAACCTGGCATCAGCGTCCCGTGGATAAAACAATTTTCAATTATTCTCAATGCTCTTTGAAGGGATCCTAGCTTCTGCTGAATCTCCCACTTCTAGCGTAGTTTGCCTGCTCTCTATATCTGGACGAGTGAAGAAAACGAGTAAAGTATCTTTGACGTCTGTATTTCGAGCTGGAGTAAAATAGAGGTTAATTCACGAACTGCGTGAATTACCGAATTGAGAGAAATACACGGCGGCGACCGAGCAAAGCTCGATCTAGATAAGCAAGTGACCTTAGGGGACGAGGGAGTCTAACGAATCTAAGATCCCAATACCCCCCATGAGACTGAAACGTCCTCTAAGGCCAAAGTGTGTGATTTTTGCAGGAGTATAAGCGTAAGATGAGTAACATGGCAGGTTCGAAACGTCGAGGCAGTCTGATTCGCGTTAAAAAACCCTTTTTTGGGAAAAAGCTTGAATCAGATGCGAAGTTTTCGTGATGTCCGAGCGGTGATGACATGAAGGAGTAGCTGCACATGTAGAAGAACTCAAAATACGTCGGCGACGGTAAACTGTGATAATTTCCGTACCTTTTCAGGCCCCGGTCGATGAATAGGGGACCTGAGTGGGGCAGTACTTGCGCTTAGTCGTATGACTGACCCGAGTTTGTGCCGATGTTTAGAGGTTCGACGGGCCTCGTTTCACGGTGTGCTCGTTTTGTATGTTTCGGGAGATGAGCTGCTCCAACTTCGGTTAAAGTCGCATTCGGATCGGCGCCGGCTGAGTATTGACGATCTGGTGAAGACTTTGGACGGGTTCTTTTCTTGCTGTTTTCAGTTGCTGAGCCCTCAACTACTGTTGAATTTTGTTTATCGACTGACATATGGCTATTGTCGGGCGCAGCAACCTCCGAAATCACTGTAGCATCAGCTGACATGTCCTCGGCAGTTTCATAAAGAGTACCACCAGAGTACCAGCGATCTGACGGCTCGGCTGGAGCTACCGACGAGTCCAAAATAGATGTAGCGGTTGTATCTCCCAGATTTTCCATGTCCAATCGGCGTCTACTTTCCAAAATAGGTGATAGAGATGATCTTGGCGGTTTTTCCATAGCAACCATCGGAGTCGACGCGACCTGAGAAGATTTCCTCCCCCCATGCGACTTCGACCCGGACTTTTCCATCGGTTTGGAAGTAGGAACAGGCGATTTTTGTGGGACTTTCGACTTAACGATTTCGGTTAAATGTGGGAATACGTACTCGGCCTCGTAGTAATCAATCCAGCGTAAGTCGTGATTTCGTTCTGCGGCGTGAACCACGTGTTCTCGATGGATGAAATCACGTTGTCCTTTTTTATCTTCGACCATGACGACCCAGTCGTTGCTCGAAACGGCTTTCAGGGGACCTACCCAGCGTTCCTTCTTGCTTTTAGCGTCGGTCAGGTTTTCTCGCTTAATGTACACGACAGCGCCAGCGGGGATTGGTCTCGGCTTAGGCTCGTTTTTCAGCCTGTGCTCCATGGCTCGGTCAGCAGCTTCCATCGCAGTTTTCACAATGGCTTCCGCCGATTTCGCTAAAGCTCCAACATTGAGACCAAACACCTGAGGTGTTTCCGCTGTCATTTCTGCGCCAGTAGAGTGGGTGAAAGTACTTTTTCGGCCAAACCAAACTTCTCGCGGTGAAATTTTCGTGCTTTTGTTTTTCACACTATTGAGCGCGCGCATCACGTGGGGAACGCAGTCGGCCCAAGTTTTTCGACCGGAAGATGAGTTGACCATGCAGAATAGACTGTTTTTGATAGTCCGATTCGCTCTTTCTGCGAAAGCGTTTGATTGAGGGTGAAATGCGGTACTTATTGTATGTTTTATCTGGTTAAGCTTACACATTTCGTCAATCACGCTTGCGCAGAAGTGGGTACCTCTGTCACTGTGTAGATGTTTCGGCAAGAAATCCATGGGAAGGAAGACCTTGTAGATGAGCGCTTTTGCAGCGCAGATAGCAGTGTCGGACCGCGTCGGAATGCACCAAGTGTAGCGAGAGAAAGTGTCCGCCACCACCAAATAATACTTGAATCCGCCAGCGGGAGGCATACAAGCGAAATCGATCTGAATCGATTCGCCAGCTGTTTTTCCACGACGAAGGGTTCCAAGTGGCGGTTTGGTACGAGTTCCAGCAGATCCTTTTCTGCGTAGGCAAGGGACGCAGCTGTGGACGTAGTTAGAAACATCGTCTTGAAATGAAGGCCACCAAACGTCCTCTAATCGCTCTAAAGTCCGCGGCTCGCCCAGATGACCGGACAAGTCGTGAGCTAGAAAGAGAAAGTGACTTTTTACCGCTTCCGGTACCACCGCCCGCGCGCCAGATTTGAATTGACACATCAAGCACCCGGTAGTGTTATCCAGGAACAGAGCTTTTTCCATCTTGAGTAGAGACGATTGTCGGTGGTCGGAGTCCTTCACCAGCGATTTTATGTCCAGTGGCTCCTTACCAGATTCCAGAAAAGTGATGATTGCACTCAGAGCAGAGTCCTCCCTTTGATAGTCCAGAATGTTATTATAATTCGCTGACACCAACGGAATCTCCATTGGCGCCGCGATAGCCTTGACGTTTACCTTATGTATCTTCACCTCTGATAAAGTGATTTTCTCCGGAAACTGATTTTCGTTCCAGAAAGGGACGAAGACACGTACTGGTGAATTCTTGTCGATTTCGTACTCGCGACCAACGGGAAACTCAGAGTCGTATCCAAGTGATTTGTCGTCCTCGCCAGGTCTGCGGCTCATAAAATCGGCGAATTGATTTTCTGATCCCTTGATGTAGACAATGTGAAAATCGAATTCTTCCAATCGGCTTTGCCATCGGCTTATTTTAGAATTCTTGAACTTCTTTTTGTGTAGGAAGATCAAAGATCTGTGGTCTGTGTGAATCTGAAAGAATCTACCTTTCAGGAGCTTTTCCAGTCGCTCGCAGCACCAGACAATGCTAAACATTTCCTTTTCTGAAGTGTTCCATTTTCTTTCAGCTTTGTTGAAGGTGTGGGAAATCGCGCTTACTAGGTGCACTCTCCCGCCATACTCTTGTAGCAGAACACCACCCGCTGCGTACAGGCTCGCGTCTGTGTAGAGGTGAAAAGACTCGTCAAAGTTAGGAAAGCTTATGACAGGAGTCTCGGAGAGTCGTCGTTGAATTTCCTTGAGCGCCAAATCCGCTTCTTTGGTCCACTTGAAACAATTTGTTTCGTTCGCCGAATTTCGAACATCGTTTATGGGTTTCATTCTGCTCGAGAAGCAACCGGATGAAATAGCTTCGCCCATTTTTGTTTCTAGAAAACCTCGGATCCAATTCAATGACCCGATTAATGAAGCTAACTCCTTTTGGGAGCGTGGGGGTTTCATCTGACGAAGGGCGGAGACTTGCGCAGGGTCCGGTTTGATTCCTTCTTCGTTGATGATTCGGCCCAAAAAGTGAGCTTCTGATTGTAGGAAAGAGCACTTTTCGCCCTTGAGTTTAGCGTTAAACTTGCGGAGCGCGATGAATAGGTTTCGGAGAGTGTTGTAATAGCAGCTGAAAGACTTCCCAAAACATACTATGTCATCGATATAAGAAAGCATCTTCTTCCTGGTGGGGCTTGAGTCGAGAATCGTGTTTACGACGCGCGAGAATATATTCCCCGAGCATCGATAACCGAAAGGTAATCTGCAGAAGGCGTAAGATTTCCCACCCCACTGGAAGGAAGTCTTATACCTATCGCTTTTCTTAATAGGGCACTGCCAATATCCGCTCCGCAAATCAACTGTGGCGAAATACTTGTTGCCCGGTCCAATGTTCGCGATCGTATCCTCCATGCTCGGAAGATGATATGGGTCGGATTTGTCGGAGAGGCATTTGTTCAAGCTGTTCTTGTAGTTGATGCAGAAGCGCATTTCCCCAGATTTCTTAGGGATTGGCAGAACGGGGCTATTAAACCCTTTCTGGTCCTTGATCTCTTCTATTATTTTCGTATCGAGCAGTTCGGAGATGTGATCAGTGACCTGGCCATGAAAAGCTTGCGGAATAGGGTGTTGACTGATGTTTCGACTCGTACCATCAGTCGGGATTTCGATCTCGAATGGGAATTCACCCATTTTTGACCGTCGCAGCCGAATCTGTCGTCGAAATCCAAACACAGCTCGGCGACCACCTTCTTTTGCCCCGGGTCGGCGTTTGCTGGTAGGGTAATTCCGAGTTTTTGCTTCGCTAGCTGAATGGGGCACCTGGCTGCGTTCTTGTTAGGTGCGTCCAGCTTTGGGACTTTTGGTGGCGGTTGAGTGCGGGATCGATCGCTATCCTTGACCGCTGATCTAGTAGTCAAGTATTTCTTGATTTTGGTCCGCTTCACTCCGTCCAGCTTCACCACTTGAGTCTCAGTTTGTGTGAAGGCTTCGTTGTAGCAAAATGAGAGAGTACGATTCTTATTGTCGACTGTGAAGCTGTCCGTCATCGCATTCTCTAGTATATCGCGGCCCAGTAGACTTGGGTATTTACTGCCTGGCATGATGGTGAGATTCAAGGAGAATGCAGGGCCACCATTGAATGATAAGCGGCAGGGAAGGATACCCCTCGGCTGCTCGGCGGGGATATTTGGGCTGAAACCGGTGACCTTGAAGGGGCAGGGCTTCAGCATCTGGAGAAATTTGTCGGGAACGTAAGCAGCGGACAGACAGGAGGACTCGGCTCCGCTGTCGACTTCCATCGATACGTCAAAACTTTTAGAGCCCGTAATGATGGTAGCCGAAGCGAAATAAGCCTTTCCTGGTCGCTTCTTCTTCACTGTGTAAAAGTGAACATCGAATGGTTGGAAATCTTCGACGTTCTTAGTCGTATTAATCTTCTTGGATTCTGGTTGTTTATCGTCTTTCCCATCCTTAGAATCGGTGCTGGCGCGCTTAGCATTCTTCTTCTTTTTGTTCTTATTTCTGTTGAAGTGCTGGGAGACGGTCGCGCTGTCAACTCGATTCTGTCTTGTGGATTGGGCGAGACGGCAGAGTTCGTTGATATCGTAAACTTTTGATAGGCTTGGAAGGATTGCGTTGAAAACGTCTGGTTCTTCTTTCCTAAGATTCAAGTACAGCATCATCGTCGAGAATATGTCGAATATTTCATCGACCCCGGCGTCGGCTGACTTCTCTTGTCGGTAAGAGTTCAAAGTCGCTTGCTTCGCCTCGTTCATCTTTTGCAAGACGTTGGCGGTGTAGTGTGCAAACGGCTTCGAATGGTCGTATTCGACGTCGAAAACTTCGCTTAGCTTCAGTAAGTAGTGACTCTTCGCGGCGAATGATTTCTCTAGCAGCGCCTTGGCCGATTTCCAGTCTTGACAATTCAGAAATTCGGTTCCAAGTGAGCGTTCGATGTTCAAGTCGAAGTGGCTGTACACTGCTGCGATGAAAGGCTGTTCACGTGAAGGTCTGTCGCGGACGTAGGCGCGGTGATAAATGTCGGCTCTGCCCAAGAAGGTGTTGAAAGATGTGTTGCATGCGGCGTCCAGCTTCGGCAAGTCTTGGACGTGACGAGACCAGGTAGTGGCCACCCATGCTTCTTCTCTCATTGTAGCATTCGTAGATTCTTTTCCTTGATCGAGCTCGCAGGTAAGAAGCGTTGTACTGAGCTGTTCTAATTTTACTCTGCTTTCTGTGATCAAGGGCTCTAGGCTTGGCTTAAGTGATTCGTCATTTCGCACTTGTTCTTCGAGGTAGTTTACTCGATCGTTTATGCTTCTTATTTCGGTGACGGTTTCTAGCAGTGATTTGTTCGCCGCCATAGCTCGAAATATATCGGCAGTAAGGGTTTATGGGCCTTGGATTACCTTTCAGGCCCTCAGAAAATACTGCGACTAAAAGTCGCAATATGATGAGCTGAGGTGCCTTTTGCGCAAACGCCCGACGATTTCTCTGTCCAGCGATTGTCGAAATTTCAAGGTCTGGTCCAAGGGTCGATTCTTCGTAAACTTCTCTCGATTTTTGGTGAAAAGTGGCGAAAGAATTCTGTTTTTCTGAGTATTTTAGGTTTTCCCCGGCGTGCGTGCGTGGTTGCGTGGGCGCGACTTTCGGCGCGTGGGTCGTGGTGGCGCTCGTGTGGTGGCGCTCGCTCGGGGTGGTGTTGGTGTGGTGCGGCGCGGAAAATTCTCTGAGTGGAGTTTCTCCGGCGGCGCGGTGGCGGTTGGTGATTCGGTTCCCCTCGACTCCGCTGACGGCCAATCAGCGTCCAAGTTGCGAAACTTCGGTTGTCGATGGCGGAAAATTTACCTTTTCTCCAACGGGACTACTCTGATACCACTGAAGGGATCCTAGCTTCTGCTGAATCTCCCACTTCTAGCGTAGTTTGCCTGCTCTCTATATCTGGACGAGTGAAGAAAACGAGTAAAGTATCTTTGACGTCTGTATTTCGAGCTGGAGTAAAATAGAGGTTAATTCACGAACTGCGTGAATTACCGAATTGAGAGAAATACACGGCGGCGACCGAGCAAAGCTCGATCTAGATAAGCAAGTGACCTTAGGGGACGAGGGAGTCTAACGAATCTAAGATCCCAATATCTTGATAATGTATCGGCGCGCAATCATGTTAACAGGCTTGCACTCGCTGCTGACATCCCCCTTGTCGAATCTGGCACGGCTGGTTATTCTGGCGAGAGCTCAGTTATCAAAAAGGGGCTGAGCCCTTGTTACGAATGCTCGGTAACAACCAGGCTAGAAGATTCTATTTTCTTACCCATTTCTAGGAGCGCCCACGAAACAAGACGTACCCTGGGTGCACCATCAGAAATACACCTTCAGAGCCAATTCACTGTATTGTTTGGGCTAAGTTCTTGTTCAGCCAGCTTTTCGGGGAACCAGACGATGAACAAGAAGTTTCACCAGACGCAGCCGACCCAGAACTTGCGGTAAGTCGACGTTCTCAGCGATAAAGGCGTAAATTATTATTAGAATGGGGAAAGCAGTGAAAATAGCGAAAACAAAGGGAACATCAAGCGAATCAATACGACAGTCTGGGCGGAAGAAAACGATTGGGATCCAAAACTTTATTCAACAAGTTTTTCAAAGAAGACATCAACTCTTTGCTGTCGATGAGCAAGCTTTGGGAAAAGGAAGGACGGAAGAAGCCTTCTGCGTTGGACTATGACGAGATCGTAAGCTTCATCAAAAGTATATTCAATCTTTATCTTATATTTCCGCAATTCTAATTGAATTAATTTATTACAAATCATCTTAGGTTGGCTGTGGAGATGGCCACGCTACCGGAAGTAAGATGCAGCTCAGAACTTTGAAAGAAAACGTAGCGGCTTGGCATAAAGCTGTCACAGATGTCAAGGTAACATTATTTTTCTTAAGTGTCCCAAATCAATCCAACTTCATTTCTCAGGAACGGCGAAAAAGAGATGGCCATCTTTCGTGGGACAAGGATGACACGGATGCAATGATGTTTGTCGCCGCTGCAGCGAACATCAGGTGCGGCATCTTCCAGATTGAACAAAAAACGGAATGGAAAGTGAAGGAGATGGCGGGTAACATCATTCCAGGTATTCGGCGCCTAAATTCTGCAGAAAATAATCCTCATTTCTCAAGCGATTGCGACGGCAAACGCAGTAATTGCCGCTATCGTCTGCCTTCAAGCCGTAAAGGTGTTGAAAAACAACATCAAAAAGACTCGAGAAGTATCTCTTCGTGTACAGCCAACACAACATTACATTCTCGCAGCTTCAACATTTGCCGATCGAAACGATAACTGTGTCGTCTGCGCGGAAAAGCCTACAGTCACAATCACGCTTGATACAAAAAAAGTAAAGTCGATTATGCTCGAAACTCGGGTTTTATTTGATCCTTTAGTTCACACTGAAAGATTTCCGCGAAAAAGTCTGCCAGAAAAAGCTGTCAATGCATGAGCCCGATGTGGAGATGGACGGAAACATCATCCTTTCCTCGGACGAAGATGATTTGGACGAGAACTTCTTGAAAAAGACTCTCAGCGAAGTTGGCGTGAATCATGGGGCTATTTTGACCGCGGAAGACTTTCAACAGGTATACATTTATTATCTTTACGAGTTTAAACGAAATTGAAGGAGTTCAAATTGGAGATCCACATCGAACACGCGGAGGAACTCCCCGAGATCGATGGACAAAACGACCAAGAGTTCCGAATCTCTGGCCAGGAAAAAGCGACTGCAACAATTACTGCCCAAGCCGAAGAAGTGGCAATTGGCAAGAAAAGAGCGCTTTCCTCACAAACGGAAAGCGAACCCGCCGCGAAAGTTCAAAAGATCAGTAAGTCCACGGCCAATTTCAATAAGGAATAGAAATTCCAAATCCTAACTCCCCATGTTTTTGTGCTCGTTAGAAAGAGCGTAAAAAGTTTCGTCAGAAAAAAATAGTTTTAGGGGCTGAGTCATCATTAATGACGTCATGGTGGCTGGTTGAAGTTCCAAAAGTCCCAAACGTTGGGTCCCCTCTCATTTTTTTTCTAGAAATGGAAAATTTGAGTTCAATATATCAAAATGATCGCCTTGACCTACTCTAGGTGAAGAGCTATATATGAAAGATCCAACTCTAGAAAAAAATTTTTTTTTCGATTTTTTCAAAATTTTTTCTGAAAGATATAGCTCTTCACCTAGAGTGGGTCAAGGCGATCATTTTCCTGTATTTAACTCAAATTTTCCATTTGTGGAAAAAAAATGAGAGGGGACCCAACCTTTGGGCTTTTGGAACTTCAACCAGCCGCCATGACGTCATTTGTGATGACTCAGCCTCTAGAAATATTTTTTTCTGACGTAACTTTTTACGCTCTTTAGAACTATCATAAATACATGGGAGGTAAAGATTTGGAATTTCTATTCCTTATTGAAATTGGCCCACGCCTTTTTGATACCATGTCCTTTTATAAATAATTGAATTTATAAAACGATGTCGATAATAAGTATTGCAGTCTTACTAATACTTATTTGTATCAACTAAGGATCATCTTGTTTAGTGGATCATTTAGATCTCGACGACGATGACGATCTCATCTGCCTCTAGAAAATAAGGGTCTTTGAAAAAGCCGTTTAAAGACTCTTTCCAACTAGGTTTCTTTGTACACTTATATTTCAAAAAGTCACCACATGTATTGATCTTTCCCCTCTTTTTTGAAAGAAGACACTGCCCTGTCCTTTATTCCTTCATGTTTACTTGAAAAGTTCTGATTAGGAAAATTTTGTTAATTAAACAGAATCTGAAAATTCTCATTTTGATAATCAGAAATGGATAATGAAATCGAACCAATGCCGGATCTCCATGAAATCATGATGTCGGACGAGTGGACTTCAGATGAATCCGGTGAATCTCTTCAGAGACGACCTCGGAAGAGGAGAAAAGTTATGCGCAATCGGGGACTTGAAAGTCCCCAAGGGGAGAAAAACTCCAGCATGCGCAAACTTTGCAAGAATAAAATGATATCCAGTTTCTCACATTTCCGAAGCGAGGGGATCTTGACTGACGTCGTGATTGTTGTTCCTGGATCTCCAGAAATAAACGCTCATAAAATTGTCCTAGCCGCTGCTAGTCCATTTTGAAACAATGTTCAAGGTAGGAGAAGTCTGAAAGAGGCTATGTGAACATAAATGTTAGTCTGGGATGCGCGAATCTACCTCAAACCGAGTTGAAATGCCGGAAATTAACTACGAAACAGCTCTTTTGCTCGTTGAATTTGCCTATTGCGGCAAATATGAAATCAACACCGACAATGCCCAGAATTTGCTGGAAGCCGCTGACTGCTACCAGTTTCAGATGCTCAAAGAAAACTGCGAATCGTTTCTTCTTAATACAATTGAACTGTCTAACTGCTTCGTCCTCATGAAAATTGCCGAAGTTAGGTGTCTACCTCGTCTATCTGCTGCTGCTTTATCATTTGCTCTCAAAAACTTTGAATCAATCGCCAAGAGCAAGTCTTTTAAAGAGCTCTCATTCACAGGTGTTGTTTATCGTGGTCTTCGTTATTCCTTTGTTTCTAGCGCTTGAAAGCTATCTGTCCGATGATGAACTGGTCTGCGGTCAAGAAGAGGCTGTATACAACGCGATTCTGACTTGGCTCCAATCTGATAAAAATGATCGCTCCAAATACGCATCAAAATTACTGAAATGCGTTCGACTCGGTCGCATCAACCCGCGTTTCATCTGGGATGTCATCGAGAAAGAATCTCTCTTCTCTGATGCTGACTGTCTACAATACATTCACTTTGCTAGCAAGTTCAAAATGCTTGGCAGTTCTGATCGTTCCAGTGAATTTGACGCAATCGGAAGGCCCCGAACATGCTCAGGTGAGCCGTGCAACAAAGTTGATACTCATCCGTATTTTTAGGCATTACGCAAGCGATAGTCTTCGTAGGAGGCATTTCCGGTAACCAGAAACTGAACGAAGTTTTTGCGCTCATAAAGCCGCATGTTGTCCTTCATGATTTCACAGCAAAGCCGAAGTATGTTACACTGCCCAATATTTCAACGGACCATCTTCGACTTCACAGTTACTCGGTCTGTGAGAGCGACAATAATATTTACATCACTGGTGGACATTGTAGCATTGGAAATCAAGGATCCACGAGTGATCTCGTTTCCACTTATCAAGCTGGAGCCCATGACTGGAGCACACTACCAAAGATGCTTTCTGCTCGAGGTAAATTGCTCGCTCTTCGTTTGAAACTAAATTCTCCTTTAGAAAGACATGGAAGTGCTTTTGTCGATGGCATGCTTTATGTAGTTGGCGGTCTCATGGCTGGCAAGCAGAAAAAGCGTCCTTCTGTCCTTTCAAAAGTTGAAAAATATGATCCGAAATATATGCAGTGGTCAAAAGTAGCCGACCTTCCGAAAAAGTGCTACTCTCCTGGTGTCATCAGGTAGTTTTCTTAGTAAAGAATAAGTTGCCAATCAACTTCTTTTTTTAGCTACAAAGGAAAATTACACGTAATCGGCGGCGTATCGATGGTTGAAACCGCGGGTCCAAGACTCAATCAAACGGCGGCTTCGACTTCGGCTTCGAACATATCCATGCAAGATCCGACTTCGACTGGAAGCGTGACTAATTCAGTTGTCGGTGTGAATGCGGCTCAAGGATCGGCTCCTGGGACGTCTGGTACAGCAACTGGTGCTCAGACTCAACCATCGACTCCAAAGACTACGTCAACGAAAGCCGAACTTGAGTTCGTTCAAATATACTGCCCGAGAAAAGACGAATGGATAACTCGTAATATTGGACGTAAGCTGGCTAGACTTGCATGCGCTTTGTACAAGGACTATGTTTACATCGTCTCCAACAATGTAAGTTCTAGTCTTCTTTTTGTTTCACTTCGGGTCTAGAGCAAGTCGATCTTCCGATACTGCCCGAACGAATACGTACTCGAGGAATGGCTCGTAATTGACAGAGAATTCCGCAAACTAGAATTCGCTGGTTTCGTTGCATATGGGGGCAAATTGATTATAACTGGTGGCCAACGCGGTGATGACACTCTCAAGTGAGTTCCCAACAATCGACACTTATTCATTTCTTGTTATAGCCACGTCACAGTAATCGAGATCGAAACAAAGAAGATCGTCGGCACAACATTCGAATTACCGAAAGCAATGTGTATGCATGGATGTGTTCTCATCGAGCAACACTTGAAGACGCTTGAGAGCGCTTATAAAGAGAAAAATCATCGAGTTTCTTTGGTCGACCTTCCGCCAGGCTGGGAACTCAACTCGTCTGGACATCCACGTTATGTTGGAGGGCGAGGGCATGTGATTTTTAGGCGAAGGGAGGGCGAGATGGCCAATCCCGTCCTGAATCCATAGTTCACTCTTTTCAATCTTTAACTCATCGCAAGTTCAAGTTGCAAACATTCACTTTTCTCTTTTGCACTCACTGATAAGAAAAAACAAACAAAAAAGACACTCAGTTAATATTCTCTTCGAAACACTGCTTACTTCATTGCTCATTGAAACTTTCTCATTTTCATTTCACAGCTTCAAAAAAGTCATAGTTTTGAATTCGGTGATCTGAAGAATGTTTGACACTGTTTGCGTCGGAGCAGGACTCATTGGAGGTGTCCAAGCTGCTCTTCTTCGTAGGTCTCGACATCTACCCCGCCCGAAGGTTTTGCTCACTGATGGAGCTCGAAGACCAACATTTAAATCCACCTTGACTAAGAATATCAGACAAATCGCTGTCAATCCCGGCTCCAGACAACTCTTGCAAGACGTTGGAGCCTGGGATAAGCTTGGAAATAGCCCCTGGGCTGTGCACAAAATAACGGTTTGGGATGCGATGGGCCACGGAGGACTAGAATTCGAATCAAAGCACGAGGAAAACCCTATTTTTCACATGACAGAAGTGCCAGCTATATCAGCCGCGGGAGTCGACGCAGCTGACGATGCTGGGGTCGAACTCATGTTTGAAAGCAAGCTGCAAAATATCATTGTTCCTAATAGATTCAACCAGACAATTCAAGATACGGATTATGTCCATTTTGAAATCAAAGAGGAAAAATACGAAACGAGGCTTTTACTTGGATGTGATGGAGCTAACTCTTCTGGTGAGTAAAGATGATGCGTGCTTTTCTTTTATTCCGTATTTCAGTGAGAAAAGCTGCCGGTCTTAGTTCGCTCTCGAAGAACTATGATCAGCGAGGCTTCGTGTGTACTGTTAGAGCTGAAAATGTAGGCGACAATCGAACTGCTTTCCAGCGATTTCTCCCTTCTGGTGACGTTATTGCATTATTACCATGTGAAGAAGATCAGTTGAGTATTGTCTGGAGCTGCGCTTCAAGCAAAGCAAAGATGCTGGAAAAGCTCGAAGAGGCTGACTTGATCGCAAAGATTAATGAAGTTCTCGTCATCGACCGAACCCCATCACTAATAAAACAGATTCACGGGAGTCTATCATTTATTCCAAAGTCGATTGGATTGAAGACAGAAATGACTGTAGATCCGCCGCGAATAACTGAAATCTTGAGTCCGACCGGCTCGTTTCCTCTTGGCTCAGCGTTGGCGACGAATATGGTAGCACCAAGGACTGCCATTCTTGGAGATGCTGCTCATAGAGTTCATCCCTTTGCTGGCCAAGGGGCCAATATGGGGTGGAGGGATGTTGAGTTGCTGACTGACTCTCTTGAGCGCGCACACTTGTCTGGAATCGACTACACAAGGTGGGCGGATTGCGTCAAACTCGATTCTGACTCCATTTTTAGCCATTTATCTCTTTCGAAATATGAAAAAGTAGCTCTCATCGAACACGCTGCATTTATGTCTGGCTTGGAAGGACTAAAACAACTTTATAAAACTAACAGTACCCCTTTTGTTCTCGCTAGAAATGTCGGAACAATGTTTGTCAATAATAATTCTGCTCTCAAGGATATTTTCATTTCTCGTGCTTCATAAAAAATGTCTTCGTTTCAATCTATTCTGCACAAAAGCGTAATAATCTATTCGTTCATTCTAGACTGTGAGGACTTCTTTATGAATAAACAAAAAGTAAAACAGTTGTTCAAAGCTATTCAAAATCATGATGATACTCGACTTCAAGGTTTTATTGACGAATTTGGACCAGAGGTCAGTTCAAAGCCCTTGAAAAACGTTTTACATCAATTAAGGTACTTCTTACGGTTCACAAAACATCAACCCTTTTCCCCATCCACATGGCTGCGCAAGAAAACAACCTTTACTGCCTTGAATTGCTTCTGAAAAACTCCATTACTCTCAATTCAACTGATACCGATGGCAAACACGCGTTCCACTACGCCGCTTCATGTGGCCATCTTCCCTTTCTTGAAAGGCTCTTCTCTTCCTGTCCAAATCAAATTGACGCTCTCAAGAAATCTGACTGGACGCCGTTGATGATGGCCTGCACGAAGCCAGGAAATCTGGAAGTCGTTAGATTTTTGGTTGATAATGGAGCGAGGATGGATTTGGTCAATAAAGATGGCTGGAATGCTGTTTTTCTCGCTGGACGAACCGGCGACCTGGAAATCTTCAAATTTTTAGTTGAAAAATTCCCAAAAGGACTCGAGCAAATATCCAAAAACGGTCGTTACACAATCAACACAATCCTGCAGCACGGGCACGTAGATCTCTTGTCATTCCTTCTTTCTTTGCGAGAAAAAGCAACTCTTGAATCAATTCAACGCGCCTCGGCCATTCTCGACGCAGCAATTTGCCCCAACACTCAAATATTCTCGATTTTATCTAGGCACATTCCCGCGGGGAACGAGGATTGGTCAAGAATAAACAAAGCGGGATTTACGCCACTGCACCTCGCCGCCCAGGTTACTCATCGCAAAACTAGCATGACGAATACTAGAACTTTTAGAAAGGAAATTCGCAAAACGCTCAGTACTTGCTTGAACTTGGCGCGGATATCAATGTGAGGAGCCAATGCCCTGCTTCGCTGACCCCGCTTCATGCCGCTTATCAAGAGAATCAGAAGGATATGATCTCTTTTTTAAAACATAATGGTGCTCTTGAAGGGAAAGGGTTTTCGAAGTGTCGCTTTTTATATAACTTGAATCAAAAACTCCCTCTAAGTCGCGGATAATTTTGGAAGACTGCCCATTGACTGTTTAAAACGTCCCAAATCGTTGCACTGACAGAATTTAGATACTCACCACTTTCTTTGTTCAGATAGATCGATTGTAAGATGGTTCTCGCTCGACGAATTGCTCTTATTCCCCGACGACGATTTGGAACTGGTCCCGGTACCTTCACCAATCAGGGCATCAAGGTACCTTGGCTTTTCAATTCCGCTTTCCAATTTTTAGAACTACGCCACCCTCGAGCGACAGGACGGAGCTTTGAACGTCTTCAAGGAATGGACCGAGACCTTCCGAGCCCTCCCACGATGGCTCCGACGATTCAACGAATCCTGGTGGAAGTGGGTCCCCGGTAAGCACTCCTGAATTTCTTCAACGTCCTTACTTCTCTCGTAGCTTGCTACGTCATGTTCTACTGGACAGAATGGGCGCACAAGTTCAACCACCACGCCAAGCGAAAGAACCCCGAAGAGTTCGCCAACGACGAGTAAATATGTCGCCTCCTGCATCGATCACCTACAAGTTCGACTCTTCTGTTTACAGAAATTATTTATTGAACTGAAATCTAAAAATCAAATATAAACCTCGCAAAAATAAACGGTTATCAGTTTAGATTAAGAGCTTTAATCAACAGTTAGCCGTCAATCAGTCGAATCGCTCTTTTTTCACAGCCTAAGATGGCAGAGGTTGAACAGGAATGTTACTTAGATTCTAAAGGCCATTTCATTGTTGCTGAAATGATAAGACAGGGCAAAAGCTAGTAACAAGAATGAGCTAAGAAAATCCCTCGACCAATTTTGCTCCTTAAAAATCGACGACTCCAATACAGAAAATATTCCAGGTAGTCTTCCGGATCACTTTTGGTCGCGAGCTCAAATTTTTAGATGATCTTCAAGTTGTGATCGACAAAATTTCATCAAATGGCGACATGCCTTTCGAGCTCGAATGGTCTCAAGTTAGTCGCATTATTCGACAGAGAATACTGTATTGCGTCGCATTTATGAGCGAGAAAGTAAGTGATGATCTTTTTTCAGTTAATTATAAGATTTTCAAAGAGAAAGTACGAAGGTCCGCTCGAGGAGTACGAAAATACGCTGAAAATTATTCTCAAAAGAATAGAAATCTTCGTTATGGGTTCATTATCTAATCGAAAGCTAAAAAAGCCAGGAGTTCAATATTAAACCCGCAAAAGACGAGCCACCTTTCACTATTCAGCGCGTCTGCGAACTTCTTGTAGCTCCAGACAAGCATTACAAAAACACCGACAAATACATGCGAGCTCTTCAGAAAAATCTCCTCGTTGTCTCTGGTAAAATAACGCTATTTCGGCAATACATAATTTTTAATCAGGCTGGCGTAAATTTGCAGAAGAAGAGGTCCCAGACACAGAGCCGGAAAAAGAAAGCTGCCAAGAAGAAGAGAGTCAAGCTGAGCCTGATTCTACCTCAGAGCCTTCTACTCCAGCGCCTCATCGAGCTGTTTCTATCACACATGATGTCTCTTATCCCGAAGAAACAGCTGCTGAAAATGCCTCCCCTGACTCGACAACCATCGAAGAAAAGCCCGAAGGTCCTTTTTTCGTGAGAATCTGTCATTTTAACGCCTTTCAGAGCGATCGTTCCTCGAGAGGCCGAAAAAGAAATTGGCAGACGACGAGGATGAAGGTAAACTCAAGCGCTCGTACTTCTGTATTCAATATTAATTTCAAGACGCATTCGATCAGTTGGTGAAATCAAACGCCTCGCCATCGCGGAAAGTGGCGCTTGGAACATCAAAAATTCAAATCAACGTTGGCGCCGATTTCGCAAAAGACGTCAAGGCCGAGGCAGAGGCGAGTCCTGAGCAGCCAGTTCCTGATTTAGAAAATGTGCCGCAAGAGGAGGCCACCGCTAAAGATATCAAAGAAGAAGGAGGAGAGCCAGAGGAAAAGTCAACAGAGACGATGGTTGTTGGAGAGGCAGGAGATGCTCCTGCTAATTCAGTAATGAAGGAAAGTAGCGAGGCGATTCCTATGGAAGACGTTAAAGGTGAGACCGCAATGTATTGATATTTTTGTATCTATACATATCTATAGAAGAAGAAGTCACTGAGGAAAAAGAACGCAAGAGAAAACGCCCCTCACTGTCGGAAGAAAAGCAAGAGGAAAAAGACTTGGACGAACTAGAGCAACCAGCAACCCCACAGAAAGTACAAAAAACGGAGTAAAGCCAATCTCATTGAGTCTGAGCCCCTATCCTTGACTTGCTACTCTTCTTCTAGCCTAATTGAAAATTTTACGTTACCGATTTTAACGATTTATCAGCTGGACCCCGGATAATTTTATTTTCACTCTCAAAACAGGTTTTCTTTATCACTCAAAAGATAGTAAATTGGCTATTTACTGTCACTGCCACTACAAACGACAAATATATGGAAGAGCTTAACCACTTAAAGAATAGATTAAAATAAAAAATCCTCTCGAAGATAATTTAGTCAAAACTGTGCCAGGGACATGTACTTTCCTTCTTAAAGCTCGAGTTCAAGAGCTGCAAATTTATATTCTGAAATTACGCGTCAAAAAAGCAGAAATTACAAATAATGAGTTCAAGTTTCTTTTACTGCTCAACTCTCTGGACATATCTTATCCTCTTCTACAGCAGCTTTAGTCCAATCCGTTCATCGAGTCCTTTCGTAAAAAAAAATTACATCAACAGCCGTTTCCCTTATTTTCTTCCAGTATGTTTTTTATAAAGATCAAGACGATACGGTCTTGATATTTGATATCCTGCCATGTAGTTAATTTCTTGTAACTTTGAACTGAATTATGATGGCACTAATGAGCTCCATTCTAAAGTACATTTTTTGCCTCTTTTCATAAATCGCTTTAATCTAATTCTATATAAAGTATTTCAGATGACAGGGGCCTTAGCTTTCGAGTACACAAATAAAGATTTGTGTGTTGCAAAAATCGATCAGCTCTGGGAGGATCAGTGGAAAAGGGTTGAGTCTGACGGCCTTCTACGCTACGAGCAGCCAAGAGAAAATCCAAACTGCAATCTTGTTCAATCAAAAGAAGGCTTCGAATTCGCGTTTCAATATCTCCTCAATCGTGGTTCCAAAAGGTACAAAAAACTTTTACTTAATCTTTAAACTCATTTATTCATCAGACGCGCGCGCGTTCAATTTTCATCAGTAAATGAGCCGTTCTCAAACGAGCGATTTCACTTTGGCAAGATTAATTCTTCTGAAATCCTCTTCACGCTGAAACCAATTCATCGACCAGATTCATCAGCGACGGCGATCGCCAACGTGTCCCCAATTGAATGGGGTCACTTTCTGCTCGTCCCTAATTTGGAAAAGAATCTGATGCAGAAAATAACGAGAGGTACGCGCTTGAGATAATTGGTGATGTTGTCAAACAAATGTCTAAAAGAAAATAGAAGCGATGGTTTTGGCCTTTGAAACTTTTTTCCTCGTCGGCAAAAAACATTTTCGGGTTAGTAGCTGCTTTCATAGCTCTTTTTTTTATAAGCCGTTTAGATGATGTACAATTCTCTCCTCGGCTGGGCTTCTGTCAATCACTTGCACTTTCATTGCTACGAGTTCGACGAACAACTCGTTCTAGACAACCTAAAATTGGTCCTTCTTTGCGCTGATGTTTTCAAAACGAACCCTTCCTATCCCCTTCCTGCCTTTGTCCTCAAGTTTGACAAGTCGACTTACGAATATGTGGCGATAAAAGTAACCCATATCACCGATCTTCTTCATTCCCGCAAAGTCGCCCATAATATGGTTATAACAGCGGGCAGATGCTACATTTTCCCGAGAAAGAATGCTGATACTTCTGTTGTATCCCAATGTGTGGATCCAGCATGCGTCGAACTCTCCGGACAGTTTCCCTGCAAGGTTAGGCTACACTTCTTTCTAAGCTTTAAAATTTTTCAAGGCAGAGGAAGAATGGAAGAATCTAACCCCAGGGAAGGCTGTGGAGATGATTCGTTCAGTTCGAATCGAAGCAGACGTCTTTTCACGTGTCGAGCAAGATATTGTCGAACTCAGGTAATCTCCTGTCACGCGCAGATCAGCGGATGAACATATTCTTCAGTCTCGCACAGAACGCGTTTATCTACTCCGCCGTAGATTTCGTGACAGAGCGAGAGGAAGAACCGCTCGTCGATTTTGGCCTTGTGCGGCTGTCGCCTCTTGACGAACGGCTAATCCAGTCTTTTGATGCCGCCGATAAAGCAGGTGTTATGAGGTTGAGTAGCAATATAGACGTGTAAAAACCGACAATTAGATATTCTCAAGAGAAGGGCTGTAATCCAATGCGCGAGTTAAAAACGTCTAAAGGTCTCAGCATTGTGGCCGAATTTAACCATCACCGCGGGTTCAACAAACGCGCGCGCGTCGAAGTGCCCACCATCAATCAACCCTTTGACCGGGAGAAATTCAACTTCAACAAAATCGCCCCGAATGAAATATTGTTTCGCTTTCGCTCCTCACTGAATGGGAGGGGAATTGGGGATCATCTCGCCATTGTCAACATCTCGCCGATCAATTGGTGCCATTGTTTGTACGTGATAGAGCCTGAGAAGTGTCTCCCGCAGAGAATAACCATGGAAGCTGTCAGGGTTGGTTTTGACTTGATGAGAATGACGAGAGCGAAGGGATTCAGGTAGAAAAAACACTCCTTCTTTGCTTAACCTTTTCTAGAGTAATGTTCAACTCTCTCTGGGCCTGGGCCTCCGTCAACCACCTCCACCTCCACTCGATGCTAGTCGATAAGCCCTTCGGCATGGACACATGTCCGAGTTTATCCTGGGGATCATCCGAAACATCGCGCGTCCGAAAACTCGCTGATTGCTCGCACTTACCCGGTTATGTGTTCAACTTTCCAGTAAGGAATTCAGATGATCAGGAAGAGATCCTCGAAGAGATTGTCAAAGAATTCGATCAAGCAATCGAATTCTTTCACGAGAACGAGATTCCTTACAACTGCACATGGGCGCGAGGAACAGATACAGGCGAGCAAGAGAAGAACGCAGATTATATAAGACTGTTTCTCTGGCCAAGAGCTAGTGCAGCCGGTTGGGAACCACATCCCGCTTTTGACAATGCTTGCGCAGAACTGGAAGGCTTTCTACCGATCAAAGTCAAGGAAGAGTTCGATGCGCTAACTGGTGATAGTGCTGAAGCTTTGATTCACCGCGCAAAACTTGATGAAAAAACGACTATTCTTGTCGAAGAATTTATGAAAAAATTATAGCCAATTAAGTGTTCAATTATCCAATTCTAGCATTTATTCTGACTTCTGTACTCAAACTGGTGCTATCAAATATGCCTCTGTATTTATTCTACTCATTATATCTTCAAAATTAGCTTATCAAGCGTAACGGATGGGTAAATATGTAATCTGAGTCCGTCTTTACGGAACACTTCACATTTAAGCCCATCGAAATGTCGCTCTTCCTCTCCCCAGCTAGAGATTTTTTAGATTGTCATGGAATCGGACCCATTACTAGCCTTGGCTGAGGATGCCCGAACCTTTGGAAACTGCCACAAACGCACGCCACGATCAGCACCATCTTCGGGCGAGGTGCTAGCCACGATGGCGCAGCATTTCAAAACTGCCCTCGAGCGAGCGCGCCAGCAAATTCACCTCTCGAATCAGCAGAACAGAGTATTGGTCAACGAGGCCAAGACCAAAGACAGAATCATCCATGCCGAGCAATTAACTAGTAATAGACTACTAGAGGTAATACCTTTTCTTGATTCTCCTGACTTATATGACGGCTTCAAGGACAAAAAGAGCCTTTTGCTGAGCCTGGCTGAATCACGCGAGCAAATCCTGGCGCTGGAAGCCAGAGTACAGTCCCTCGAAAGCGCCCTTGAAAAGAGCGAAACAAAGAGGACCAAGAACTCGAGTGAATCCCATCACACCCCAACCAATGCCAAGCCAAAAACGAATCAACCAAGAGAATCAGAGAAAGGAGACGGCGCTCCTCCACTACCACCAAAGACGATCACCAAGAAAAAGTCGATGAAGGGATCGTCCGATCAGATTAATAGGTAACTGCTCGCGAGCTTTGGCAATCGATTTGAAGTTTTTATTTTGGTAAGAAAAAAATCCTTGATGATTTTATGCTTGGTGAAATTATCTTATATGCGGTGGAAGTGCTCTTAAAACTTTCAAAAAACTCACACTGATATTTTTAGACCAAGACAACATTCAACATTGTCATCCTCCAATTCAAGAGCTGCTCCCGAGTTACCTGAAAAACGGCGAAGTGCAAATTCAATACGGCCAAAATCATAACCCCCATTTTAGCCATTTTTTTCTTTTCTCCCTTTTCCAATTCTACACAAAGTAATAAAAAAACCGCCGCTCATTCCTATATTTTATTTTTACACCCTTCAACTACCCTGAAGAGAGCCCTGCCCTAATACTATTTTCTCTGAATCCGAGCGCAAGCTTTTAAAAATTTCTATTTTTCCCTTTTCGACAGCTTTTTTCGTTCCGATCAAGTTGTTCCTTCGTATTTAAAATTTTAATGATTGATAATTTTGTTATTTTGGTGATTCGTCTTTTCTTCTTCTATTATTTACTGTACAGTTTTTACTGTTCCCTACTTACAGATCATTTTTACCAAACAAAAAAATCTCTAAATGTAAATAAAATTTACTTTAGAAAGACACAAAAATACCAAAAAGACTTGAACCATGTCGATTCCGACTGCGGCATGGTTTGGTTTTGAGTTACAAAAGAGTAAATTTCTTTGCAGGTTGTTGCAGGCAGCAGTACAGACAATTTTGTAACTTTGAAAAGGCATAAATTCCGAAAAGAAGATGGGGCTCGTTTTCGCGAGGATCTGCGCGCTCTTGGATACGACAACCCATCTTTTATGATAAAAAATGAGAAGCAAATCAAGCTTCTTATAGAAAGCTTATTGCAGGATAAAATTGAAAGCAAGAGACAAGTGACATTCATCCTCTCCAACTTCTTCTGGGAGCAGCATTCAGAGGAAAATAACAAGGGCGGCTTTGGCTTCTTTTCGACGAAGGATGAATTCAAGGGATCGCCATTTGAAATGCTCATGGAATCGCTTCTCGCGTATATTTATTTGAGAGATAAGACCGCTGAAATCACACTTGGAGGAATCTCGTCGAAGAAAAGTGAAAACGGAGACGCCGAATTCGCCGACTTCTTCAACTGGGAAACACCAAAAGACACCACGAAAAACCGTCGATCATCCATTCTCAAGGCTTCTTCGAACCAAACGACTCCAAGACGAGATGAAGACTCAGATTCGCCTGTTGGAGTAGTTTCACCTGAGCAAGAACTTATTCCACCGAAGAAATCTACGTCTGGATTCAGCTTGGCTTCGAGCTTCTTCAAGTCAAAAAGCTCGCTTGGAACGCAAAATCAGCAATATGATAAGCTTGAACTTTCAGTTTATCCGCCTGGCATTCCTGCTATTTTGTCGCAGAATCTTTTCACTGTCCATCAAAAGTATAAAAATCCCAGCGTGAGGAAACTTTTGCTGAAGAAGTTGAATTCTGTCTGCAGAGAGCATATCTACGACAAGGATTCAGACTGGATATTTATTGATATTCTCGTAACTAAGGATCGGTTCGTTGTTTTATAACATGTTTGGTAAATTTCAGCAAAAGAACTGATGAAAGGGACGCACTCATTATGCGAACATAAAGCTTCAAATCTTCCCGAGTATGATGAAGTTGGAGCAGTTTTTGCAACTCGTTGATCCTGAATTTATGCCGAAAAAGCTCAACGCGACATTCGATGAGGCTTTGGCAAATTTGATCTTTTTCAACGATTCCGATACGATCGCCCTGTATCTATTCCAGGATGACTACCCGACAGAACAAGGAATGAGGCTGAGAAGTTCTTTTTTGAATTAACATTTATTTACAACGGTGGTGAATTTTAAGGCTAGATCAAGTTGAAAGTCTGCTTTGAAACAGCAAAAGATCGTCGTCGGTTGACATTTCTTGTGAGAATCTGCAAGTTTCTCAGTTCTTCCAAATCATCAGCAAGTTGATTTCGCGCTTGTTTGAGCTGCCAGGCCTCGTTCTTGAGCGTTTCGAGCTCGTGTTTCTTCGATTTCTTCTCAATAGTACTGGAAAACTTTGGTACTTTGAAGGTGACTTCGTCGAACTCTAAATCCATCAACTCGACATTTCTGCGCCAGAGCTCGCTGTCGTCAATGACACTCGTGTAAATAGAAGCCATGCTACGGCGACGATGCTTTCTGGTATCGCATTGATTCGCAGATTTCTTTGACGGAAGCTCCAGGGACTTGAACAAGCGTTTGAATAATTTTTTCTTCATAGAGAACTTCATTTTTCCAATTTCTTTCTTTTCGTTTGTTTGAATGTTTTGATACTTCTGGAAAATCTCGTCCCTTTTTATGCATCCACGCGCCACCGAGCGGTGCACCTGCCGTAGGCGCGTGTGTGGCCATCCGTGTCCGATTTATCTCCCGCCGCGCGTGCCCAGATCCTCTTCCATGATCTTTATCAGCAAGGGCATCTTGTAATTTCCTCAATAATAATCAGTGTTAGCCTTCATGTAGAAATAACAATCGTATCTCGGATACAGCAAAAACTTCATGGGCTGCAATGCTATCCGTTTGACAAGTCCAATGCAGTTAATCCTGATAATGTTATCAGAAGATGGAGGGAAACTGTTAATTACCTTCTTCACCAGGTAGATCCATTACAAATCTGAAGGGGTACCAAATTCCACATTCAGGACCGCATCAGCCCAACGGCCCACACGAACTTGGCCCTTGAAGTTGAAAAAGAAGCTCAGAAACAAAAATCGCTATCAAAGACAATCGAAGGCCAGGAGCAAACGATTGAGGAGCTCAATGCAAACATTGACAAACTCAGCGAGGAGAAAGAGCAGCTTGAAAAAACAATCACCGAGAAAGATGAGCAAATTGAAAAATACGCCGCCCAACTCAAGTTTTATGAGGATAAACTAGGGTTCACCAGACAAGATCGTACAGTTAGAGGTCAATAATTGCTTGAGTTCTCGAATATTCTGGAAATCAAGGAAGAGAATAAATATTTGACCTCTCGAAAAGTCCCGGTCAGTCAAAAAGTTGCTGAGAAAATCGAACGAGAAAATCCCGTTTCTGATCCAAACAATCCAATAGGCAGGGGATAAGTGAAACTAATCTGTCTACTTATTCGCTTGATCTTTAGTCAGATCTAAAGTATCTCGACTTGAGATAAAACTGACAATTTAACTTCCCCGTAAAATCGAACACCCACTAGATGAAAAGCGGCTCTGGCTGCAAGCTCAGCATGCGGAAAATTTGGACGTCAAGTACCTCGAGCAGCGGATCATAGCATTTACGAACACCGAAATACGTTTACGGACTGAGCTCGATAATTACCAAAAGAGAGAAGTAGTATTCAAAAATGCGATCGAAGATCTCGAAGCAGATATGGGTCAGGGTCATTATCGCCTGAGATTCTGTTCGACCCAGATTACTGAACTTATCCATCTGTATCTCCCCAATCCGATCAGTTGATCATTCTGCCCTAGAATTATTCGAGGAAGTGTTTCTCTTCGAGAAATATTTTCCCTGACCCAGAAAAACAGCAAAAACGGCTGCAGAAAATCGATCACTCAAACTAGAGCTGCGAAAGATAATCCACAATAGAGCCGCCGAGCAGTTGGCTATCACGGATACAAAGAAAATTGACAAAAAGACGGCCAAGGCCATTGAGAAAGCCGAGGAAGTTCTCATCAGATTGACAGAAGAACGGCTAGAGACGACTTTGTCGTTTGAGACTGACGAAGAGAAACAGAAGAGACTTGATAAAGAAAGGAAGGGGGCTCTAAAGATGTGAATCAATATCGTAAAAGACAGAAGGGACAAGAGGCTATATGCAAAGCTATGAAAACAGCACGTGCAGTGCGTAACCATAATCATTTCAATCGTATTTGCTCTATCATCGTGGCACAGTGAGAGCCTTGTCAGAGAACAAGAAGAAGAGTCAGAAGAGTACTTGAACAAACTATCTGTATTTGCCGCGGATAAATTCAAAACACTGACGAAAAAGTTTCATGATCAAGTCAAAACTCTTGAAAATGCACTTGAAGTTGCAGAGAACAGCCGAACGGAAGGGGTCAAGAAAGCGTCCTTTTTGCAGTTGAAAATTGAGCAGCTGGAAGCGCTGAGTAAAGAGAAGGATTTGAGACTGGATGAAGCTCAGGAAGATTTGAATGAGTTAGAGGAAGTTAATATGAAAGATCGAAATAAGGCAGCGGTTGATCTTTATAAATTGAAAGTGAAATTGAAAGACTTTTTGCTGATGACTTAACCCGTGACAGTACAAAAACACTCTAGAAACGTATATTCGTGACATTTCAAAATCCGTTGTTGCCGGAAAAGCGAACTCGAGAGAACTTTTGGTTGAAATCATGGACCGTATGCGGCGAGATTATGAAAAGACGAAATTGGACGAGCTCAATCAGACGAAGATGATGAACAAAAAGCTTTCTCTCGCTATTGAAAAATTCAAAAATCTCGCCTACAAGGTGATTGCAGTCAATTTGCATGTAGAAAAGACGTTGCTTGATTTGAAATGGGAGAAGGAGACTGATTTGAGAGCTGATTTCCCGAGACTCGCCGATTTGGTAACGCTGCGAAAAGAGATAAAAGAAGATGAGATTTTGGAAAAATTGGATCAGTTTCAGGACTATTTGAATACATATCACGAGCGACTGTTAGCTGCAAAAAAAGAAACGGAGAAAATAAGAGAAGATAATGCTCGGAGTGAGGAGGAGATTTGTCGGTTGAAGTCCAATTATCTTCATTTAGTTGTAAGCTCCAAGTGTTTTTTTGATACAGCGACCAGGGATAATGATTTTCGGCGTTTTCTTATCATATGAAGCTATGAGTTTACTTCCTTGTGGATTTCCTTTGGTCCTTTGGCCGACTAAAGGATCTCCGAAGAAACCATTTGCGGTCTCGTAAGCCATTGTCCGCGACATGAATAATGCTTCGAAGAGACAATTCTGCTGAAGTATTCAGGCGTTTTTAGCGCGGCCGTAAATCTATTTCAGCAATGAACTTTTTTCTGTAAATACCGCATCGCCATTACTGTCAACCAAAAACTAACACCAGCAGGGAAGAAAACTGTATTTCGAAACTGGCTTTTGACACTTGAGAAATTGAAACTTGAAAACAACACAGGAAGAGTCCATTTATAACAATCATAAATTTCATGCTAACTGAAATTTTCACAGCTTGTTTAACATTTTTATTGTCGGAAAACAACGTCATGCGTGGTCATAGAAAAACTTTATTAATGTGTTTGATATTTAACAAGTTGTCATAGTAATTGAACTGCACGCTGAATCTTGTCGCTACCTACTCTTCCCAAGTTACACTACTCCAAAGCCAATTGACAATTGTCCAAAATTATAAACTCTTGGGCACTTAGATTCGGGTTCCAAAACAATTTTATTCAACGAGAGAGTAATATTTGCCAAATAAAAACTATTCTAAAACTGGCGGAAGCGCTTTTGACATTCTTGACTTTGATCATTTCTCGTTCAGACAAAAACAGAAAAAGAAGTTCTCCAACTCAAAACAGAAATGGTAGAGAAAGACACAACTATTCAAGCTACTGGTTCAAAAATATCGAAAACTGCTTCGGGTTAAATTAAGAATTGATTGATTTTGAACCTGTATGACCAGAGCTCCGTGACTATATCGGCATTCAAATGCGCCGTCTGAGAGGCTACTTCAACTAAACTTTCAACTTTATCGCCACAGAAACCTCTTATTCACTTTAAACTCGTTAGCACTCTCAGCCAAAAACACCACTAGTAGAGGATCACTAGAAGTTCTTTATTTTTATACTTGCCAGATTATTTTTCATAAAAAACCATGAAAACTCAATTGACCTTCATTTTTTAGAAAAATGTTCGACTGATTCAGTTAGAGAAAATTTCAATCAGAAAAAATGGAGAAAGAGAAAGACTCATTTTTTGGAACCGAGAGTCCTCGATCTGAAATCAGCGAAGACGCATATTCATCAGGTAAAAACGCCTTCTCTAGAATAATCGCCTGCTTTTTAACAACAATTGAAAAGTGTTCCAGGTTCTCAAGCTAGTAAAAAAAGAAGTATGACTAAAATATTCCGAAAGGTGTTTAGAAAGTGCCGGATAACTTCTAGTAAAGATAAATACTATCGCGCAGGTGATCAAGTCAAACAAGTCCATTTATTCGGTTCCTTTACCGTTTCTTTTATCGCCTCAATTTTGAATAACAACAGTTTGTTTCAAGACGATGCGAGTACGATTTCTGCCGCTTCAAGTCGCAGCAGGTCAAATTCCGAGAGCTCCGTGACCTCCGTCAGTTCAAAATCGAGCGCAGCCTCCGATGCTTCTTCTGTTTCCAAGGCAAGCTCAAAGAGCAACAACTCGAACAAATCCAGCGCGAGCGAAGCAGGCGAAACAGCCAGTCTTGTCCAACACTCGGCAAGTGAGAAAGGCTCTACTGCCAGCTTGATCGACCACAGCTCCGTTGATCTTCCACCGTTGAGTAAGTTTTCTTTTGAAAAAATAGAGAAAGAATGTCCAATTTTTGGAGAGCGGGAACAAAAGGAGAATCCGGGTGGAGTGTTGACTTTATATTATTAAGACTCGGCGAGAAGTGAAAAATCCAATTCTGAATCCGTGGCCACTTCCGTCAGTTCAGTCCGCGAAGTTGCCGCCGCTGGTGATTCCGGCGAAAACTCGGTGCTCAAGGAGAGATCAATGACTCCAGTTGAAGAGGTCGAACCGGTCAAAGAAGTTACCATCACGTGAGTTCGGATCAAAAAGCTCGTTTGAAGTTTGTTTATTAGAAAACCTGTGCGACCAAAAAGTGCTCATCCTTCCCGCGCCCGGCGGACTTCGACCACTTCTTCAACGAAATCCGTAAACCTTCCGATGAAAACTGATAGATCGTTAGATACCGAGCAGCATCGACAACGGATGCTGCTCAGCACTGGCAAATCCTCGAAGGTGGTGATTCACCCTTCATTAATTCACTAACCCTTCTTGATTGCATCCCTTTATCATCTGTTCCCCCTAACTTGTACCTTTAGGATGTGAGCCACTTACTGGAAGCAGTTCTTGTCATGGACCAAAAAGAATCTCAAATGCAAAACAAGCCAAGCAACTTTACTCAGCCGCGCATGCCATCGGCGAAAACAAGGTCCAACTACAAGCAGAACGAGAGACAAAGAGAGATTCAAAAAGAAAATGCTCGTCTTTTAGCCGTAAGATCTATTCCTTGATTCAAAACCTAATTCAGTTCAGGAATTGACGAAAAATCGACGACCTCAATCAGCAACTTCTCTTAGTGGAAGGTGAGCAAGATGCTTTTTTCGATTAGTAATTACGGTGATAGATCCACCCGTTCCGCGCGTTCCATCAACTCTGCCTTTTCTACCGCCTCCAGTACGAGCAGATACAGTACCAACTTCACCCCGATCGCGCGAAACTACCACTCCAAAATCAACAGAGATCGCGAAGCAAAGCGAATCGACCAGGAGAACTTGGTAAGATCACAAGAACAGTCATCTGATTACTCCTGTTTCAGGCATTTCTGAGAAGATTGAACGCGGTAAAAGCGAGTCCGCACATACGAAGCTCTAGAAACGCTGTTACATCTGCCCCTGCGTTAAGATCGCGCCCGAAAAGCATGAGACCAACGGTAAATTAAGATTACACTCATTTTTCCTGACAAATCACGAATTGGCGATCTTCTCTAGAATTCCTTTAATTATTGACCCCAATTTTTTCAACCCACACAGTTAATCCGTGGAAAGTAACTAAAAACCTTATTTTAATCAAATAGCCTGAGAAAGAAATTCTAGTGATTTTAAAAATCGCGAAATCGCGCTTTGTTTTTCGCGTTCAAAGCGTAGGCGAGCGCGCCCACTCTCGAAAAATTAGTAACGCAGAGCCGGGAATTCTGTCTTTTCTTTCCGATTTCGTTCTTACAGTAATAATCAGAACAGTTATTAGAGAGTTGGTCAAAATTGTAGAGATTTGAGAAGAAACAGACGTGATTTTTCAGGAAAAATGATCTACGAAAAACTACCTCCCTAAAGCGTTTAACTCCATGGTAATTTTATTTAAAAAAATATAATAAGAAAAAGGAAAGTTCAACTCTGACTGTAACTGTTTCCGTAGGTAGTGAATACTTGGCAAGATGGCTGGTAAAGAATTAATCCCAATAAAAAAATAAAGATCGTCCAAGAATTTCATGTATTCCGTTTCTGCTCTTTTCCACCAACTTTTTATTTTATTACGAGAACCAGAATTTCAAAAAGAAAAAATCTACTGCAAATATATTTTATTAAAAAAACACTGTTTTTGATAAATTTTCTACAAAACTCAAGCAGCTTCAGATCAATCTATCTCTTTTCTATTTTTAGATTTTCGAATTTGAATAGTTTAAAAAATGAGCTTCGCGCAGAAGTTGTTGGACGGAAAGGTCTTCGGACGAGCTCTCCACGGAGGCCAGCGAGTCACCCGAAAGACTCTTAACTCTCTTGTCGGAAAGGAAAACGGTTCGCAATTCAGTAGATTCAGATTGTGATGCCGATGTTTTGTATTTAATATTTTGCATTTGGCGATTTTTTAAAACAAATCAAACTTGCTTTCAATTGTGTCAAATTTGCTTTCAATTGTGAACCTGGTAAAAGAACAACTTCGCCTGGCAGGAACTCCGACCCCCAAGCGCCTCCGAGCTCTCCTCTGGTCTCCAGAGCATCCTCCGTGCTCCCACCAACCTTGCTTCCGGCAAGCTCAGTAAGTCCTCCTCCTCATTACCCTAACTTTAACCCTAACCCTCTCTTTTAGACATCTCCGGAATGACCACCACTGAAGCCGCTCAGTACTCGCTCGTCTTCTTCGAGATCTACTGCTGGTTCATCGTTGGCGAGTGCATCGGCAAGGGCGGCATCGTCGGCTACTGGGTCTAAGAAACACAAGCACGAACGAAACATCCTGTGTCCTCGCGGCCCATGGGAACATGTAATTCCAAGAAAAAACATTAAAAAATCCTTTCCTGCTTGACAAGCCATTATTTATTGAATACCCCGGTTCAACCAAATAAAAAACAACTCCTTCATCACTTCTCTTTCTTTGTCTAAAAACCAGTCGGTTATAATGAGTCATAGAAACCAGCAATATACAGGCACACTTGAATTCGCCCTTGGGGTCATCGTTATCCACAAGATGACGTAACATTATGTCATCCCATTTAAAAAATCGCATGTTTTCTATTTCTTGAGCTTTCAGTCATATTTTTTGTAAGAGATAAATAACGCTAGAATGACGTCGAAAGAGGATATTCTGAAAGAGCTGCCCGCTGATGTTCTCAACGCAAAAGTAACTGCGGAGGACTTGCTCAAATTCTCCCCTGTGCTTCGTAAGTTTTCCCCTTGACTTCCTTGAGTCTGAACGAATTTTAGAGCAGGAGCAGCAGAAACATTTACAGAGGCAGCAACAATCTGCCGGTGAAATCGAGCTTGATGACCGTCCAAGAACCGGAATCTTCGAATATGCAAAGAAAAATCCCTTCGCGATTGGTGGCATCTTCGGCGCTGTTTACTGCTTTTGCAAGGGTGTTTCCAACACTCATCAACAAGGTACCTTTTCGCCCTTTAACTTTTATTAAACGCCCAAACTAGGATCGCACAAGGCCGATATGAAGTGGATGCAGGGTCGTCTTTACTGGCAGTCGTTTGCTATCATCTCCATGCTTGGTGGCCATTATTACTACTCGATGAAACACATGGAAAAACTCGAAGTAAAACGAATTGCTTATGAAAAAGAGCGGGATATTGTGTGCCAAAGCGCGCAGATTTGCCCCGAGGTTTACGAAGAAATGAAATACAGGTATCTTTCTTTGTCTTATTCTCATTCATACTGATTCTTTAGAGAGTCCGTTGAGAGAAATTACGGCGGAAGTGATATGCTCCCTCTTCAAGAATTGAAGCGACGAAAGCAGGTTTGTTTTTTCAGCCTATTTCCTTCCCTAAAAAGTGCCTAGGTCGACCAAGAATTTGCTGCTAGAGGCGAAACCGTCTATCTCAGCCCAGAAAAACGCATCGCCATAGAAAATTCCGCTATCGGGGCTTCTCTTTCTTCAACTGACTTCATGCGCTTGGGTATTCGAACCCCATCCATTGGGTCGCTTTGACTGTATTCGAGTGTTATTCCTTATTCATGTTCTTTTTGTACAGATAATAAAACCTTGACCCAACTACCGAAATTCGGTAACCGAATGATTTTAAAACATGAGTTTGATTCAGATGTGGTCTTATGGGGAGGTCTTACTGCCCCTTCCAGATACATCTCGCAGGATAGATATCCGTGACGGATCCCCTCCAACAGACCAAGTCAAATACGTTCAAAAATGTGGCGGGTTGGATCTTTCCAACGGATCGTCGCTTCTCTGGCGCAACGACGATAACAAATTAGAACTCATCCAGTTTCACCCTCAAGAACAAGGCCTGAATGAGTCAGTAACGATCGCCTTCCCAAGAAATGTTCAAGTATTGCCTTCTGTTGCGCTGTATGAAACTAAAAAGAAGGCTGTTTTGATGGTAATTGCTTCTCAAGCCTCCCTCCATTTAGGTAAAGAATAAATGCGTTTCAATTTCTTAACCTTTCCTAGTGACACTTACTCCTCTTACCGAGCACCACTCAATCCTGGGCGACTTGACAGCTTCTGATTTCAAGCGTGCCTGCTTCCCATTCAAATCTTCCATTCCAGTCACTTTCTGCGACACCATCATCCATGCCAACAAAGGCCTTCTCTTCATCTCCTCCAAAACATCAAGTCCAACCGTGATCTGCATTTCTGCCTCCAACCCTCAAACGCCGGAAACACTCGAGCTCAAATCGACCGGGCTTCTCGGCCGACTTTGGAACTCGAACTCTGAAGCCAACAGATCAAAGGCCGTTCATTTTGCTCTTACGAACGGGCAGCTTTCAATGCTCTCAATAACCGCTGACAATCAATTGCGAATCTGGTCAAGTACCGGCGAATGCCTCTTTACTGGAGTCCTCCAAGAACTACTCGACTACGATGGCGATGTGGAGATGGATGTGAAAAGCAGCGACTCTAAGGAGCTTTTCATTTTCGTCAAGGCTCGCGGAAACATCTTCAAATACCGCCTTTCTGATGACAAAAGACAGCCACTAACTTTGATGCAAGATTTTGGCGCGCCTAACAATGGCCTCATCAACAATTTCAATTGTGAGACTGGCAATGTCTGGATTGTGATGAAAGAAGAGACCGAAAATGGGTCCCACACTTCTGTGAAAGCATTTGACGACTTTAGAGTCGTTGATCTTTCCCCTTCGCAGTCGCCAGAAGAATATGTCGAGTGCAAGCCACATGAAGAGATTCCACGAATGGTACTTCAAACAAGCACTATCATGCCCAGTGCTCTCAGACGCGCCCTTGCTGGAAAAGCATTCGACGCTGTTCCAGAGCACATTACTCAAAAATACGTTCAATCCTTCTTGGCAAACGAAGCAAGACACGAAGGCGTTTCTCAGGAAGAATACTTTGCTGAGTTTTACGATACGGTCTTGGAATACAACGAGCGCGCACTGGCTATTACAGGCGTTGTCGGCGGACAACTTGGTCGACTGATGATCCTGAGAAGAAATGCTGTTGGTTTTATCAGGCCTTTGACTCAAGTTGAGGCCATTTGCGCTGGTCTTGAACCAGAGAGCTCTGGGCTGGATTTGTCAGAAGAAGCGGGAGATATTCTTTCTTCACTGATTCCAGTCTTCAATGAGATTGTCGCGAATTCGGACGTCATGGAGCTTGTTTCCTTTCGATTGCGCAACGGAGAGTGTCCTCTAACAGTAGCTCAAGAGCTCCGAGAAGAAATAGCAGCGCTTATAACAGAATCCGACCGAAAAGAAGATCTTGAGTATCAGATTAGTAACATGGCGAAGGAGTTGTCGAGGAAAACCACGGATGAACGAATGGACAACGTTTTTACAGCGGTCTTTGGCGAGCTCGTTCGACTTATTGAGGTCCCTCAATTTAGTGAAGAGCTTGAATTTGGTTCAAGTTCTAGCCACGCTGAAGTGGAAAAATACCATCTTCTGGCTTCAACCACCAGGTCTATTGGCCACAATCTTTTCACTCTCGCTCAATTAGGGCTTGTTCTTGTGGATAACTTGGTATCAAAGTACAATTACCGGGAACTCGTGAGTGTGACAGAAGCATTCGCAGATATTGTGAGCAACTTGGTCACCTTGGATTGGGTTTCATCGGCACGAAGTGTGACTAAATCAAGAGGAGCAAGAAGTGATATGAACTTTACTTCGGGAACTCGACTTGGGGATACTTTCTCTTCGTTTTCTATGAATGCATCTACGACGATTTTCGAGTCTTCAGTTCCTTCAGAATCTCAGGAATAGATCTTATTCCTAAAGAATTTACGTACTGCTTTAGCAGATAATGATCTAAATACAGCTCTTAGAAGGGTGGCTCGCCATGGGTGGCATCGAACAAATTGATGCTATTCTCATAAGCCCAAATATCGAAGCTCTCGGAGTTGAAGAGAATAACCTCCTCGGTCAAGTTTTCGCAATCGTCAGACTTCTTTCAATCTCAAACGAGCGAATGAGCCTGCCCATCTTCCTCCTCGAAACTGGCCAATATGATCTGCTCAAGAAGTGGGTCCGCCTGAACAAATACGTTACTTCGGACAGAATCTCTGTGGTCAACTACTTCGAAGGAATCTGTATGATGCAGGACGATTCCGTCGACGAAGCAGTTCATCACTTCATGAGTAAGTATTTTAAAAGATGTATTGCAGGATGAAAATGTAAAGAGCAGTTAAGACGTAGAGCCCAACGATTAACTTTGAGTAGATGTATTCCACAAGTGCTCGGATGTCTTCAGTCGGGATATCAAAAAATGTTCCTTCTTTTTAGGGATGATGATTTGTTTCAGATTAATACGGGAAAAATAGGGTCCCCATTCCTAATTTTTTGATCATATTATCGCCCCATCCAGACACAGCTGGAGCGTCATCTTGAATATATTCTTCATTATCGTAGTCTTAAAAGTTTTAAATCCACAGTCGCTAGAATTATAAACCTGGGTGGTATAAGGGATCGTTTCTGTTAGCCCCGGAAGGGCCAGGAGCTGCACGACGAACAGATCTTCTCGATGAAGTTCTTCTTGTCAACGGTGGACTTCTTGTTGATACGGGTGGAGTTCTTCTGCTTATAAGTACAGGCGGAGTCTTTCTAGCAGAAGACTGTCTTCTACTGACGGGCGGAGTCCTAGCGGATAATTTCGGGAGCACGATTTCGGGAACGTAAATATCTTGTTCATAAAGAGCGTCGTAGATTCTACTCGTTCTCAGAACAGAGTCACAGTCTGTCTGAAAACCATCAGTTTCTACGTCCGCGTCCATTTCCTCGCTTGGCGAGAGCTCCGAGTATGTTCCATTGTCATTTTCAAGAATCCAGTCGAGGTCACTGTCTATCGTGTATCGCTTCGTCACTTCGGATCGATTTAATTATTCTTATGATCTTCAAGTTTGTACCTTTTTTGAAGCTCATTTTTTAAAACTAATTTTTTAACTTCAGTCAACAATTTACAGTCAAAGAGCTTCTAGAAGCAACAAATAACCGTTCAATTTCAGCTGCTGCAACGAATCTACACAAACAAGACTTCTTCACAAAGTACCTGCTCAAGGACTTGCCCAACTCAACGCAGCCAATTCTCACTACATCACTATTTTTACATGTTGCCGAAAAGTTCAAAGAAAACACATCCTTTTGCCGACAAATTTTGGAAGTAGCGGTCGAGCGAATTGATCAGGATGACGACAGACAGAGCCAATTATGGAACAAGGTAACTTCTCACCCATATCATTGAGCTAGTTTTTATATCCAGGTTTTCAAATTACGACTTCAAGACGAAGATTACACTGGTGCTTACCGTGCCATGATTTCCAACACTGACATAGACTCGCAAAAGAACTGCCTTAGAACATTCGTACTTCATCTATCTGATTCTGGCGACTTTGGACCTCTCGTAAACGTAAGGTCTTTTCCCTCTTCTCCCCTCAACCCATTTTCAGTCAGAATACAGCGGGCTGGAAAGTGAAATAGCACCCATTCTTGAAAACCGAGCATTGGCTGTTTCTCCCGACGATACTCGATATTTCGACCTTCTTTACGCCTTTTTAACCGTTCGGGAAAACTACAGAGGGGCTGCTAGAGCGAAATATTTGCAGTCTCAGCACATTGCTTCTGGATACGAAACTCTTGAACAGCTAGAGACTCGTGAAGCTTCCTTGCTAATTGGCATCAATTCGCTTTATTTAGTCCGCGTAAGTCAACCCACGAGCGATCTTGTAATAAGCCGCTTATTTACTTCAGAAAGAAGATCAGTGGGTTGCCACAGCTTCAATGAACGGCGTTCCCTGCCCAGTTAAATCGCCCAAACGAACACACGAGGGTGGCATGCGAGTGCCACTTTGCAAGGATACTGTGGTCACGAGCTTGGCGGATATGGAGAATGAATGCTTGCTCGTTCAAGCCCGCCTTTCGTTGAAAATGGACGATATCGGTACTTTCTAACAGGACTATTCTCTCTTTTTAACTGAAAAATTTGTAGATACGGCTGGATTAGACGCTGCAGAAGTAGCGTCTTTGATGGCGAAACAAGGAATGTACACCGAAGCTGGAAACTTGCTCAAGGCTTTCAAGGAGCCAGCAGATGTAGCCGTCAAAATCTTGGCGAGCTCATATGCATGCAACATTTCACGGCCCGAAGCGGAAGGGTTGGAAATGCAGCTAATCGGTAATCCTTCATTTTATCGATTTTTTTTTAAGAAAATAATTTTAGATTTGATAGAGGAATTCGAGTTGGGTGCAAATAGCACTCGACTTTATTACATCGCTTCCGAGGAAATTCTGAAAATTGGTCAGATGATCCCGCCAATTATGCTTGAAAATTACCGTGAACGTGATGCCACGGAGCTGGTTCGCCAAATGGCCAAATATGGCGAGTTGGACGAAGCCATCGACGGGGCCTGCTTCATTTTGGAAAAAGCGCAAACTCTCCTCGAGCGGAAAAAGTCGCTCGATGGCTTTTGGCTGCCAACGAATTTGATAGAGCAGCTGAACTCGTTCGCGAAGCTGCACAATCACGAACTCCACGAATTGCTCCAAAAGAGGATGGATGGATTTCTTCAGATATTAGAAAACAGTGTCAGGCAAAATGTTAACGCTAATTAGGAAAATTTTATTCTGCTCTCGACTGCCACATGATACAACAAAAAGATTCATGAATAAAACGAGTGTCAAAAACTTAAATGATTAAAATCAATCAAAAACCTAGAATGCAAGTTTCGGACTTTTGATTTGATATCGGCGTTTCCTTGTTATTTATCATTTATTTAAAATAAGAGGTATGAAAAAGGGGTTATCGAAAAGGGTTTTATATAAACAGTGGTGAGATCATTTTCGAAATGTTCAAAAGTCGTTGCGATTCGGGCGGCGGGAAGGAAGACTTTTGTAGCCTCGCTGACTTCGGGAAAAGGCTTTGCCGCGCCGGGTGTTTTTCGGAGTAGCGGCGGTGGAGCGTGAGTTGTGCTCGCCAGGGACGTCGACGGGAACTTCTGTCGGGATAAATTCTTGCTGTTTTTGGGCAGTTTGTTCTCCTCTAAAATGAAGGGTTAGCGAACACGCTTAGTGTAAGTGGGATTACCTTCTTCTGCGCTCCTTTTGACTTTTCCTAAATTTTGCCATTCCAAAAGTTTTCACCACTCCCTTTTGGTCAAAAGTAGGACTCTTCATCGCTGCTGGTGCAGTCTCAGTGGAATAGTTAGCTGAGGTTACTTTTTGGGGAGGATAATAAGTCGGGAGCCGCGTTACTCTTCGGATTTGAACTGCGTGAACATCTTCCTTCGTCATTGGCGCTCCGAAGCAGAACCAGTTCGATTTCATATTGCAGTTGCACTGAAGAAAATCTCTAGTTGAAATTCTAGCTCTTTTAGAAAATCCGAGTTCCGAGTTTTCTGGCGTCTTTCAAAAGTTTTCGCCTGAATGATTTCGGAGTGCCCCAGGCTGAGGTTGTAAAAAGGCTAAGATTTTTTAATGAAAAAAGAGGCCTGGGAAGATTTTATAAAGGATTTTAAAGCAGGTGCACCCAGAAGATGGCGACGCTACTACTAAGGTGACCGAATTGATAAGGATCATAAAGTCAGACAGGTGCGGTAATCTCAAGATTGGCACACTTCTGAGGAATTTTTAGGAATGAATCTAGGCCAGACGGAAGTTGCCGCAACGTTCTCTGAAGTTTTAGATTTCTTACGATGTTTTCTATGAACCCCATTTTCAGTCGCTCTTTTCAATTTATTTGTGAGTAAAAAATTAATGCATACTCAAAGATAGAGTTACTTTGCTATCGCAATAATTATATATCGTAAAAACGTCATTATTATGTTTCTCTACTTATCGAAAAGGCTGAGCTTATATTTATACCATTTTTTCTGAATCTCAAGCTTTCAAATCATCTAATTCTGATGATTCTCAGAGGATTTTCTTTCAAACATGACTTAAACTAACACCCTTATTCAGAAAAGCTCGTTAAAATACACACACGTACACTCGTAAATGTTGGTTCTTTTTACGCAAAAAAAATAAATAATTTGCTCGTCTTCTCTATTTGCCTTTGTATTTTAAACTGTCCGAAAATTTTGTCCAACTTCTCTCTCTCCGGCTACTGAGGCTGGAACAATGCCTCCCCGGGTATTCATACAAGTGGGATTTACTCACAGTTTGCCGGGAATAAAAGTCTTCTAAGGGAACGTTATCTCTGACAAATCCGCCGTCGCAGCCGTTATTTTGATAACAAGAAATCTAATCTAATTAGCGTCTTTCTCAAGGAAAAAGACGGCCGAAGAAAAATGGGATAAAATTGCCGCTGAAATTGCGTTAGAATAAATATTTAACTGATTACGTCGGCCGAAGTGGCCATTGTATAAGACCTTGTCTTGTGATGCGCTTTATAAGAAAAGCTCCCATTCTGAAGGGCTTATTCATCTTGGACTAGATTGAAGCACGCCCTTGGGGGAACTTACTCAGACATTAAAAATTCTTGTGACTCAAATTGAAGCTGATTTTTATATTATTTAAAATAAAAGTAGTACCTTTTTGGAGTTCTCTATTTCTGAGTGTGAGCTAATAAAAGCCAGATTGACAATCCTCCTGACCTGATCTGGCTCAAAATCTATCAAAAAATCGAAAGCAACAATAAATCAAAGTCTGTGAGACGGGTCCCTAGCCTTTTTCTACAGCGTTATCTTCTGTTGGCTCGTTAGTTGGATCGAATCCATGTTAATATTGGAAAACACTTATCGCAATTCTTGTGACTCAGATGTCGTCTAGATTCTCATCCCTCCTTATTCTCCAGTGGAAACCTTTTTTGAAATTAGCTTGAAAAATAAAAGACTGGGTCATTATTTGGTTTTCTTGGGTGAGTAAACGTTGCGCTCTATTCTCTTACGTTTATGCATTTTTTTCATGAGTCTTGAAAAAGTTTCCTGTCGTTGATTTTCACGAGAGAAATGGAGCGTTTTGAGTTGTAAGATCGATTTTGTAGCGTAAATTAAGACAGAAAAATGATCGAAATTTTCAGGGGCGAAAATATTCCGAAGATGAACCATTTATCTCGAGTTGCTGTCATCGGCGCAGGCGCTGGAGGACTTTGTACGGCTTCTCGATTCAAGCAGCTTGGGATTGAGAAGATCAAAATCTTTGAATCGGCTAGTCGACTTGGAGGAACTTGGCGATATGTTGACGATCCAAATGATGACCCCTGCAGCTCCATGTACAAAAATCTACTTACAAATCTTCCGACAAAAGTGAGCTCCTCATTTTTCTTCTTGAAACTATTTTTAGGTCATGAATTATCCCGACTTTCCATTCCCAGAAGATACAGATGCATTTCCTTCGCACACTGTCATCTTAAAATACCTCAAAGACTACGCAAAACGGCAGAATCTCTCTGAACATATTTCTTTCAACGATCCAGTAGAAAGCTGTTCATTTGAGAAGAAAGAATGCACCTGGAAAGTCAATGAAGAGAGCTTCGACTTCGTTGTTGTTGCGAATGGTCATTACACGAAGCCGTCTATTCCTGATATTTTCAAGAGTTCAAGCTTTCAAGGGCAAATAATGCATACTCATTATTATCGTAAAGCCGAAAGTTTAGCGAGGAAGAATGTTCTTGTCATCGGACAAGGTCCTTCTGGGCAAGATATTTCTCTTGGTAAGTTCTTATGTGAAATTCTGAGTTTGAGCTCATTGTTAAAGATCTCCTCGGAATCGCAAACTCCGTTGCTCTTCTTGGACGGTCAGAAATAAAGGGAACTCCAGACTCGTTGAGAAAATTCATCGGTTGGGCTAAAGAAGTCAAACCAAATGGTGTCCTTACGAACAATGGAGACCTAATCGAGTGTGATTATATTCTGCTAGCAAGCGGGTACTGCTTCGATTTTCCGTTTTTGGAAGAAAATGTAATCGAGTACTCGCCATGCAGGAAGAAAATTCAACCACTGTATAAACAAATTATCCACTCTCACTTTCCATCATTGGCGTTTATTGGCATCCCTTGTACTATTGTTCCGTTTCCTCTGATGGATTGCCAAGGTACCTTCAAAAGCGGTAAAAATTCATTACAATAAATTTTAGCACAATGGCTGGGCCAAGTTTGGAAAGGAAATGTAACTCTGCCGCCGACAGAAGAAAGGCTCAAACAAGCGGCAATTATCCCTGGCATTGGAAGGCCCGAGATTGACCGCCATTTCCATAAAATGTCAAATGCCCAGTGGAAATATGACGATGACCTTGCTAACGAAGCAAATTTTGAACCGATTCCAAGGAGTATTCAAGACTTGTATACTCAAGTTTGGGGTGTTCGATCGGAAAAAGGCCCTGCGGTGTTTCGAAATGTCCAATATAAAGATTACTACGATTACTGATTCTACATTTTCTGTACTTTTGATTAAAAATATAGCATAATTAATTAACTAAATGAAGAATAAAGCTTTATTGCACTTGAGTTTGATCAATGATCATCATAGTACGATTTGGTTTGAAATATTGTAGTTCAGTTTCTTAGCAGGCATAACGATCGAGTTTCGGACTACAAGCTCGTCAGCGAGGAAGGTATTCTTGCCCAGAATTGTTGACGAGGGAATGAGTCGACCGGAAGAGTCGAATAGGCGGTCAGATTCTAATCTGGCGAATGGTTTATCTTGATGAATGTTAGAAGATTTATGAGCGCGATTTTTACCTGGATTTACGGCGGGCGGGGTCCCTTCAATTCGGCACCATTTTCCAATTTCGGAGTTCCATCCAATTACCGAGTCCATTATCAAGGTGTGTTCTGAATATTACTGTGAAGCAATCAAGTGTAAAAAGCATATAAAACAATGCCCCGCCTTAAAAATCATTATTGAAATTTCAAGAAATGTAACGCAAGATTAACAGGATCTTCACTCGTGGCTCCGAGGTACCTTTTATGTGACAATCTTCCAATACAATTGAATTCTTAATTCTTGTTCCTTTTTCAACAACTGCACCGGCTCCAATCGTTACATTCGGGCCTAGTTTAGCTCCAGCATCGACAGTAGCAGTTGGATGAATAAAAACATCGCCGATGATGTTTTCGCCAGTTGAGAGGTTATTCATTCCAAGCAGGAAAAGAGATGAGGCAGAAATGGCAGAGGCAGCGGATTTGATTTGCACAAAAGGAGAAGTAGAAAGGAGACCAAAGAGCTCTTCGGAAGCACAAAGGGTAGGAAAAACATCGCGCTCGAGGGAAATGGGGCCGTGTGAAGAGGTTTTCTTGTAGATTGTCTATCAAAAAGTCAAAATATAAATCGAACAAGAAAGACGCTCACCTTGAGGACTTCAAAAATAGACGTAGAAAACGCATAGATACCACAGCTAATTGTAGAAGTAACGCAATTTTCCGGCTTCTCGACGTAGTGCTCAACAACACCGGTTTCTTCGTTATTTCGGATAAAGATATTTCCATATTGTTTTGAAGACTCCATCTCAGAATTCACGCACAAGACTGTCGAATGTTTACCTCCTTCTTTATGCACCTTTTATTATAATTTTAAGAAGAAAGGGCAAAACTAAGTCGGTACCTTTTCGAGTTTATCAAGGGGGAAGAGTGAGCAAACATCGCAATTCATAAAGAAAATTGTACCATCTTCTCTTAGATTCTTTTGAATCTGATCTCTGAAGTGAAACAACCCTCCGGATGTGGACAAAGGTTCAAACTCGTAGAGATATCGTAGCGAAACATTTTCATCTTTACTCGTCTGCCTGATGAACTTCTCCATCTCGTCGACTAAAAAAGTGAGTATTCACGAAGGTGAATCGATGTCTGCATATTTACCGGGATAAAATCCGAGGAGAAAGATTTCTGAGCATCCTGCCTTTTTGCAAGACCTTATCTGCTGCTGCAGTAAAGGAATCCCCCCAATTGGGAAGAGAGGCTTGGGAAGATCGATCGAGAGAGGGCGAAATCTTTTTCGGGGCTCAAAAACTTGTCAGTAATAAGAATTTTTGTGCTGATAATTGACCCTTGACTTGTTCCTTTATTAGGCCCACCGAGTAAAATGACGGCAACTGATTTTTCTGACATTTTCTCTTTTTTAAAAATTCCTCGACAATAAGCGCTGGGAGAAGGCGGTTACGTAAGAGCGCGTGGGCTACGTGGAGGATGTTGAATGAGCACAGCACCTCAATGGGAGTTTGAGAACATGGAAGACTCACTTCTGCATTTACTGTATTTTATTGAAAGAGGAAGATAATCAGAATCAGAAAGGAAGCTGGAAGAGTGATTTTTGCATCTGCAGTTGTTGTACAGTTGCCTTCGCAGTAATAAGTGGTTGTAGTTGTTGTTTTCTTAGTGGTTTTCTTGGTTGTTGTTGTTTTCTTCGTGGTTGTTGTTTTCTTCGTCGTTGTCTTGTTGGTTGTCTTCTTCGTAGTATTAGGCTTATTCGTCGGCTTTGGTTTTGGTTTGCTCGTTTTTCTCGGCGCTTTTGGTGTTGCACTAGGAATCTCCTCTGCATTTTGAACTTCAATGAGCCACGGTTCGTTGTGTTCTACTGCCTGGCAGGACAGAATGGCAAAGTAGAGAAGAAGATTCCGCATTTGATTTTTTCTGTTCAGTATGGACTCAGAATGCTCTCAGTGGGTGCAAAAGACAAATTAATACTTGTGATTTGTTTGCAGAAGCTATCGTAGGAACGGAAAGTCGTCTGGAAACAAGGTGACTCAAACGACTGTAAATAAAATTTTGCGAAAATGAACTTATTAACTTTTGGAATCAATGCGATTTGCGTATTTTTTTCTTGAGAAGACGGAATAAGAGATATTAAAATTTACAAAGTTGTTTATTGAAAAAACAGAATATTTCAAGCTTTGTTAATTTAATATGAATTTTTGTTAAATCAGATTCTATTAAAATTAATAAGCAAAAGATGAATAACTCGCTGTTTTAAACAGCAAGTTCGGCTCTAGAATTTAGAGACGGCGAAACGCAATTGTGTACCTATCAGCTCGAAAATGTTTGTTAGTGCATTTTTTACGTTTCAAAATTTACTTTATTTTTTATGTCTCTCGCTTGAAAAAACTTTTTTTTTCTGTTTTTGTATGTACAGTTAATTACAGTGGAATTTTCGCTAGCGTTTTGGGGACATGAAGCGTATTGGGTTTGTACAAATGGAGAGGATTTTGCTGAGTATTGATGTTGTTGTTGTGTAGTGCTTGCTGTTGCTTCTTGTTTTGTTGTTGTTTCTGTTTTAGAAATCGTTGTCCCAACCAGAAGTTTCATCGGGTGGACCAGAGCTATCCGCGGAGAAGTCGTCGAATTGCGATGTATCGGACGGTCCGGTTATGTTCGGCTAAAGCGAAAATGTAAAAAGCGGCCTCGCAATTATTCTTTGTAATGTTTACACTGTAAAAGTGAGTGACTGTACCTTAATTGGTGATTCCATCAAGCCATATCGGAGCTTGCAAAAGTCGAAATCGCGTAAGAGATCGACCTCTCTAACTTCTTCGATCCCTTCTCTTGCTCCTAGTCGTCTTTCTGGGTCTGAATAATAATTGTGAACTTTGCGTCTTGAATTGCTAATTGTCTACCTGGATGGCAGAGAAGACGAATGAGTTCGGCGGCATTCGGGCTGATCTGGCTGGGGAACTCGACAGCGCGAATTCCGCGGTTCGTCATTTCGTATGTCGCTTCATCCTAGAACAATGTTAATCTCCCCTTCTCTTGAGCGCATTTTTTAGAGCCTTTCAATTAAGAAAATCGCTATCTTACGGTGTTTCTCCGGAATGGAGATTTGCACGAAAGTAGCTCGAAAAGGAACACTCCGATCGACCAGAAATCGCTGCCAAAGCTGTGCGGTCGTTTATTTATCACTTCGGGGGCCATGTATCCTTAATAGCTTGTTAAGGACATGATAATGGTGGGTGTCGTTCAGACCTGGAGTTCCGCAGAACGTTCTCGTTATCGCATTCTTGCTACTCATGCGCTTGGCGAAACCGAAATCGGCGAGCTTGACGTAGCCGCGTTCGTCGATCAGCATGTTTTCTGGCTTGACATCGCGATGTACGATCTGAAGGGTTTATTCAACACCTAAAACTCGCGGTTTGTTCTCTTACCAAAGATGAGTGAAGATAGTCCAGGGCCTCAAGAATACAGGAGACAGCAAATACGGATTTTGGTTCTTCGAGGGGACCACATCGTTTCATCAACGTAAATAGTTCTCCTCCAATCAATGCTTCTGTTAGGAGGTAGACGAACTTGTTGTCCTTGAAGGTCTTGAAAAGCTTGAGGATGAAGGGCGAGTCGATCGAAAGGAGAATTTCGCGTTCAGCCTGAAAATCAATTTGAGTACTTTTGCAGAATATTTTCGTGTAATCCTAAAAGTCCATTTACAAAGTATCTTTCTTACCTTGACATGTCGTCGCTGACCCGCTTGAACTACACGATGTTTGTTGATGCACTTTAGCGCGTAGTAATTGTTGTTGTTCCGCACAAGCTCAACGTGAGCATATCCACCGCGTCCGAGGATTTGGAGGCGCTCCAAGGAGTCGATTTCCAGCTCAGAGAGACGGACTTTGTTGAGTTTTGTGATGACTCGTGCAGTTGTAGTGTGCACGCCTGAAATAAAAAGTTATATTTTTTGCCTTCAAATTGAGGAAAAAATTCGATGATTTACCATCAAGAAGATGTCGAATTGCGGTTGGCGAAGAATTGTGGAAAATTTCAATTCCGAAAGTCGTCGGTCTGTTAACTGCTTTCTGATTTCGCTTGAAGGGGAACATGTGGTAAGCTTCATAATCGGCGATTTTCATCTGCCTCGATTCGGTAAAGAAGGAATGGTTTCGTCGTGGGTGCAAAACGTGGCTGTAGAGCGCCAGGAACTCTGGAATAAGACTTTCGTTCGTTGACTCCGTCAGAGAAGAGCGACGGTTTTTGTCCTGAATTGAAAATCTTCTCAGAGGTATTCTCGTAAATCTCATTTTTTCCTCGTTTCGGTTTCATTAAGATTAATATATTTTTCAAGCTTTTTCGAAAATTTAAATAAGGTAGTGTATTTTCTTCTTTTTTTGAAAATAGGTTTACGAGAGCAGAAGATTATATTCAAGTCATCTGATTTTATGGGCGTTTTATTCTCACACAGAATGATCTATCGTCAGAAATGGTGCTCTGAGTGCGTTTTACGAGGTTTAATGATAACCCGAGGAAAAATTAGGACTTTTTACTTGCGACCAAAGTCAGAAGGTTCAAAATTTATAATTATATTTTTATTATTATAAATGATTTTTTGTTTTCTAACATTTTGTACCTGGTATCCAGAGTCGTGGCTATTGACAGAATCGCGTTTGGCCTTGTCAGCTTCTGATTGCCAACTCGTCCTACTCATCGTTGTCATCGAGCCCGCCATGGTCAGGTTTCGGGTTGAGTAGCTTGATGAGTCGTACAGCTGCGAGTTGGAGTACAATGCGAAGTCGAAATTTGAGCCGGCAGCTTGTGAGTCGGCTCCGGTAAGGCTAGAATATGTTTGAGTAATTTTGAACTTCTTTATCTGCCATCCACTTATTTCGCCAAAATTCGAATATCATTGATATATTGATTATTTGATATATTATATCAACCTGTTAGGAAAGTCGCTGTAAAGAAAATTCTTTGTTTTTAAAATCATCTCTAAAGGTATGAAAAAATTTCAAAGAATCACTAAAAGGAAGTATGATTTTTACGGTCGGCTGTTCACATGAGCGGAAAAAAACCATGATCAATTAATGTTTCCCTATGACCTTTTTTAAGTCATAAAAATCACTGGCGATTGGGATGATGTGGTGTGGCGAGCCGCTGCTTAATGCTTACCCTTGGATCTGTCGATCTGTTGAGTTGTGCGAGCTTAGGCTTCGTGAATTCGAGTCAGTGTCCGAGGTGTAGAGTCCGGAATCGACGCCAGAATCGATGGGGCGCGATGCAGCTCCATTCTTCTTTGGAGTTGAATTTCCGCTGATGTTTTCCTTTGCCGGCGCTTCCAGACGTCTGAAATTAATTTTGATGACAATGGCTTCAATCGAAAATGATCAAATCTTCCATTTCTTGACCCTGATTTAAAAAAATGATTTCTTATTCACTAAATTGTTTTAGATAGTTGTTTTCAGAAGGAAAGGGGCTGACCCAGTGTCGACCTTTTCACTGTGCCTGTTCTAGTAAGCCCTGCGGTCGAGCGTTCTTCTTATTTCACCAGTTCGCTGACTGAAGCCGAGCCCCACGCAATGACTAGACCCTTTGCTCAAGGATCTTAAGTTCTTGTAGAAGACTCACGGGATGTTTTGGAGGGCACGTGCATTTGTTTTAGGCTCACCTACAAGCCCCAGGGAGGGGCCGTGACTAATGTCTATCCCATAACAATTTCATTCTTCGTAACAAGCAGTACCAAGGACTTAGAGAATGTCGATTTTACGCTAACAATGCAACTTATTACTAAGTTAATTAATTACAAACTGATGGCAATAACAACTCTGACTCTTGATTACTTATTGCTTATGGCTTGTTGATTTGATCATTTCCAATCATAACGGTCTATTTATCTGAAAAAAACGATTATTTTTTTCCGAAAAGATTTTTGAATCGATATTTATTTTTGTATTCAGTAGTTAATAGTAGCAAGATTACTTTCAACAAATTTATAATCAAAGTTTTTCTAGCCTAGATAAATACGAATAATCAATGTACTTTTGAATGAGTGTCTTTTTTATTGAAGTTTGATCGTTATTAAATTGCCAATCTTTTGAAAATTTAAGAGGATATATGCTAGCATTTTTTCTGTTTTCGAACGCCAGAAGCAAAAATAATTCTCAGGTCAACTTAGAATAATAATTTTTCTCAATAAATTATGGGCCGTAATTTTTCACCCCAACTCGATATATGGTTCAGTCCATTTTGATACCTGATGGTGTAGCCGTAATATTCGATTCCCATCAAGCGTGTTTTTTTTCTTTAGGTTAGTCTCTACTTCAGTATAAAAAGGCTCTCAAAGGCCACTTATTTGTTAGTGCTTCTCTCTCGTTGTTTATTTCAAAAATTCTTTTCTTCAGTCAAAAAGTTTATAAAACGCAAAGAAGAGGGTCTAGAACATTAAGTGACTTGAGTTCGATTTGGTCTGTGAGGTATGGGTGCTGGTGCAGAAGACAGGCATGGTGCTGGTGGTGGAGGCGCCGCCTGGGGCATTCTACTTTACGCAATCAGATACGCAGCGAGTAGCGAGTTCGGGACCCTTTACGCGGGAATCGAAAAGCCCACGTGCGGCTATCTAATCTTGCGGAACTCACGTTCAACTGTAACCTGCCAAAATGATAGAGCACAAGTTCAGCAAGTTCAGCTTTTAGAGATCTAAGAGTTATCTAATTCAAGCGGGAGGCCGATCAAGAGATTTTCAAGAGAGAATCGTTTTTACGAAATATTCCAGAACAAACCGGATTAGCCCAGCCAGAAATCACGTGACCCCCTAATATTTTGATCCGGATGTTTTCAGTTAATTTGAAGTACATCATATTATATGATTCATATACCATTGAGGTATTACAGAGTTTGTACAACAAACCCAAAACGCTCATTAAAAAACTTGGAATCAAGGAAGAGTAAAAACCTGCCCGCCTTTGTTCTTACCTATTCTGGTGGACATAATCATGCTCAAGCTCTGGCACATCATCAATCGACTCCCGTCGATATCTCCTATCCCTCTTTGGCATGCAGTTGGCCATTGAGAAGCATGTTCTCAACTGGCGGATGCGCCGCATATTCTCGTACGTTCTGAAAGTCATTTAAATCTTGAAGGGAACCTCTGTTCTCTGAATCTATTACATTCATCTATCAAAGGAAGAATCCGCGATTGGCGAAATGATGAATTTATTTATAAAGTTTTGAACGCTCGCCAAAAACAGCTCATTATACAAGTGGCAGTTCTAGCGCTAGAATTCGTTCGGCAAAGTTCAAATTTATAAATAACAAAGTGTATTTTTTCTATGAATTCGAAAAAAATACGCATTAATAAAACAGAATTCTTACCGTTGATGTAGTTTTTGTTCGTTTCTTTCTCGATACAAGGTTTCAACAAGAAAAAAAAAGCTCCCTCTACCCCCTTAAATTAGCATTCCTAGAAGGATCCTTATGCTTTAGAAACGTAATGCTAAAATCGACACGTTGAGCGAACCTTTTCTTTTTAGATTTTTTCTCCAAATCAAAAAATTCCGATTTGGGTGTACGAAAACCACACGAAAAAAATCTTGTTCTGACTATATCTGTCTCCACTACCCACTTCAATCGCACTGAAAATGTGTTACGTAAGGTGAAATTTCAAATTAGCAAGAATAAGAAGAGGATCGTTTCGTTACTGTTTGCCTAGTATCTGTAGTCACCTTATTTAAGAAGAAGTAGAAGAAGTGTTCGGTAGATGGTTTCTTTCACTTACCCGTTGAGAGCAAAAAAGCACCTCATTGTTTTGATGAAATTAAAAATAAACCCCAAAGCGTGAAAAAAAATATCTTCAAAAAAGAAGAAGCTTGCGAAAGCGGTAGCGTTTGTTACAACGAAAAAAGTTGTTTTATCGGCCTGACCCTCGTTGGGCTGTCTATCCTAATGTGTCCAAAGGAGAGGCGGTCCAAAGAAGATCCAAGGAGTCCAAGTTCAAAGAAAAATCCAGCGGCCAACAAGCTGTCTTTCCAGAATAACAATAAAAGATCCAAGTCCAAGTGAGTCTGTCCAGTTTGTCTTCAGTGCCAAGCTTAATGGATCTACAAAGTCTTACCAAAATAAAAGTTTTGTAAATTGACGAGTAATTTTTGATGTTTCAATTGCTTTGATCGTCAAACTAAGAAAAAGGATGAGTATTTTTTTATTCGAAAAAGTGATGCTACAACCTTCAGAAATGAATCGGCTTGGTTCGTATCGTTAACATCTTTGATTGGTTGAAAATCATAAAAAAAAGAAACGAACTTGAAAAAAAAAACTGAAATCAAGGAAGAGAACAACCGATTTTCAGATGTAACTTTTTCAAAAAAAATCTAGGTGCTATTTTTAACCGTTTCTGTGTAGCTGGTTGCGCAGGTTGGTTGGTTTCTGGAAGATTTGGTTATTTTATTCGACATTTTAGGAGGCCATGAAGGAACCAAAAAGATTATTTTCCTTCATGGCCAGAGAAATTATTTTTTGCTTGTCGAATTTAATCGACAGAAACCTTTTCGTCCTGAAATAGAATGGTTATAACAGTGAAATGGGTTAATAAAGAGGTATAAAAGAATATGACACAAAACATTTTTACCGTTCAAATTGACAACAAGCTTTTCCATTTATTAGCTTTTCTAGCCCTTCTAGGGCCTCTTGAAATTTGGGAACTCGACAAAAATAGAGGCTACAGATACAATTTTTTTGTGATTTACCCCTGATTTCAGACCAAAAAGGGGCCGTGCAGCTCAAACGGACGATTGATTCTGGATATCAAAGAGCAGTTCTTTCTAGTGGCAATGGCAGTTCATTCTTTTCTCACGAGATTTATGAAAGTTTTGCTGACGTTTCTCTTTGGCTGTCACACCATTTTATGCAAGTGATTTGAGATTTAACGGAGGATTTCAATTTAATCATCGGCGTCAAAAGGGCCTCCTTTGAATATATGCCTGTGAGATCATTCTTCGAAATATAAAATTATTTTAAATTCAAATTTTAAAGAAGTGAGCAGAATTCGTTTACATCCGGTTACGAAAAAGTTTCTACTGCGGAGCGGATTAAAAACTAACAAATGATAACAATGCCAAATAGGCTATTTGAAATAGCTAACTTCCACAATCTTTGCTTCGACATGCACTTCCTAGAATATCTTTATCGTTAACTTTTCTGAAAAGACTAACAATAAAATTTTATGTTCAGAACCAATAATGGAGATGGCAGGGATAAATGATTTTTTTTTTAATTTTCAAAATAAACATAAGGAGCCCCTTATTTTTTCAAATGGAGAACATTTCCAATTCTTATGTCCTCTGAAGACCAAAAATAAAAATAAATAATACCTCATGCGTCTATCTCAAAGAGGAATCAGAAAATTTCGACAAAACACCATAACTGACAACGAAAGAGAACTTTTTTATATCAAAAATAACGTCAGTTGAAGGGATCATTTCAAGAAATCAAATAAAGTACCTACTGTATCCTAAACAAGTTTCTATCAGAGAAATACTCAAAGAAACGTCGATTTATCTTCTTAATAGAAGAACGGTGAATACATATCGCTAGATTGTCTAATGTGGATAGCGTCATTACAGAAAACGAAATATGCTAAAAGTCCTAAGATAGGACAGGGAATGAGAACCACCTGCATAACCTGTAGATAGAGCCTGGACTCTCTGAGCAAAGTGCATCGAAGAGAAAGATACCCTCATTCATAAACGCTAACAATCTCACGTTATGAGCGCACGTTTATCACCGTTAGTTGAGCAAGAAGCCCGGCGATAATGCTTTATCAAACTTGTGTAAGACAACATTGCGTGTCCGCCAATTTGCAGCGATTGCATGTTCTATTGAGTGATCTCGACACGAGCTTATTTAACGCCAACCGTATTATTGCACTATCAAGATAATGAACAAACTTTGATGCATAGAATGAGCGTTTTGATTTACGGTTAAATTCAAATAAAAGAAGAATGTACCAGAAAAATTCACGATGGAACGTGCATGCTACATTTCTGTAGACCTCAAAAATAAATTCTCCCCTGACATGGGTAGACACTTCAATAAACAGAACTGAATCAAGACTGCGGAAAGTCCTAACGGTATTAGCGAGACGAAAGCCGAAGTGCTGGGTTTGACACACCTGAGGACAGTTACTGACGCAAGGCCCTTGCTCTAAACATTGTAATTTTCGCCGCTTGGATACATTTCTTTTTGTACTCGAAGAAGGTGCGTAATGTGGACCGACTTACTAGTCAAGCAATTCGGAACAAGAGAAAATTCGAAAAAGAATTTTTTCTCGCGTGATCTTTTTTTGTCATTTTTTTTTAAATCTTAGCTCGAGGTCTTAGCTGTCAAGAATCAAAAATAGCACAAATCAATGTAACAACCGTGTTCGTTGCATGTTTTCAACGTTGAACGATTGTGTTATCAAGTTTGATAAGCGTAATCTTATCAAGGCACGGTTTTTGCACTCAGAGTACGTGGATAAACGTCAACTTTGGGACATGACTTATCAGCTTATGTGACCTCAATTAGAGCAAATGTTACTCATTATTGAAAATTCAAAGATTTGGCAGAATTTATCTTAGTGTTTGAGGTCGAATGAGACAGAGATTAAGAAGAAACAGCATCGAATACTAAAGGTAATCTTCCGTCGGTTAGGGATTTCGATAAGGGCACTTATTAAGGGGCTGTAAAGAAATCAAATTAATCGAAATTAGCTCTGTGAAGCTAAAGAAGAAACCTATTAAGACTTTGGGATAGAGTTTTAACTGGAACACACAATTATAATCATAAATACAACCCCAGTGAATTATCATCGATTTCTGAAGGACTCAGTTGTATTGTCTGATAGTCTGACGTGGAAAAAGCCATTTTTTGTCCCTAAAACAGACCAGAGCGGTTTGTTCATCCTTATTTTTAATCTCGAGGAATTATTTTTTTTGACAATCAAAAGATATTTATTTTCGCTCAAAATAAAGATCCGGCTTTGTACAAGTGTAGTTGATGAACATCTCCTTTCTGGAGATAGATTTGAGTATTCTGGCTAACTTTGATATTTTGAAGTATTTTCTGTCCTAGAAAACGGTTATTTTGAACCTCACAAAATTGAATATGAAAAAACAAATTCCCGAAGACTAACGGCTAAATTTTTCAGAACCTTTAGTTTGATTCTATTAGCCTTACTTCCTCCTTATTATTTTTTTCTCAACCGGCACTTAGGTTGAACAGGTTCGCCAATATTGCACGCAGACCAAGACCGAGTCAATAAAATCGATGTCACTTCACTTTCAACCCTTCAAAAAAGGGTTGAGATATAAATTGGCAGGATCGAGACCTACATCAATCGAAAGAGCATTTAAAGCTCTTTCAGAAAATATAATAACCTGGAAAAAAGTGGGGTGTGGAGGGGGTCATGTGACCAAAAAACTTAAACAGGCCGATTTTCAACACTTTGGGGCGATTTTTCTAGGTCATCACGTGACCTGACAATTTTGTCATAATACAATTTTTTGTTCCTTGGAACATGTTTAACCAGTCTACAAGGACAAAACCCTGAATATCACGTGTTAAAAAATGGAGCGTTTTTTAAGCGTGGAGCCTACTTATGGGTGCGGCACACAGATTGATGAGCTTTTCAAACAGATCTCTCATGCTTGTCCTGTTGCTGCTTGGCAGACGATTCTAGGCGACGTTGAACCTGACTGATATCAATGGCTCATCAAAAAACTACCTTATTCTTAACCACTCTATCGACGCTTCAAATTCAACCGAAGAAACCGACATCAAAGATCTTCAACTAGCAAAACTATGCAGCAAGTGGGCCAGAGATAGATTTTGATTATACCTTTCAGAAATTCACAGCGGTCCTTACAGAAGCTCTCTTGCAACCGTAACTTTGCTCGATAATTTTGTCATTCCTCGTGGATAAAACCGACCACTAAGCTACAGCAACTATATTTTAGCTGAGTAATTGAGGCGCTTGAACTGTCAATTTCAACAGGAATTATAACGGTATGAGAAAACGACGGAACTTTTCATCTCGACTCAAGACTCAAGAGGATAATTACAGAAGGTCATTATGAACCCAGGAATGGGAGCGAAAAGCGCTCAAAGCATTTTTGAAAAAACTGGAACTTCAAATAAAAAAAATCGCTTAGAAAAAATTCACAGTTTCTCTAAAATTGATTAATCTAACTCACTTTTTGTCCTTTTTAAATTTTTCACTTTGCTTAAATTTTATCCACATTTTCGCATAAAAATGGAATTTGAGCGAACATTTTAAGACCTTCAGATAAAGTGCTCAATTTTTGGAAACTTTAAAACTCTCTTTTCTGAGGTAGACTAGAATTCGTCTTTGGATAACGTGAGGTATTAAATTATCGGCCCAAAAATTAGAATGTATGACAAGAACCCCGTGAATCCTTAATCGATACAGCTGCAGTGTTTTCGATCTTTGAACTAAGACTCGCTTAATTTTTTGATGGTGCTTATTTTCAAAGGATAATTTTCTACGAAATGAATTGAAAAATGGAATTGAAACAGCCCCTTAAAATTAGCCAGTTTTATAATAAAATATAAAGAAAATTAAAATTTTTTCACTTTTATTAAAAACAATTGAACGGTAAAATTCTCTGTGTCATACTCATCATTCAAAAAATAATGTACTTACGTGGCTAGAAGAATTGTTCAATCTGTTTTCAATTTCGCCTTTTTCCCCTTCCAGCAAGGAAAAAGGCTCAATATAGGTGTCAGAAATTCTGGCCCATCATTAGCTCGAGAAATCAACGAAGATTTCATTGGGCTTCAGGACCAGCGAATTCCTTCTCGTCGAAATCCATTCTCCCCAGAAGCAGTAGAACTTTTGATTTAGGATACTCTACCTGTTCTGCTATAGTTAAATTTTAATTAAAATCTGATGGGTATTATAATTGCTCGGCTTAAGGAACGATACATACAAGAAATGTTAGATTGACTAAGAATAGTATTAAAATGTTTTATCTTTGCTGTTGAGCTACTACAGTAATCTAGTCTCATACAAATGAGAGTCTCCTCGAACCAATTTTCAACAACTTTTTGAGGCACTCGTGAATCAGTATTTTACAGGATTTGCGGATTAAAAGACCACGCTTACGTCGAAATAAGGTACAGTAGTTTCTACTGTGAGACTTTCATGACGGCGCAAGTGTACTTTTACTGCGTCAAATCCAGTAATATTGACTGGCGAATAGCATTCAAAAGCTGTGAACCCTTAATTTCTGTTTCTAATAGAATACTTTTTCGAGTATCAAATTGAATCTATCCGCGAAGAAGCCGACCAGTAGATATATTTTGATCGCTTATATAAAAGGTCTTTGCTGATGGTTGAGAGATTGGTGGTTTTTTAAAAAGAAGAAGATTGAGAAAAAGATTGCCATTCGAAAAATTATTCCGCCGAACGGTAGGGAAACCTTATCCGGTAATTCGTTTATCGCATTTTTACACGCTCAAGAATCTTGATGCACAAACATGGGATCTTTATTAGCAAGGATGAGGGTGATCGAAATACGTGAGATGCATTAGACACGCAATATAGCTTTTTATGAACGAAAAAAGACACCAAAAAAAGAACGGTTTTGAAAAATGAAAATCGCGAAGAAAAAGTAAAAAATCAAAGTTTGCAAATTGCTCGAATTTGAATCAAATATCAAATGATCGGGCACTTGAAATTTTCAAATTTTCATCTGATGAAAAAATTTCGTTCTCATTGAAATCAAAGAACCTAATCTGGGTCGATGATGACTCCTCAGAATTGCTAACTAATGAAAACTTCGTACGGAAATCTCAGAATCAAAAGGCTGGACAGTTTTAGCTTTAACAGAGTGAGTCCCATATTTTCTTCTTATAAATAAATTAAGACTTTTGTCAGGCTAAGGGTCGACTTTCTTAGCTAAAAGGAGACATGGGTAAAGAGAAAGAAGATACGGCGATTTCATGCCCTTTTATGTCTCTTATAAGATCTGCATTGTATCTAAATTGAGAACTCGGCGTGAAATGAACGAGACGGCGGCGACTGTTGACTTAATTTACCCCGTTGTGTAGGCCCTTTCAGCCCTCGCCGCTGATAATACTCGGGTCCGGGTCTCCCGTCACTTCGCGGAAAAAAAGAAGACCGCTGCTGATTAGAATAGAAAAAAATTCAAAGCGAGATTCTAAACACTTTCTTTCTCCAACACCTTTTTTCGAAAAAAAAATCGCACAAAGAAAAATTCCTGGCTGATTGATTACGCAGACTTTGCCAAACCTTAAAAAACGTTGGATGAGATTTCGAAAAATGTTTAAAAACAGTGGCTCGTTGCGACTTCTTTGTTTGTTCAACAAACGTAATTGTTTGGTTTCGAAGATGACGTTGTGGTTAAAACGGGGAGAATCGACGCTCGAATTTATTCAAAATTGAAAATGAGAATTGAATTGCGACAATTTTTCATGCAATCTGATTGGCCTACCGACCGTATGAGGGTCTCTGATTGATCTTAATTATACCTAAATTTTGGTCAAAATTGTCGTATTCTTATGGTGATTCGTGCTTTCTTCCCGAAAAAGCAATAAAATATTAGCTTTAGTCTATAGAATACATGCTCTTATGAACACAACTTATGGGTCTTCATTTGAAATTCGTCCACGTACGATCTTTTGATTAGGAGAGATCTTATATCAGCGATTTCCCTTTTTATCCCCTTGGGATTGATCCAGCAAGTCTAGGATTAAAGAATGCGAGAATTGGCTGAGTAGAGCGGAAGCGCTGGCACGTGGGCTCCGCATTATCCGAGAACAAGCTCCCTTTCCGCTAGAACAAGAGTACAAGCGACATGTCTAGATACCATTGCATAAGGTAAAAACACAATTTTGATAAATTATCGAGTATTTCGAAAAGAAAAGCGAACTGAAGTTTGCAATTTAATTTTTGAAAACCTGAGTCAGGTTTCAGAGCCTTACTCAGGTTTTCTCCAGAGATTGCCGGTTCAAGTAAATAAATTTTCGATTTAAATCAACCTTCTTTTGTTCCGATAGAACCTATTTTTGATCTAAAAATTCCTCGAAAAATGACCGACTCTATGAAATCATCGGTTAGAATGGCTCTTTCCAAAAGCGCAGGGGGTCAGAACTGTCACAAATTTGAAATTAAGTGAAATGTCCCCGTCAGAGCTGTGGTCAGAAGAGAAAGTCGCTTTGCAAAACTGTTCACGTTGCGTCACACTCGAATACATTCAGAATAATTATTGAAATTATCCGTTTTGTTGATGATAGTCTTGACGACCTTGCTCAAAAAATCTTGGTCTTGATTATAACAAATGGGAAATCCACAAGATTTTTTTTCGAAAAATAAAGAAAAGATGAAATGAGCACGTTGATGGGCAGTTTTTGGGCCAACTTTGACGGGCAAGAATAAATATTTCTACTTTAAATTCGAAAAACGCACTTGTTAATAGTAAGAACTAGGATGGATCTTAAACATAAGCATTCATGGACTTCGTTACCATTTACAGATACCCGGAATTCAAGCTCAAAGTAGGCCTCAGCGATGACTATACCCTAAAACTGCTTTTGTTAGAGGAGAAGGCATAAATCGACAAAAATGCTAGAGTTTTGATAATAATTTTGGTCAATTTTGGACCAATCAGATATCCGCAATTGGGCAGGAAGTCAATCAGATTTACGAAAAGATCTCTCGAAATTCAACTTTTTCGTCGATTTGAACTACTAGGCGAAAAAACACGCATAAAAAAATAGTTTCAAAGATTCAAAAAATTTTCAAAAAGCGACTTCAATGAATTTTCGAGACCAAACTTTTATGAACCGATTTGATTTTATCATTCTTAAATTGAAAGAATTTTCTTATAAAATCGACTTTTCCCCCTTTGAAATCGAAAATAAACGATGAATTATCGATATTACGGAGAACAATATTGTGTCTCTTTGTTCTTTATTTTGATTTTTTACAATCAGCCGAAATTAATTAAATTTGGATTATGTGAGCGTGGTGAAAACGCTTACCGGAAAGGATGATTTCTAAATATGTTTTTTCTGCTACGCGAGTGGCGCGCGTTTTTTGAGTAGTTGAATGTTAAGCGAACTAGTAATGTGGATCTGTTTAAGGATAAACGCCAGATTTAGAAAAGCGCAGTTTTGCCGGAAACAACTTTTTTCACTTGCTCAGGTTCACTTTTTCAATTCCCGCTTTTTTACAAAGCCTAAACATTTCTGAGCATTCCAAATAAGACGAAAGCTACAGACGACAAGCGTCGTTTTTTTTTGTAAAAATCTGTCGGAAAGAATGTTTCCTAGGTTAATTTTCATGAAAATTACGATCAAAAAAGGCGAAATTTAAAAAAAGGGGCCCAATTTTTTGGACCGGCAATCATTTTTTTGAATGATTCTGAACCGACTAAAAATTTTATGCGAATTTGGTGTAAAATTTGACAATAATTTTCGTTCAAATATTCGCTTTTCTAATCGAATCGAGCCATTATTCTTTTATTTTTTATGAAAAAAATGTGTCAATCTCAAGAAAAAAAAATAAAAAAAAGAGAATATTTTGTTTTTAATTTTCTTCGCGATTTTTATTTCTCAAGGCAATCTTCTTAATTTTTCCAAATCTCTCTCTTTTTCTATCAAATTTCATTCTTTTTGACCGATATTCGTTATTTTTTCGTTTCTTTCTTTTTCGTAAATCTCTCAACCACGTTCCTGATGTAAAAAGCACGGAGTATCCAAAAACACGCAAAGATAAAAAATTTTAATCGAGCAAAAATAATAATGGCGATTTTTCGACTATTTTTTCGAGCTACCACGCTGAAGGAGGAGGCGCGCGAGAGTTCGTTTCGCGAAAGCTCCGAGGGCGCTCGTCAGCCACAGATTGGTATTTGCGCATCGACGCAAAATGCGCCGCGTTTGGCTTTTGCGCGGAAATGGCAGCAGAGAGCTTAGCTTTGAGAAGGCCTTTGTACAATATGTTTTTTTTAATTAACGTATCATTTTTAAATACGGTCATTATACACACTTGTTTTGTATATTGTAAGTTAATAGGTGTGCAGAATTCTGAGAAGATAATGACTGAAAATATTTCAGTTAATTAGCCATAATGAAACTGAATGTTGACTTCAAAATTAACTGACTTGCAAAATTAAAAATGATTTTGAGCTCTGTACTTTATTCTTAAAATAAATCTTTCGACGACGGGTTTCAGTTTTCTAGTAGAAAAATACTTGAGCCGCCTTCTTTTGCTCAAAACCGCAAATTCTAGAGCGAAAATTATAAAAAAGAAACTTGCGGCTTTCAGAAAAAAGACGGAAAAGCCGCGCTTTCAAGCTGCAAGTACGCATTCTTACTCAGTTTTTAAGACATTCCAAAAGAGATAATTCTACTTCTACAAGCTCTTGATCATCAGCTGCCTTGGATTTATCCAATAAACTCTTGGACGATTACGGCAGAGTTGTTTGTATTATCTGCTTTGTCAAAACTCGTGGCGAAGGGGCCGGCACTCAATCTGCAGCTTTGGCTCGAGATCATGCTCGGCCAGCAACGCAATTAGCCACTACTTACTGATGACACTGTGCAAACAACTCCTTCTTCATCCGTATCTTCTTTTCGTGCACAAAAAATTAACGGAGGTCTTCTACGAAAATTCCGTTAAAGTGCTGGGGAGTGTGTCCGATCGGCTTTTTACATGGGTGGGATTGATCACAAATATCATCTCGTTTGAAATTGCGTCGTGAGTTAGACGACTCACGCTACAAATTGAAAAGATGTATGTTATTAAATTTCTAGTAGTAAAATCAACAGACGCCGTTGAACACACCCCACCTTTTTTACTGGATGTTTTCAATGTATCTTTCGAAATAAGCCACTTTTTGAAGAGAAAGACGGAAAACAACGACCGTCGCGATTGGCGAAAGTGTTTGTGAGAAGACGTGGGGGTCCTTAATTTGAGAATTAAAATTAGAAGAGGCTCAGAACGTGTTCTAATCCCTTTATACGCGTGAACGCACTCTGAGTGGATCAACACTCGGACTTATCTGAACACATTCAACAGCGTGGACGCTCCACCCTGTCACCCAACAACACGATCACAGATCAACCCGAACAAAGATATCTTTCTTCTCATGCACCCGTGTGTTGACCCTTTTTCTTCGCCATTGTTACGTTTTACAGCATTTTCGCCGATAAAACACGCATCTGCAAGCAAAACTAATCAACCGTAATGCCCTGGTCAAGAAAAAGTGCCGAGTAGCGGAAAAGGGGGTATTGGTGAACCGCAGTAGGTCGAGCCAGCCGAAATCGAATTGAATTTCGCGTCAGCTAAGGCGTCAAATTGAAGCCGCAGAAGCTGGACCGTGCTGCTCCCTTGCGGTATTTCTAACCTTTCCTCACAAAAGAAAAACTAAGACCAAAAACCTTCCTCACTTGGTTTCCTCCGTGAACAGCTGGTTGCGTCCTGACTGTGAGAACGAGCAGAGGAACACGGTTTTTCGTGATTGAAAACGGGCGTCAAAACACGTCGGATCGCAGCTAAGTGCTCTATAAAGTTAATGTCAGGACAACCATACTTGTGGTGGCTTATCATTTTTACTTACATGTTAACTTTTAGACCAACTCAAAACAAGATAATCTAAATAGTTTCTTTCGGATTTAACCCAGAAAAAAACACACCAAAATCCTTCCCTCACTTCTTCCTTCACAACAGTATAAAAAGTTTATTCAACTATTGATGAGTCAAGATAATTAACTTTCATAGAACCCGACATTGAGAAATAAAGACGTGAGTTCATCTTGAGTCGGATGAAAATTTAATATCAATTTATCCCTTTTCGGATTTATGCTCACTCAAATTTCATTCAAGAAATTTTTTCTCGAATTTGCCCAGTCAAGCTTTCTGGGGATCAACTCGGTTTGCAACTGAAGCGGAAGAATGACAGGATCAGAAAATGTAAACTCGCAACAAATCATCTTTTCGTCAAAATTGAAACCACCGCCTGGTCGATTAGGGGCTGGCCGCCATTCGCGATCAAGAGATTATTCACCCGTTGATCCGTCTGATGCGGATAACGTCGCTCAATTCGACCCTGTTCAATTCCACCATAAATACGATTCTTATCGCCTTGCTTATAAACTTTGATAATCGCATTAGAAATTAAAAAAATCTTCACTCTGCATTTATCGGAGGAGGAGATTTTCAGCGAGTCGATTATTCGAAATTTTTTTCGTTTCCCTGATCGTATCTTAGATTTTTTTTTCGCGTAACTTGTTGATGAAAATGAATTTTATTTACAAACAAAACCTGACTTGATAAATTGGGATCCGAACCTTCTACCAAAAACATTTATATCGGTTGATTCTTGACAGATGTGTTAGATGTCATCTAAGATTCAATGACTCTATCGTTTGATTCGTGTTTTGGCTAATTGAAGAAGAATTGCTTGTTGTTGGCATCCAACTAATTCCAACCAGCAAAAGCATGGATTGTTGTATTAGAGAGTTGTACGTGGAGTTGGAAAAGAGTTAGTTACGCAATACGCCTTGTCCGGGAAACTGGCTTTTTACTGGCTTTGCGCTCGCGTCGGGTGACAGAACGCACCGAAACTCTAAACAATTCCGACGATTAACTCTAACTTGCTTAAAAATACAAATACTTGCGTTTAGAATTATTGTAAAGAACATGGCTCATCGTGATGCTAATCTGCCTTTTGATCACTTTTTGCTTGTTGGATAACTTCTTTTGCTAAACCAAAGTGACCCTTAAAATCGCCGGTTTTTCGGATGTTTCCGAGCCCGGGTTTAATATTGTCGATTACGAGTGAGTGGATAACAAAACTAACCAAACTAACCCAAGAAGAATAAAAAAGGGTTTCGGTAGTAAAAATGAATGTGATTGGTAGACCGTGCACGGTGGAAACGATAACACTTAGGTCAATTAAATCACAACACGGCGCTAGCTTGGAGGGTCCACCATGTTCTTCTCTCTTTTGCGATCATTGTATAACTAACTATCCACTCTAAATCTAATTCGATGATTGCCTGACAGCATAGTGGACCTCATAACAAACTAACCACGTAACTGAAACCCGTAATTACATAAAATTAGAGAAAACCAGATGGGAAATTCAATTTGTCCATTTTGGACAATTCAAAATTAAAGTTGTCTTCCGCGCCAGAATTAAAGTCTGGGAAGCTTCTGAACCGGCAAAAAAATACGAGGAAAAGTGAACTTTATTAGATTTCGAGGACTCTAAAACTATATTTTACGGCATTTCTAACCGAAAATCATGATTTAACTGTTCAAATTCTTGACGCGAAAAAGAACGAACTGCTAAATCGCATGAAACTCGAGTAAACACGAAGCTACGGCTCTAATTTCCAGGCCTCTTCTTGACGTGATAAACAGTTTAACCATAACGATACTCGTTATTGCTCATGATTTAGATTAAAAATGCCCGTTAGGAGTTCTTACGAAATGAAAAGAGCCAAGTCACCGATTTATCAAATTTTCGCTGTTTATGGTAATTCAAAAAATGAATCCAACTTCGTCAGAAAGAGAGCTGATAGTGAACCTCCAGTTGATAAAGAGCAAGGGCGACAAAGAGACAAAGAGAGACACGTAAAAGTTTTTGGGATAATACCCGGCCCAGACCGAAATCAAATCCGGGGCAGGGTTGTGAACAAGAACCATCGATGCGTGTCAATTTTTAACCTAGAAATTTTAGATAGTTCTTCCAAAAAAAGATAATAACGGTTATTTGAAGCGACAAAAATCCTTTGCGGCTGGATCGATAAACCAAGGCGCCTTGAATAATCTTCTTTATGGAAGAAGAACTCGAAGAAGCCGTGAAATTTACTCTAAAAATAAATCGTTGCCTAATCTGAGCTCAATCACGGAAAATATGGAATTGAAAATCATAAATTTATAAAAGAATTATTTTTTTATTTTGATCCGTTCGAAGAAATTAGCAATAAAAATCGACTCATAAAAGGTCATTTAAGGTCCTCTGTACTTAGTTCTGAGCAAAGAGATAAGTTGATTCTGGAGAGGCAACTTTAGGTTGTATGGAGATGAGCAGCTTGTATAAAACAGTGGTCAACGTTCTCAGAAGCGCTTACATTTGTAATTTGCGCCGCAGCGACTGCTTTAAAATGTGAAGAGAATCAACAAAAGCGCGCCTTCTATCTCGTGAATTTCCTAAGCGACGGTCGATATTGTCACATCTAACGCGTTCTCTAATTTGTGCGAACTCAATCGCAGTCATCTCGGTTTGCAAAAAATCATTATTATATCTGTAGCAGCAGCAACCAATATGTTTTCTTTAGAAGATATATTAGGAATGCGAGGAATCCCACCAATTCAGCAAGTTCCTTACTCGTGTCCAGAGAATGTTTTTGTCATCTTTTGTTTTTTAAAAGAACCTGTAGCGAAGGTATTTCCCATGAATTGTGGCCTTCAATAATGATGCTTGAAATTGCTTGAAATATAGACTGTAGGAACGAAAAAAGCAATTTTGCCAGCTCAGCACTTCCGGAGCAAAAATTTAAAAACTAAGTTAAAAGACACTGTACTACTGTATTAAGACAATGCTTTTGAATTTAGGCCCTCTTGTATTTTGGCAATTTTGGGTGCGGAAGTGCTGAGCTGGTTGAATCGCCTCAGAAGTTCTTTTCACTTTTCCTTTCGTGGACTCTAGTTAACGAAGTCGGATTTCCCAACCCTCTTGTTTGACCCTTCTTGGATGATCCCTGCTTGAGCGGAACCAGAAGTTTTCCCAAACGAGCTACACAGGCCGCTCATTTCGTCCAAATGAGGTGTCATTTCGGGTGACGGCGGGTTCCATTCTTTGTAAAGAATGGTTCTTTTTGGCAAAGAATGGAACCCGCTTATTTCGGCCATATACGCAGGTTCCATTCTTTGCTCAATATTCTAGAAAATTACAAATTTGATAATTGTCATAATCGCAACTTCGTAAATCGATATTTTTTCATAAAATTACGAGTTCCAGTTATTTGGCAATCTTTAAACTTGTAGTTACTGTGAGACTGGCGCGAAGCGCACTCACGTTTCTTGACTTTCAAATTCTTGATAATGACTGTAATCAAAACAAAAAAGAATGGTTCTTTTTCGAATCTCGCTGAAAAGAATGATTCTTTTTCTGGCGGGTTCCATTCTTTACAAAAAGAACCATTCTTTACAAAGAATGGAACCCGCCGTCTACCGTCATTTCGGCTCAATTTAAGAAACCAGATGGAGATTCGACCATCATTGTTTCACGAACTACTCGCAAAACTGGTTTGATACAGTGGCAGAATACACAACATTTGCGATTTTTCAATCTCGGATTCCTCGAAAACGAAAGTTCTGAGTTTTTGGTGCCGCTGGAAGTCTCAACTGTGCCAGATGTGGAACGCGTCAAAACGAAACATTATTTAATTTGGCGAGCTAAGTCCGAGATATGCAATCTCTTTACTTTACTTGACTCTATATATTTAGAAAACTAGGCAGCGGGCGCGCAATTCAGCACCTGGCCGGCTCATCATTTGATTCAAGCCGCCTTATGGTTTCTTGAAATGAACCTGTATATTTTATTGCTTGAGTTGCGTGAAGTTCAGATTCCGCTACAGACTATCCTTCTGAAGATCTATTTTCGTTTCAAGTCTTACATGAGCAGTACTGGCAGACAATTCACAATTCAAATCTTGATAGGGCTAAGTGAAAGAAAAGAACGAAAAGTACACGACCGCGGGAATGTCATCCTTTCCTGAAAACAGCGCACCACATTAATTTCGAAATATGCTCTCATCTGCGGAAAGGATAAGATCATTCAAGTGACGCTTAGCGTGAATTCTTCTGCCAAAAGAATTGCACCTGTAATTACCTTTTTCTCGCCATCCAACGGGCACGAACTTGAGAGCGAACGAGGGCTGAATTACGAATCTGAAAGATCCTCCGAAGAAACACGCTTGTTTTTCTTTCGGTCTCTAAGGAGCAACGCTACCGGAAATGATTCTACCGCTGATAGACCCTAAAACGTGTTATCCTTGGCTTTTTACAGGAATAAAAAGGTTAATTCCTCTTTCCTTTCTGAAATTTACATATGAGTCAATCGTCGCAGCTGCAGAAGGTTGAGGTTTTAGGTTGAGTTGAACCGGTTGTCACAAACTGATGAAATTTTTGACACCGTTGACGGGAGCAGCCGAGCGATAGGCCATATCTCCACACAAGCTAAGCCTGCCATGACGGCAAACTTCCAAGACGTGTCCAAACTCAAGTGTTTATATCCTCGCAAAAAAAGATTCTGCATTACTTACTCAAAAAAATTGCTAAAGAACAAAAGTCTCCAAGATATTTATTTGTTCATATTGGACTCAGTTAAAAACCTTGATTATTTTGTCGTGGGTAAATTCAACCCTGCAACTAGGGCATGTTTTCTGGGGAAGAGAAGAAAGACAGTTGAAGCAGGCTTTGTGCCCACATGAAGAAAGAACGGCTTCACGGTGCTCGTCGTCGAAGATTTCAAAGCAGACTTTGCATTTTGGTTTATCGTTATCCTGCTGACTATTGAGGGCAATTTGGTCTTGATCTTCGTCTTAGAAAAATGTGAAAAATTAAAGAAAATTAGAAAAGATAACTAGTTCCAATACCAATGTCACTGTTATCTTCATTCATTGCTTCTATTGCTAGAAAGCGAGCACGTTTTTGAACTTTTTTGCGCCATTTCTTCTTCTCAAGAAGCTCTTCATTGACTTTTAGAATTTTTCGTTCTGCTGCTTCAAGCCTTTTCTTGGCATCAGCGAGTTCCTTTTTAGAATTTTCAGCTTGAACTTCAGTTAATCCCTCCTCGATTCTCGCTTCTTCGTAAAGTTTGTTCACAACTGATAGACACTCATACTTTTCTTAATACATATAATCGATAAGAACGAAAAACTATAAACAAAATGGAAGAACATACTGTCAGTTGATGACCTTTGAGCCGCATTTTCACAGCATGAGCCGATCCAATATTCTCGATAAGATAATGCAACCGCTCCACAGCTTCGGTTCGAACTTATTGGAGCAGGACATCTGAATTTTGCATCGGAGTTTTCAAAAACTACATGTCTAGACTTTGCTGGAAATCTTTCATATGCACACTCTTTGCAATATCTTTGACCTTTGAAATCAGCAGTTGACCTTGTCATGCTAGAATTTTTTATTAAAAATAATATGATTGAATCTATCCCACTATTTACACCAACAGCATTTTCCAACGATTCCAACAGAGACAATGTATCCATTTGCTGGATTTACATTCTCGTATGGGCGTTTCATTTTCAGATGCACATCTAAAGTCACAAGTCTCGTCGAAAATGTCTCGCGAAAAAAAACTTGCAAGGAGCTGCGACTGATTCTGTGCAAGTTATTCGTTTATGCGAAGAATAAACATTTGCAATTGATATATCTTTAATATATTCTCAAATTTGCAAATGATCTTTTATGTCCATTGGACAAATACCCTGTCATTAAAATCATTCTATCCTTCCTAGTCTGAGTCTTGTGAGAAGGCGTACGTCACGAGTCTCCTACTTCGTCATCATAATTTCAGCTCATAAAAGTGTCCTCCGAAATCCATGCTGCCTATCTTTTCCCACTCAATTATATTTCTAACTACTGAGTCGTGAAACGCGCTGAGACAAAAGACCCATCCTCGTAAAAAAGTACCGAAAGAAAATTGAAAAGACACTCGAGGAGGCAAAAATACGATTGATCGAGGAAAAAAAGTCTGACGGTTTCTCCTCTTTTTTTTAAATGATGACAAACTTCGACATTTTCGACGAGTTCGACGCGGCGATTCAAAAAGTCGACAGAGAGATTTTGAACTTGAAGTTAGAAAGTAAGAAAAACGAGCGAGAGCTCTTGAGTTACTCGAGAAGGCGAATTTCTCGGGCGCAATCTTTTTCGACAACTTCGCCAGATTCAGGAAGGGCTTTTCACTGCTGATCCATGATAAGGAGCCAGTCGGGGGCAATGAATTGTTTGGAGATAAGATTTTCGGCGAGCCCAAATTAAGGATTTTCTGATGACATTGATAAGCAGCATTCAAGCAGTCAGTCCTTCGTCGTTACTGACAAACACAGGAAGTATGCGAGGAGGAAAAGGACGATGCGGAAAATAAGATCTATCTCTACCAGGTAAAATCAATTACGAGTCCCGTTTTTAATTTTTGAACAGATCAAAATGGAGCAAGGAAGAGCCGATTTCCGAGGAGAAACAGGAGCTGATGAACATTGAGGAAGAAATTTGCGTGTTCAAGGTAAATCTTTAAAACAGAAAATTAGTGGGAGCGATACGGTGCAAATTCAATTTGGGCTAGCACGATTGCTAAAACCAACACAAACTTCCATCACCTCGCCTACTAAATGAATCGTTCGAGAGGTCTTATAATCTCGTTTTCGTTCATTTGATTATGATTTTTTTCTTTCGAAATCAAATAACGGGTTCAGGTGATGATTGACCGTGAATTTTAGATATTTTTTCGTTATGAAATCGATAGAGTCAGCTTATTTAACAGTTTACGACGTGCTTATTCAATTACTTTCTTTTATGAAAAATTTCATCTCAAAAGTTTGAATTCAATTTCACTCCATTAGAATGGTAGTTCGAGGAGTTTTCAAGTAGCTGGATCACGTTTTTCCCCTCGCCAGGCTGCCTTGTCTAAAAGAACAATTTAAGATCAAAAAGCTGCTTTCCTCGGCGCCACCTGGCATTTCAGATGATCCCTGTTGGCTGCGGTTGATCTCTGCCTTTCCACTTCAACGGAACCTCGTCCAGGGGCTCGTGCTTCCATCTGATTTTGCTCAAGTTAAATCTCTCAAACCTCCAGCCGGTAAGTTGAAGAATATTTCTTTCAAAGAATATTTCATAAAAATGCTACAAAGAAACATTTCCTGATTACCGCAATTTCTACCTTAAAAATAAGAAAGCTACTGTAACACTCCTCTGATAGTCGTTATTCATGAAATTCGCTAGCGTGCCTTCTTGGAACGAAAGAATTTTCATCTCACAAAGCCCTTTTTTCTATCCCTCTCAAGAACCGGTAGGTTGAATAAGTAAGGAAGGAAAAACGTGTGGATGAGCGGGGTACCACTCACACTATCGCAAAGCCGAATTCGATTATGTTAGCATAATGTCACACGCTGACGGATGTTTCTTGATTTCATCAACAAATATTTACAGTACCGCTAAATCAGAGCAAATTCCGCAGAAACTCAACCAATTAATATTCATGGAAAGACACTTCTACTAATCGACCGTTTTAAAATGCAAATGTTTAGATCTACATGACGCTGTGTACCGAAAAGACATGAACACTTGGCACGTCCTTCCCGGCCTTGCAGATTTTTCAAGGAACATGCTCACGAATTTACAATACCGTTTTTTCCGCCTAAAATAGGCCACTAAAAATAAACGGGAGCCGCGACGTTCTGAGCAAAAATAGCACGAAAACTGATCCAACTGATTGCAGTGTTTTGGACTTGTCTTTCTGCGAGTCCTACTGTGATACATCGGATGATTGTGACAGTATAAAGAGCCTTCCTTCAATCGGCTCAGGGAAAACTCCAAGTCCGATTAAAAAGGGACTCAAGAAGCTTATCAGGTGAGAAATAACAGTAACGCGAAAGTGGTATACATTGATTTCGAGAAAAAAGCGTTTTTCATCTCATCTAAAACAACAATTAAGTGGTCGAAGGCGGCGGGGGACATCTTATTTTGGCCGTGATCAAGATGTGCGGTCGAAGAGTGAAGGAGACACCCTTAGCGCTTCCAAGAAGAAACTTCAGAAGCCTCTCTCACAAAAACCGCGGATGGTCATAAGCGATCCCGAAATTGTTAATCTTCCAGAAAACATCTCAAAGATGCGGCTAAAGAGCATAACAGAGACATAATTCGTCCATCATTCAAAAATCCGAAATCTGCTGTCAGTCAAAATAAATCTTTCAAGTTCAAAATACAAATTATGCAAAAAAGCTGCAGCACGTTATGCGAAGAGCACCAGTTCAAGGAACTATCCGCTCGTCAACAAACAATGAAAAAAAAAGCAAATCTTGCAGGAAGGGCTGAACTTGTATTTGTTGGCCAAATTCAATGTAAAAACTTGTTACTGTCGACTAGACGATCTTTCCTACTCGGGGTTACCTTTGCAAAAATCAACCTGTGTTCAAAACCTGAGTCAGGTCATATCATTCCTGACTCAGGTTTCGGACACAGGATTCCGAGCCCTTGTCTACTCGTTCAAAACAATCAGAAGAATGGTTTATGCGCGGGTTAGAGAGCCTTTACCAGGTACAACAGGGGATTGTCTAAGGCCGCTTAGTTCAACTCAGTTGTGCGAGATCACATTTAAAATTAACTAGAAGCTCGAGCCTTTCAAGCCTTCAAAACGGATCTGTTTCAATTTAGGAAACAAATTTAGAGACGCACGTTATAGATAAACATTTCGGAGCCAGATGAAATGGAAAGAACACGCAATAGATAAAGGCTCACTCGTTTTATATACAAGCTCCTCCCACGATATCTCGTTCTCCAACAGGATCAATTACGGGCGTCTTCAGACTTCCAGTTTTTCTTATGCTGCCCAAGTCCTCGATTTTCAGTCGAAATCTAAAAATGAACTCTTTGAAAATCGACCCTCTAAAAATCAGATTCGCTGGTGTTCGTGTCGCTCCATTGTACTTTTGACTTGATGTTTCCAGATTTTGTTGGTTTTAGAAATTTCCGAGAAAGAGCTTGTTTAATTGTACGCGTAGCGCGATGGAAACATGTGTTAACAATTTTCACAAACGGTTTAGAACAACGCAAGGGAGCGAAATTTAGCGATGAGAATGCACAAAACGAATTATACAAAAACAGCAATCCAGCGTGAAAAAAATTATCTTCTCAGTCAATTTCCTTCATAGAACTAGGGCTGCGAGACAAAGGCTAATTTTCATGGGCGGATTCTTTTCTGGATCAGAAAATATCTCATTTCGAGAACACCGTGTATTTTTCTGTCGCACGGACATAATGAAGTGCACATAAAGAGATCTTACATTCCGAGAATTTTTCAGGTGTTGGGGCTGACTCATTTCAGAGGCTTTGAGGTCGTTTTGGACCTTTGAAAGTCTTATCGTCGATATGTTATCAAAGATTCCTTACGCTCGACCCGGGCATGAATTCAACGACGATTCGTCTTTGTCCTCTAAACTGAATCAGCCCACACATCTAAAAAATCCTCGGAAAGTCAGCCCAAATACAGAGTGTTTTTTTCTTCCTTGAAAGAGAATGCCCCATTTTCACAAATCGCTGGAGAAATTCGTTACTTCTTTTGGTAATTTTGGAAAATGTGATGAGTGTGGATGGTAATTTTAAGTTTTCTCTACACTTCTTTTCTTTGGATTTTAGCGCACGCGAATCAACTGCTTTGATAAGAGGAAGAAGATATTGCAAAAGTTGCAAGGAAAGTTCTAAATCCGATCATCCATGATTCAAGGACTCTAGATCCCAGTTTATTAGGGAAATCATAAATAAATAATTATTTAATATTATTTATTTAATTAATATAATAAATTTTTGGCGAATTTCGAACTGATTGAAAGGAAAAGAAAAAATGGGTAACACCAGCAAAATTTCAGGACTCAGACGCAACATTCAAATGTCCTGCTGGAAGCTGCGGAGCGACTAAACTATCTTTTCGCGAGCACATAGTTGGATACTGCTGTGAAGCTGCTTTGGCGAGAACACCGGATGATATTTGGGGTAAACTTAAATTGAAATATATTTTTAGTTGAAAAATTTTTATAGAAGCAAAAATTGAGCACGAAGCGATGAGCAAGCTTTATCTGGAAATAAGAGAAGATAATAATTCTTCTTTTGAAAAAATCATGGACGCTCGTCGTGACCTTATCAATGCTAGAAATAAAGTCGAGACAAAGGAAGAAGAACTGAAAAAAGCCAAAGAAAATGTTCCGCTCGCAGAAAAAAGACTCAGATTCGCAAATACAAATGAAGTGTATTTACGAAAGTTGCACGAAAAGAGTGAAAAACGAGTACTTATCATCACAAATGCAGCTTTCCTTCGTGATGGTAAGAGGACAAGAAAAGTTTTTTTAGCTCCTTGATATTTGTTTATTTCTTATTTTTAGACGCACCAGGTCCAGTGGCGAAGAAAGCGAAGCAAGAAGATGTGAATGAGCAGAATCAATGCAAGGTCTGTTTTCATCCTTACAATGAGGAGCGCCCAGAAGCAATCATCATTCCCTGCGCTCACAAGTTCTGCTTCAATTGCATCACATCCCTTCGAGAGAAAAACTGTCCAAACTGCCGGGCTAAATTCACTGACAACAATGTTTACAAGACTCATTGAGTCTTTACAGTCTATTAGTTCATTTTTTGCTCACAGCTCTCATATACGAATAAAAACAATTGAAAATAAAGTAGCTTTGGTTTTCCATCAGCAGTTACACTCTGATGCAACCCTTAATTTCTGGTTGCCAAAGTAGCCCAGTAAAAGCCCCCCACTGCGCCTTTTGAGTGCAGAAAGATAATGAAACTCGAATATATGCAGGTGAGGCCCTTCAATTTCCGGGTAGATGCATTATGCAACGTGAATAGAAAAATTGAGAGCGCGTAGCTTGTCGTAAATATTTGAAGGCAGCTGCTCGAGATGGAAGGTATCTCTGCGGAAAGGCCTCTAGAGTCTCTTCCACTCGGCTTGAAAGTGCTCCGTAAGCTCCTTAAGTGCTCCGTACGTTTTGCATTTGAGTAAGCACAAATAACCGCATAATCATGAAATGCATGCTCTCCCTCTCTGCAATTTCGAATCCCACAAGTTCATCATTGACACAATCAAATTGGCGTATCAGTACATTCGATGTTTCCAAATTACGAGGCAAAACCAGATAATCGTCGCTAATTAACGAAAAAACGTTAAGAGCATCACAATTTGGTTAAAATTCGAGAGACGTCCTTTCAGAGAATGGAAGCTGTCTCTATGACAGATGTTTCCTCTTACATGAAAATGAAGGAAGCGAGAAGACGTTGTGTAACCGGATCTGAATATCTCGCTAATGACTTTCCATGCTCATCCAGAATTTCCACCGCTCAAGGTGAAGTCAGTTACAGACAAAACGGACAATTCCGGAACGGGCAATTCCGGAGATTTGAGGGAAATCGGTAAAATTTTTGTAAACGCACAATTCCGGAAATTTCAGACAAAAAATTCAACTGAGAGGTCTATTTTGTATATAGGACCACCTTTTCGCGAAATATTACGAAGAATTTTCAGAAAAGAAATGAGAGAAGGGTCAAAAAAGCCATGAGTAGCACTAAAAAAGCCCATTTTCTGGTTGACACCCTTAAAAAGGCACTTTGGAAGCAAAAAATTTTCAATTAGAATTCGGACAATTCCGGAGATTCGGCGCTTTTCCCCGAAAAAAAAACTTCCGGAATTGTCCGTTTTGTCTGTAATAGATTTTATCTACTCAGAGAATGAAAAAAGGAACTTTACATTTGAGCAAATTCAGTAGCATGAAACGACCTTCCAACTGGCCTAACAATTCATCGTGAATTCGATCGCATTGGAGTGCTCCAGTGTGTTTCCACTGTCGATGGATCAGGTGCACTTGGCGACCGAGCTACACGCCGCGGAACTTAGTCCTCAGACGTAGTGTGCATCGCCGCGCCGTTCATGATGCCGTTCTTTTCCGCCTATTCTCAAATACTGGACAAGGCCTAGGTCAGTTCACACCAGGTTATAAAAGTGATGATGATGGTCACCGCAAGTTCGTTCTCGTATCGCGCTCTAGACCAGAAGGAAGCGCCGCCCAAGTTGGTATGTTGCTGCGGCGGATAGGTGAAGCGAGAGGAGCGAATTTAACACCGCAGAAAGGGCGATCATTCAAAGAAAGAATACTTTCGGGAAATTCTAGAGTGTTTTACGGGGTCTTTGAACTCCTGAGAAATAAATCCCCGTGGTCAAAGAACGTCAGGCGATTTTACGATAGCCAGTTATATTCTCAACAAGATGACTCAATTTATGTAGCAGTACGTTGCACAATCATAAAAACTTTTCAATCATTGCACAAAGCTCTCAGTCTGCCGCTGCCTAAAAATCATTTAGTGAAAATGGCCTGCGAATCTGAAAATTTCTTATTTTACCTCGAAGAGTCTGATTCCTTCATAGAAGTCAACAACAAGGATGAAGTTTTAGCTACCGAAGAGTTCAGCCCATTTTCTGGACTAGAGAAATGGTTGACGGATGTTCCTTCGATCAAAGGCCCTAATAGGTCGAAAATTATGGATAAGCTTGCGGAATTTCGGGAGGAAATAAGAAAAGAAGAACTGAAGAAAGCAAGAGAAATCAGCAAACAGAATAATCAGAGATCAGACTACATCAACTCTGCAAGTGAATTTAGACGGCTAGTTGCTGAGGTTTCCAAGATGCCGAAGGAAACTAAGAAGAAAAAAACTAAATTCTTCAAAAATTTACTTTCTAATAAACAATAGGCCATTTGATAAAAACACATCTGGCTGTATAAAAGCATCTTGCAAAATAAGGATTATTTCTCAAAATTAAGCTGTCGACCCAGAAGGCTTTAAAACAGCCATTTAACAGGCCTTTTGTTGTTTATGTTTGATTGTCGAGTTTGTTTCGGAGTGAAACGTTGCTGGCAAATTGTAGCCCGTATTGGCTTCGCATAAGTAGAAGAATTATGTGTGCAAATAAGCGACTAAAGATCTGATAACTGTGGCGGTAGAAGGCCTCTGAAACACCTGCCGGGGTGATAACGATTACCGGTATCACCAAAAGGCGAAAGTCGACATGTGACAAAGGTCGCGCGAATATGAGACACGTCAGAGTATACACGGCTAAATCGTTTTATCTGCTTTAAAACTTATGTCACACAAAGTATCTTTCTGAAGACGGAAAAATGAAAACGATGCTCTTTCAAGTTGAAAAATAAGCTTCAAGGAAAATCAATTGAAACGTTGTTTCGGATAGAAAATAACTCACCTTCGAAAAAACGCAGATTTGTTTTGAACATTAGTTACGGGAATTCAACTGTAGGCCGTCTTCGGCATCCGCACAGCTGCAAATGAACGGGTTCAGAACGGGCAACAAATCGCATTCAACTCGTATAAATCTAGTTTAAATAAAGTACCTTTGATTAAAATGCGGTTTTTGGAAAAATAAAGATTAAAGGTTCTTTCATGGAACATGTGGTTGAAAACTGATTTTTTATAGAAAAGGAAACATCAAAAATGCAGATTTAGAGTGAGATCTTTTAGATAATCAATCATTTAATTATTATCACCTGCTTATCTGCATAAATGACTTCGATGAGGAAGTGCGAGTATCATTTTTGAAATGGAGCAAAAATTAAGAAAAAGTAATCATAAAATGCTCTTCGAGCTTTTTACTATTATATTTTCCTGATAAATTATAGAATCATTCGTCGAAGTTACGATTGGAAGCGACGATTATTTATTATTCATTGCAAAGAGGCCAATTCTTGAATAACTTTCAGAACGTTTTCGCAAAAATAAATATTTGGTAAATACAATAAAACAATTGTTTTATTCTAGCACTATGCTGCATAGTCTATGCACCGGATGATGTGGTTTAAATTCAAGGCAAGCATTCTCGAGAAATTTCTTTCTCATTTTAATTGAACTGTTTTGACATTTTTGTGAATCAGAACAACTTCTGACGCACAGCAGTTCGCCTTGCATGCAGCGGAAATGTTCGCCGAAATTCTTTTGGTGGTTGAAAGACTCTTACTTGTGTCGAGTTTTCCCACTCATTTGAGAACGAACTTTTTTACGTGCGCTCTTATAATTTAGGAAAGGTATTTTGGTCTGTAGAAAGCGTGGAATTTCTAGCAATAAATTTCACCTTTCTAGCTTCGCGGAAATTAACACATCAATCAAGGCATAAGCCCAAATCGGCGCCAAATTTATCTCTCTCGACCTTTTTGCCACGGCTGATCCAATTTGACATTTTGAAATTTTTCGCCTTTTCGCCAAAAGCTGTTCACTTCAGGGAAGGCGCGAGTAGGGTCAGCTTTTGCTTCCGTCTTGCATAATCTCGGCTAAATCAATGATTTCAACACAAACGACAACTAACGGTTCTCATCAAGCGTAAGCGTTGACGCTTCTTTTTGGACAACTACACATTTCAGCGACAAACAATTCAGCGAAAATCCTTCGAAGTGAATAATAAAGACGAAGATGAGCTCTTTTTTTAAAAGTCTTTTCTTCACATTTCTTTTAAAAATGCCCCAGAAAAGACCCGGAAAACTAAACGTTTCCATAACGCACTAAAGAAGCACTAGAATTTTAGTTTTTTCGTTTCTTTCTTTGAAAGTGGAAGTGTCTTGAATCTCAGGCAGATGGTTGAACTTTTAGCCGCTCCGAATCTCCTTTCTTCTGCGTTGCAGCTTCTTCATAATTCGCGACACTTGAAGCGGGTAGCATTGTCTCGATGCAATACCTAATTTTTGAGTTTTGATTTTTGAGTGTCTTTTCGCGCCGCTAAAGGATAAGGTTCAATTGCGGCACCTGTATATGAAGATTCCAAGGAGGACCAGACTCAGTTGGCAGGAAACGATGAATAAGAACAGGTCTTTCAAGAGTTCAGAAAAATAACGACTTAGTCATGCGATACCCTTAAAATTCGATCCGAAATGATTGAAACTCCTTTCTAGGGGTATATGAGTGTGTTCACTTTCTCTCGTTTTCCACGTGACTTTCTAAAATTTAAAATAATGATGAATGAAAGCGAGGGTTGAGTTATTCATGTAATGAAATGGTCAGGCATTCCAAGTCTTAAATTGAGCTAAACAAGCGCGGTTTTTGAATAGAACACGTACTACTACAAACTCCCAAAAATTCGCCCTCAAATCCTGGACCACCATGGAATTTCATAAAGCCACAATCCTATAAGCACCCTTTTTTGTGCAGCATAGAATCGTTCACTTCAAAGTTTAAACTCCAATTGAAAATCTTCGGATCATTCTTTCTCCCTCTTTCTCGCAAAATTTAGTCACCGTTCTTGATTTCTGAGAAATTTCAGTTCTAAACCCGCGACGCAACAATCTGAGAGCTGAGGAATTTAATGAAAAACGACCCCAGACAAATAGTTTTTCATTTTTTCATTTTTCAATACTTACTTACATTTATACTTTCAGAAAACCAAGGCATCCCTTTTCTCTCTTGATGCGAGAAATCTTAAATCCAAGCTGTTGAAATGGCCTTGTAGACAAGAAAAGAGAAAAAAGGGTGAGAGAAAATCATCAATCACAATAAAATGACATGCGACAAAAAGAAAAAGACCCTTAATATTCTTCTCAAGGCCAGGTTTATTTTATTAATTAGCAATAACTGTATCTAATCTCTCCTGGGATAAGATTACTTAGCGCCGCGAGGGGTTAATTTTATAATTATGATGGCAAGATAAAAATTCATAACAAACTCAGTCAGGCCCTATGTTTTTGAATGAAGATTCAATTTTTGATGGAGCAGCTGGAAAACGCAATATTGCGCCGTGTTAGTTGACACGTTCTATCAGACAACGTTGCGCATTCATTTTCCGAAAGGTTGGAAATTGAAATTGAAAGGCTTAATTTTTAGGGCGTATCTTCGAAGCGAAAACGCATGGGCTTTTGGGGAATTGATGAGGAACGCGCTTATTTGAGAAGAAAACAGTCTAATTTAAGATGCTGTAAATTATTATTCGGGATTATAAAATACTTAACCTACAAGAAGAATCATCTGGAAGAAGCATCTGAAAAAGTAGCTGCGCCACTCAGAAGCTGACTCTTACTTTTGCAGCTGTGTTCCTAAATGTCAGCGAGTAAGTGGCTTTGGAGGTCGGCACTGCCGAGTTGAGCGTCTAAAATGCTCAACTTGACGTCAAAAGTGCAGGAAGGAAGCAACTTATTGCCTTCGCTAAAGCGCGCTTTTGGAAGCAACAAGGGCAAAGTTGACGATCAAATTTTAATACAAGTAATTCTTCCTCCAATTTTCGATGAACACAATCATTTTGAAGCTATGACGAATCTTCCGACAACAATTTCCATTACACAATATTGCTGCTAATTAGTTTTTCTAAAGTGCTGTTCTTTAGACTAATTTCTTTTTTGGCAGGAAGCAATTCTCTTAGCGCAAGTGGTCGTCATTGAAGACGGAAGGTGTCGGCAGACATTCACACGCAGCCGCATAATAAGGACACCTATGCATAGAGGCCTTAACCTAAGCCGCCTGCTTCTAAAAAGAATGGTAATTCTAGCGCCTCTGAAGCAATTATGAAATTTGCGGCTCGAACGCTTTCTTCGCGTAATCTGTTTTTTTATTTGATGTATTTTTCACGTGTTCTATTATGCAGTTGACATTTTCTTTCGCGAAAATCCAAAATTAAGGCGCTCTCAATTCATAATTACAAAAGGTCAAAGTTTTCTCTAATCAATATTAGCAAAAATCGAAAATCGGTATTATGAAAAGCTCTGTTTTCTTGAAGTTCTGAGCAGAGAAAACTGATTTTGAGATACTTAGAAGATTAATCCTTTTCAAAGGCAGCGCGATTTTGGTGAACGGGTGTGTCTTAACGATCAGGGTTCGGCCCGGGGTCGGCGTCAGTTGCGCCGAAGTACTACTGACTCCTCCAGCAGTAATAAAGCCTGGCGCAGCTATCACCAGCGTTTCTTAAACGTGCGCAAAGCAGCAACACCTGCGCGCGGAGCATCTTCGGACTCCGGTTACAGGGCCAAGATCGTGAAGAAATATGCATACCGCAGCGATGATGTTGCAAGCAATTCGACTCTGTGAATTATCTATTGATGAATCTTCTTCTGTTTCTAAAGCTGAAAATGAGGAAAAATATAAAACAGTGGTTCTTAACAAAAGCCGGTTTTGGTTGTAGCAAAGGATGTGGAAACAAGACTCTTTTGTTGTGTAATGAACAAATTAGAATCTGTGATTTGAAACCATTCAATTCTCAATCAACTAACATCATGTTGATGTTTTTGCCAGTGCATGCTTGCTAGTGTGTGTGTTGGTGCCTACCAGGCTTAGTTACGTATAAAGTGGAAGCAGTTGTTTTGGCAAAAATAGTTGGACTTCATCAACTCAATTTTCAGTTGTGAAATTCAAATCCCAGCGATTTTGGATAAATTTCTTTAAAAAACATTAAATTGAGTAACAAGATTTTTAGAAAAATAAAATTCTGTCCCAAGAAAAAATATGTGTGTGTTGAACGCGACCTTTTTGGCGATTTTGGTTTGATCTGACAAGGATCCCAAAACCACGAGGCGGTCATTTTTGTGTCCTAGAGCACGAGTCCATTTCTGCCGAAAATACAGATAAGCGAACAAGTTGAAATATAAAATAGACCGCAAAATTTCTCGCCACTTTGAAAATTTTAATAGTCGGAACTGAAGTTTGTACGTTTTTCTAAATCCTTTTGATATTGACCTACATTTCTAATTCACAAAATCGCAAAATGAATACAACTCAATTAAATTGTCGTTCCATTCCTCCGTGCCACTAAAGAAATACCACTCGAGGAAATAGCTTCTGGGGCTTAACAAATTGCTTTTTGTCTCGCTGACGTAAAATGGGAAAAATAACTTGAGTAGACCCTTAGTTAGCCACGAATCTAACAAGTTCAATTCAGATAAGGGCGAATTTCTCCGTCTTTTCTAGCGCTAGAAACGTGCGGAAAACGCCCCTTTCAGATATAAAACCTGAGTATACATGAACCACGAATTCGGGCTTAGATGTTTGTTTTTTATCTTGACAGCTCATGCGAAAAAGAATGTTCTGTTTTTCAATGAGAATTCTAGCTTAGGTTGTATAATTTTCGCGCTGGATAGTTTGGATTAGCGCAGGTTAAATTTAGATTATTTATGATTCCCTGTTTAACTTAAACTGGAAGGTACGATAGAGCGTTATATTTAGGTTCGCCACCTCGAAAGCCAAGCCTGATGACGTAGCAGGGGTGGACCTTCGTGGCTCTGTAGATAAGGAGCTCCATTATCAGCGGAAAGTCAAATTGTGATACGAACGTAAAAAGCGAGATGCAGGATTAGAATGATGCAGTGTTCCTGTGATAAGACAGAAAGCTTTAGAAAAAAGTCCAACTATCCTTCGAGTCAATTATTCCCAGGAATAATCAATTAACTTGAATGGTTTTACTGAAGGAAGATTAAACTCATATCCCGCCAAGATAAAGATGGAAACTGCCACACACACGTACGCTTTCTGATAAAAATTCAGACTTGGGTTTCTACTGTAGAAGAGTACTGTCAAAGTAGACTCTACCCAGTAGATAGTATCCCATAATAATGACGATAAGCGTAAGTCTATATCGCCCATGAGTCAAAAAAGATACAGTGTCACGTTTAGCAGCGGCGGTGGAGCTGATCCGTGGAGTTGACAGAGGTGCTACTAGAACAGGTGCTAACTCTTCGGTGACTCGGCTCCCAACACAACAAGTAAATGAAGCTCGAGCAAAGCAGCTCGTGTCACGTTGCTGAGCGGATTAGATGATCCTCTTGTCAGTAATTAGCCCGGGCGACTTCTCGTAAAATCTCATCCTCGCCAATTTCAACTTTCAAATCGAGACACCTGTTCTTTATGTAATGACACGCGCTAGTAATTAGCTTGTAGGATTCTATTGAAGCAATTAACAAGAGAAAATTTCCCTGAAATAACCAAAAATATTGAAAAACAAACTTTATCCACGATTTTTGAACGCAAAAAAGATGATGATTAGTGAGTTAGATGATGGTGTTAAAATTTGCGAATACAATGCGCGGTGACTGGAGCGAGGGTGCTGGCTGCGATCCCACTTGGGCTTGGCTAACCGCATGATGGCATTAGAGGCCCCTTTTTGCTCTCTACGAGGCAAGGGCTAGGTGTGACTTTCCGAACTTCCAAAACCTCAAAAGCGCCTTTTGATTACGAAATTCGACGCGCCCTTGTTTCACTTCTAAGTAGATGTAATAATGGCTTTTTAAAGGGCCTTAGAAAAGTTGCAAAGAAATGAACTTTAATAATAGCGCTTCTGGAAATTGACAAGTTGCTGAGTAGCCATCTGTCGGGCGAAAATTCAGCGATCACTTTCGAATCATGAAATCATGACAAGATATAGGACGCTGTGGAGTAATTATACATAACGGATGTGCGCTGGGTTAACCTTTCGGACTGTGGCATTCGGTGAAGTGAACCGGTTTCGTGAAAATATTCGGAAGGTCACATCTTTGTATAATAAGAGACAGGCCATGTTACTGCTCAATATCAACAAAAAGAGTCTAGCATGGGAAAACCGAGCTCATCAAAAATCGGTACAGAAAGGAAATTCCAAGTCACCATGCCACGATTCTTTGCGTTAGAAAGAACAAATACAATTTTGATGTAGCAGCTAAAAGAATCCCTTTTTTTCTCATTTTAATGCTTGCTTTTGGATTGACATGTCAATAGATACTCATCAGTATGCAAATTGAAATATCACACAAGGAAGCTTGTGATTATTTCTGAGCGTATCATTTACCAAAAATGAGTTCAGTTCGAGGTGCAATTTCAAATATAAGGCATTATCTGAATACGATTGAAAGAGAAATTGCAGGATATACGACCATCGACCAAAGGAGCAGACGAAGACAGCCTCCAAAAAGACCAGCTTACCCTTTTAAACGAAAGTCGTTCTACAAAATTCATAGGCATGAGTCTTCTGATGAAGAAGAAGATTCATCAGATGAGCACGAAGATTCATCTGCCGAGGAGGAAGATTCATCTGACGAAGAAACTGTCAGTTTTGATGCTCTAGCTCATGAGCTTATTCAATTTTATCAAAGATATGGGTAAAAATCTATTAAAAATAGTATTTAAATTTTCTTAGAATTGACCATTACTGGACTCGATACGGAGCTGTTGGAGCTAGAGGAAAAGGCTGTCGAGGCGGCGGGGATTTCTGCTTATTTTTCAATAAAAATGGTAAAGCACTTGCTCGTTGATTTCTCTAAGCCTCTTATCAAGGTGCCTTCGTGAAAGCGTACGAAGAGTCAAAGAAGAAATTCGTTTTCGATGAGTACGAGCTTGATATTCGTCGACAACCATTCAAAGATCTCTTTCGGCTTTGAGAATAAATAATGACTTGATATTTTTCGTGTGAATCTTGGAGTGTGTCTAAACTCTAGAACTTTTGTGTGAATAAGAGCGTCTAATCAATTTGGTGGAGGATGTTCCAGCAAGGCGCTTCCGTCTCCCCCACGTAAGCACTAAACGGATTACGCTCGTTGGAATTTTGTGTTCGCGCCTCGCGCCAAATACGGGCGTTAAATTCTGTAATTTAAAGTTATCAGCAACTCTCTGTCTCGTTTCGCAAGTCAGAGAAGGTCAGTGTCAAGAGTTTTCTATTCCCGGTTTTTAGATAAGATAAGAAACAGTGTATGTAAATTCCTTGGATCATCTTGCGCCAGAATATCTAAGTTCCCCTTTTAACTTCGAATTGGGGCAACAACTCGAAGGAAAACGGGCGGCGGGTTTGTTCACGCGAAATCTTGCCCATTTACCGCATTCAGAAGAGTGTTTCTTGATAAGTTAGGAAGCACGCAAGTGCGAGAGGGTTATCCAAGCCAACTGCGGCTTCCTGATAGCACCGAGCGGTCCTCAGGACTGTTCTGCAGCACCTTTGAAAATGAGGCTCGAGGGAGAAAGCGAGAGAGTTGAAGTTTTCTTCGAACGGTCAAAGATAAACTGTGAGCCACTGAACTTCTTGATAACCCAACGATATAAGCTGATGTAACGAATTTGCGACGGGCAGACATGATGACCTTGGATAGACACGTTTGCGCTTAGTTGATTTTTTTGTAAACATACCATTTCATCGAAGTAACTAACTTTTGGACCAGCAGCTATCGTGTTGCAATGTTAAGACAATCTTGAAATTCGCATTGTGCGTCGAAAATCTAAGTTACGGTGACTGGCCTGGTAATCGATCAAAGTTAGGGACGGTAATAACGTGACCAGCCGAGAACGTGTCTTTTTAAAAATCGTCTCAGACATGATAATCCTTTTTGGCATGGCTTGCCGTCACCGACTGGGTCACCAACAAAAATATATCGTAAGCTGCGGAAACACTTCTGTCAAATGCAACATGCATTAGAAATTTGGCGCTCTTCGGATTGTCGAAAGCCTCAAAAAGCATTCTAATCGCTCGTTAGGTTAAATCAAACATTTCAAAATCGAGTAATCGACAAGGTTGGTGCTACATCAAGCAAATCAGCTGCGCTTTATGTTCGATAACCCGCCAGCTGCGGAGTTATTTTGATAGCAACGAGGAAAAAGCGCTTAGATGGCGATTTTTTGACCTTCCACGTAGCAAATTATGACAAAACAAAAGCAGTTGGTCTTTTGACTTGTTGGCTCTCACTCCTTCAGGAGCATTTTTGTTGAGAAAAAGAGACTCCGTTCTTTTGCATTTTTCTAATAAAAATGTCGCTGATACTGATGTATCTTGACATCCTGTTTACAGTTTTTAATACTAACCCGGCGGTTTGAGTGTTGATCGATTATGTGTGCTCTTGCCGCAGTGATTCCGGGTGACGTTGTGGAGGCCGATTCTGGATACTTGCTTGTTCACGCTCATGTCACGCCTAGATTGCCGTCTGAGTTTATCATTCCTCGGTGCATGAAATTAAACGGCACCGAGGGGAATGCACTGGCTCAGTTTTATAGCACTTTGATATTTTAGTGACACGCTTTTTTGTGATTTTTTCGAGGGGGATGAAACAAGCTTAAAGGGAGATAGCAGAAGGCTGAGTAGAGGATTTTTGGGGCGGCTTGTTCAATCGAATTTTAGAGCTACTGTAGATATAAGTTTTAAAATTGGATTCTCGATAAAAAAAACTGAGATTTTGGTCTTTGAAGTCTAAATTCTATCGTCGCCAATTCTGCTGTCACATGTCAAAATCCACCTTTTCGAGGAGAGGGTGCTCTTGTGGCACTTTCGTCATATTTGCCTCCTGTGGCACTGTCTCTCCTGTGGCACTTGCGCTTGTTGTGGCATACCACAGGAGAGACAGTGCCACAAGAGAGACAGTGCCACAAGAGAGACATTTTCAAAAGCGTTCCCTATCAGATTTTCAAAATGATAATCTTCTTAGGGAATCCGCCGGCGGAGCGTGGCTCGCAGTTTTTTAGTTTCTATCTTTGCTGTTAGAACTTTTTCTGATTAAAATTTATTTTTCTACTTGGACGAAACTTTCCTTGACCTTTCATTGTCATTTCGTCAACTAATCATATCTCGTACTTACGGTGAGTTTTTCCGAAAATTTGGATTCTTGATATCAAGGATACAGAACTTATCCAACTGTTACATTGTAACATAACTCAATCGTCTATTGAAAGTTTAGTCCACCCAAAAAAATCATGTAAATCGAAAAAAGTTATCAAATGGAGAACAGCAAGGCGCGCACATGGAGATAGGTCGGTGGACTCCCTAAAATTATCATTTCGAGAATCTGATAGTTGAAAATGTCTCTCTTGTGGCACTGTCTCTCTTGTGGCACTGTCTCTCCTGTGGTATACCACAGCGGGCGCAAGTGCCACAGGAGAGAAAGTGCCACAAGAGAGACAGTGCCACAGGAGCACCCTTCCCCCTTTTCGACCCTCGAATCCAGATTCCGTTGTAATTAACCAATCTCGGTGTTATGTGTAAAATGGAGCCGCCAGTAGCTCCGGCAAATTTATAACGATTCCCATGTTCCCAGTCAGAAACATTCCTTCTTACAGCTATCTCATAAAGTTCTTTCCTCGCTGGGAGTTGTCGATAATTTCGAAAAGAGGATTGAATGAATTCTGGACATTCCATAATCCGCAACGATTACACGATTCTCTGACTGTATTTTTCGCAGAATATAAAATCGAGAGACCGGCTGCTTTCCAAGATCGATCGCTGCCACTTCCATCGTTTATTTGGAACTTTGTCGAAGACGTAACGAAAACAGGAGAAAACTGTGTTTTCGTTTTTCTCCCGTGAGAGCGGAACATCCCGTTTGAAGTCCCCTTTAATTACTTTCAAAATTTGACACGTCTCTCTAATTCTGGCGTCTGGATCTTGGAGCCTTGCGTCAACCAGTCACAAATTTCGACGATAACAGATCTCTTATCGGAAGCGTTCCAAATCAGCTTTTTAGAAAAAAACGATTTTTTTCCAGAATTAGGGTAAGGGTTAGGGTTAGTTAGGCAGGATAACTTATGCAGCATAAGTTATGCTGCATATCACATGCACCTCGATAGTGAAGAATTTTGCCCTAGTTTCAAATTGGAAGTTGTTTTTTACTTGAAGGAATGCCCTTGATATCGCTAAAAATAAGTGCTCTCTTTGCGAGTCCGAATTTCACAATGAAAACAAGAAGCAATTATCAAGAAACACACAAATGCAACCAACGAGTAGTAAACCAGATTATTACTTCTTTAGAACATTTCCTGGGCAAGCCACGTGGTACATACACAACTTGTTCAGCGGTTAATCGCACGAGCACCAACGTTAATGGGAAAATGCAAATTATCAAACCCCCTTGAGTCAGAAACGCTGCAGGAAGCCAACGCGGAAGTTTAAAGTCACTTTGTTACACGAAAAAAAGATTCGTGGAGCGGAAGGTGGACGCCTAAACAGGTGGATTTTTGCGAAATTCCGGAAGGCGGTAAGTTCCTTAAGATGGACGTCACTTCTTCTCCTCTTGGATCGTTTTCTTTGAAGAAATTAATCCAATTTTCAAGCGAAAAATTTCAACGTGCTTCTGTGTATGCATTAATTGAATTTCGTCTCTCCCACTAAATGACTTACTAGAATGCTCCCCTGCTCGACTTCCCGTTGAGTTTAAGTTCGTCAAGGTGGAAATTAGATTCTGCGGGTTGATAACATGCGATCTAAGCTAAAGAATCATATTAGGGGGTATTGCGCGAGCATGAGCGTTCACGAGTTTCTTTTTACCAGAGCTAAAAATAAGATGTTGCATTTTCGAGGTTCTTCAAGTTGAAGATCTTTCGCTTAAAATCGCGTAAACCTCAAAAATTTTATCCAGCAACGAGTGGAATGATAAGGATTTGAAAAATGCTCAAAAAAGTGAAAAACACGAATATCAACTGAATTATCTTCATTTGCAAAATAGCTCTATTCAAGAGCTTCAAGTTGTCATTAATTGCCGCGAAGATCGAATCATCCTTACGAGGCGATAAATTATTTGGACGTTGACGAAGAAGCTGGACTTGAACGTCGAGTCCTGCTTGAACAGCTTTCGCGAAAAAAACAAGAAGCGACGGGCTCTTCAGAGGACGAGAATGAATCGTGGCAACAGCTCCCGGAACTGTAGGCCACGCCAGCGGTAATAAAACAGAAAAAATTCACCTGGAGCAACTGCTTCATGAAAGCGAATGATTGAACTTTGGTGTGTCTTCTTTACCCTAGCAAAATAATTTTTTAAAATTATTCAGCGTCGTCAGAAAAAAAATGATGAAAACGAAGAGGTTTTCTTGATAATGATCTTTATTTGTAACTGACCCGGGCCTGACACGACGAGATGAAGAATTCTAGGTCAACTACATGTTTAAAATTCTATCTGTCTATCCTCTGTCCGTGAGAAAATGCTTGAATCACGTTTTCAGAATTCATCTGAACGCTGAATATTGAAAGTCATTGCTAAAATTTGTCATAACTTAGATTGAACCAGATTTTCTATTTTGAAATTTTATCATTAAAAATCTCTTCTCAGGAGGACAAGATCTATCCTATCTAGGATTATATTCTCAAAGGATTCGATGATATTTCCGGGTATATTTCTAAATATTCTTTTATAATCGTAGAAAGAGTTCAAGACAATTTATCTCTTAGGAGGTATGTTCGAGCGAAAGGGAGGCATTTCTAGGTTCCTTCTAGGCTTGACTCAGCAGGTGATCAGTCCTCATCCATCAAGCGATAAGACTTTTACGTCGGGGAAGAGAGCGGGATGAATGGCGATAACAAACTCGTAACCGCCCCGTCGAAAGACCTTCTAATCTACCCAAGTTGCTCCTGTTTCCTTAACGAGCTCAAGCAGAACCGTTATCGGCGATATCCCACGTGGAGAGAACCGATTAA